TGCGCCCTGCCTGGGGTTTCGAACTTGAGCCCCTTCCTCCCAGCATCCCAGCCTGTGGGGGGCCGCAGTGGCCAGTGTCCTCTGGGGGTCAGACCTGAGTGGGACCTCTCAGAGACCTCAGCATACCCACTTGTAAAAGAGGGCTCTGGGGGCAGGCGGGCACTCAGGCCCTGTGTCTTTTGTGAGGTGGGGTGGCAGTGGGATGACGGGAGGGCGTGGCCACATGCTGTGGCACTCACAGGTGTGCGGCCCCCCTCCTGTGGTCTCTCGCACTCAAGGGACTGCACAGCAGAGAGTGGGGTGGGGGGGCCAGATGGGGAGATGCTTTAGGGAGCATGTGTGGTTAAGCCTATAGCACCTGCCGCTACCTAGCTGTGTGACCTTGGGCAAGCCGCTCAACCTCTCTGTGCCTTGGTTTCTTCAGCTGCCAAATGGTGATGATTATCCTGGTAAAGCACATTGTAGGCGCTCAGTTAAACAGATGGGAGCTGCCAGGCAGAACCTGCAGCCCAGCGTGACTCCTCCAAGGCTGGTGTGCATCCCCCACACCCTCCCAGGCCCCTTGGCTCCGTCTGTACTAAGGGCCATGCCCTGGGCTCCACAGGCTGGGACGGGAGCTGACTTCCCAGCAGGGGGCCCTCTGCGGTTCTCACGGGGTGAGCAGAGTCTGAGGCTCCCAGAGGAAGCGCCTGGGGGCTGGCCCGGTCCCAGTCCCAAGCAGCTGCGGGCAGAGGCCTCGGAAGCCAGGAAAGGCCAGCGGCCAGAGAGGCCACAGTGTCCCCTGCCCTGAGGCCCCAGCCTCCCTCACACTGCTCCTTCAGAGCAGACAGATGGGCTTCCAGTCGCCCCCTCGCTCCCAGCTCATGGGTCCCCAGGATACGGGGGTGGGGGCTGAGTGAGGGGGAATAGTGGGGAACCCAAGGCCCCGGTGGTCCCTGAGAGCCTGTGAGGCACAGGCGGCCTCCCGGCTGCCCCTGCTCCCCGCCGTAACCCTTCCCAGGCTCCCGGCCTTTCCGCGGTTCAGTCCGAGTAACCTGTCCCCCACCTCCGACACGCAGCGCCTGTTCCCCTTCAGCCGACGTCTTCCACATGTGTGGCTATGCCTTAACTATTCTCTCACGGGATCGTTGTCCACCTTAATTTTTTTTTTTATATTTAGAGGAAGTTTTGTCCTCTGGACCGAAACATAGGCAGGGAAGAAATATGCTTTCGTGGAGCTGGGCGTGGAGGTGCCGGGTTTCTCCCTGTGCGAGGGGAGGAGGAGAGGGAACACGTTCCCCTGCAGAAAGGCTTCCACTCCAGAGTCAGCCGCAGGGGGGGCCACCCCCAGAGACACGAGGGCGCAGCAGTGAGCCCCAGTGTGGGGGCAGCCACACGAGACGGTTCGAGGAGAAAATGTAACCCAGACAACCGTCATTGTCTGCGGTCACTATTGCTCCGAAGGAGAGTAGGTGGTGAATGAATGTAAAGAACAATGATAAGTCATGTGCAGGAGGCCCCCAGGGGCAGCAGAAAGGGCAGTCCGTGTGCCCAGTCTGGGACCCCAGGAAGGAGAGCAGGGGGGCCGGAGGGGGGACTCGCCCCCCCTCGCAGGATCAAGGGGTCCTGAATCGCAGGGAATTCCATCTTTAACCGCTGCCTCTCATTGTCTCGTTGCCGCATCCATTCCATAAGCACCTGTCGCCGGCCAGTTGTGTACCAGGCGCCTGCCTGCCTGGGGGGAGGGTGCAGGTGCTCAGAGTCTCGGGGGCGCTCGGTGGGGGGGGGTTGTCCTGGGCCGGCACCACTGAAGTGAGCCTCCAGGACAAGAGGGTGGAAGATGAACGAAAGACAGAAGCTTTTCAGGCCCAAAGAGCATCTTCTTTGGGGCCACTGGAGGCGGAGGGGCCAGGGAGAGAGCCTAGTGGGCTTGATAAACCAACAGAGGCCAGGGAGGCAGCGGAGAGAGGGATGAGACCAGGGGAGCGAGGCGGAGTGTGGGAGGTCGGGGGGCTGGATCAGGCCGGACCCATAAGCCGTGGCAAGGAGGGTAGCTGTTACCACTCACTCAGCCGGCATTTCCTGGGCTCCTGACCCGAGCAAGGTGTGGAGGGGCACGGAGTCACCGAGCCTTCCCTCAAGGTGCCTGGATCTGGTGGCAGGCTCTGAACAGGTAGAAAGCGTTTTCATAAGCGCCGTGGCCACGGCGTGAACCCGAGGCCAGTGAAGCAAAGAGGGGCTGCCGTGTGTGAGAAGGCGGTGACATCGGAGCTGGGTTTTGAAGGATGAGCAGGAGTTTGACGGGCGGGAGAGAAAAGATGCTCCTGGCCGTGGAAACAGGGCGAGCAAAGCTTTTTTCATATCCCAAGATATGAAAAGCCTGGGGTGACGGGGGTGGGGGTGGGGAAATGCCGGCCCCCAGGGACGCAGTGGGCACTGCAAACAGAGGCCAGAGGGCCCGGGTCAGGGGAGAGCTCAAGGCGGCAGCCAGAGCTGAGGTTTCATTCCACATCCCACGGGCGGGCGGTGAGGAACCGGAGAGCAGGCCTGAGCAGGAGGGGGAGCTTTCTGGGCCGAGGCGTGTGGAGGGCTTGGTGGCAGAGAGGGACAGTGTCGCCGCCAGCCCGTGGGGTGTGGAGATGGCCCGGCCTGGGCCACAGTGGGGACTGTGGAGGGCGCCCCTCTCTGTGGTCTCCCAGCTGGGCCTGGCCTGCTGCCCAGAGCAGGGGTCTCTCACTATGGGGCGGTGACTTTGAAGACCAGAGGCCCTTTCGGACAGAGTCAGGGTTCCAGCCAGCTGGGCCCGTGGTCCAGGTCCAAAGCAAACAGGAAAAGCTGCAGTGGGCCAGGCAGGGCCTCTTTCTTTGTTTGGAGAAGGGATTAGGCCAAGTGGATTTACTGGTCTTTCCGAAGCAAAAGTGGGAGGGGGCTGCAGGCCCGGTCATGGGTTCGGGGAGATGCCCACCACTTGGGGGGCTGTGTGGGCCCGGGGACCAGCCTTCTGGGGTTCTGTCCAGACGGCCTTCCTTGGCAAATTCTGGCCCTGATGGAGGGGCCTGGGAACACACGTCACCTCACCCCTGGGTGTCGCCATGCCTTCGTCACCGTGACCAAGCTGCAGCCCTTACCCCCGGGTGCTTGGCTTTCCACTGGTGTCGCCTGACCATCAGCCCAGGACTGACGGGGGCGGCTGCCTGCCAGTCACTGCGGTGGGAAGTGCACACTGCCCAGGCCGGGGTCTTGAGGGCAGGCCTCTAGAGAGAGAAGGAGGGAAAGGCTGAGGGCTTGAGGGGCCACCTCCCTCTGAACGATGGGCACCCAGGGTCCCCTGAAGGCCCAGCACTCAGAGCCTGGCCCCTGCCAGCTAGGCAACGGGTGGGAGGCATTCACTCCTGCGGTTATACCTGAAAGAATTCACATCTGCGCCAGTTCACGGGCGTATTCACTGGCCAAGCCTCCAAGCAGACCTGGGGAGTGGGAGGCAGGTGAGTGAGGGCTGCAAGGAGCCCACAAGCTGATGGAACAGACCCATGGGAGTCCTCAGGTGCTTTTGGCTGTGAACTGACTCCGCCTGCCTGTGTGTCCTGAGACAAAGGGAGCAGACAGTTCCCCTGGGGCAGGAGTGGAGATGGGCTAGAAAGACTTTCATTCATTTATTTGTTTGACCTCGTGTGCCTTCACTCAGCAAGTACACGTTGAGCACCGACTGTGGCTGGGCATGCGCCCTGCCCTCCCGCGGCCTCCAGTCCGTGGGGGAAATAAGCAGGACTCGTATCATCAATCACACAGGTCGCACGGAAAATCCAGTGGGGTACAGGGCTTTGCGGAAGAGGTTGGTGGCGCCCATGGAGTTAATAGGGGCTTGACCTGGTCGGGGAGGTCAGGTGTCTTCTCAGAGAGAGACTTGCAGGATGAATTGGAAGTAGCCAAGGTGAGAAGGGAGGGACGGCCCAGGGGGAGGAAACAGCGTGTGCAAAGGTCCTGCGGCCAGGGGGTCAGGGGAAGGCCAGGTGGGCCGGGGAACAGAGGCAGGCTGATAGCACCCGAACTGGGGGTCCCTTTAGAAGATTTGGCCTGGATTCCAAGACCCAATGGAAGGTTTTAAGCAATGGTAGAAAATAATAATCCACCGTGTGGAGCCAGCCGAGAGGTTTGAGGGGCCCCAGTGGAAGTGGGGAGTTCATGAGGCTCCCTCAGTGCCCATGTAGACAATGAAAGTGTCTTTGACCAAGGACACGGTGAGGTCGGGGGTGGTGTGAGGGGGGCATTGGGTCGGGGGCGGGGAGGGTCAGGGGGTGTGGACGGGCCGGTACATGGGGAAGGTAATAACGCACATCGGTTCCCTCTGAGAACATATTTTATTGAGTATGATAGGTAGTATCGTCCTTTCCACCAAGGGCAGGAAAAGAAGTAGTGGGTGAGCTCCAAGTAAGAAAGGAGGGGTGATTTTGGGGGTTCTGCTAAACAAGAGAGGTAAAAGCTGTCATGAGGAGGAAAGAGGTCGCAGAAAGGTGAAGCTGCCTACCCAAGGTCATGGCTGGTCAAGAGGTTAGGCCTCCGCCAGCTTCCTCTCTTAAAAAGGCAGAAGAGCTTATTTCATTCTACTCGGGGAGCTGATGGAGGGGGGTGCGGAGTGGCGGGGGTGGTGCACCTGGGAGCCCGGCTTGCTCTGGAGGAATGCAGGCGAGGCTGCGGCAAGGCCCCCGGGGAGCCCGCACCTCCTTCCAGGTCCCCACCACAGCGGAGGGAGACCTGGCCTGTTCCTGACCCAGAAACCAGCTCCTCCCTTCTCTGAGTCTCCCACCTCTTGCCCCTGGGAAGTCCTTCCCTCACTCGAACCTGGGTCTTCCTGCTCCTGGCCCCACCATCTCGGCCTTCACACAGGGTGCCACCCGGCTGCCCCTCCCTGTAACGACCCTTTAGCCCTCAGGCGGCTGGGCGGGCGGGCGGGCGGGCTCCGGGGCCGCCAGCAGCATGTAACCAGACACTGTTTTCTTCTAGCAGGTGCACTGCTTCTGGGTGTCCTCACGGGAGCCTGGACAGAGCACGGCGCCCCTGCGCAGCACAGTGACCTTCGCCTCTCTGAACCCTGGTTAATCTTTGCCCAGTCTGAGGGCCGTGGGGCTCCTCCCCTGTGAGATATAAGCCCGGCCCCGGGCTGCCCGGTCTCCTGCCGGTCCTGAGCCTCCCGAGTGCTGCGCCCTCACCATGGCCAAGGGCTTCTACATTTCCAAGCCCGTCGGCATCCTGGGCATCATCCTGGGTGCGGGGGCCGTGGCCACCATCATCGCCCTGTCCGTGGTGTACTCCCAGGAGAAGAGCAGGAGCACCGAGAACCCTGTCACAACCCCCACCAGCCCCAGCACCACTGAGAGCACCACTGAGAGCACCACTGAGAGCACTACTGAGAGCACCACTGCGGCCACCACCTTGGACCCGGACAAGCCATGGAATCAGTACCGCCTCCCCCAGACGCTGGAGCCCGAGTCCTACAAGGTGAGGCTAAGGCCCTACCTCACCCCCAACCAGGACGGCCTGTACATCTTCGAGGGCTCCAGCACCGTCCGCTTCAAGTGCAAGGAGGCCACCGACGTCATCATCATCCACAGCAAGAAGCTCAACTACTCGAAGACCCCGGAGCAGCACATGGTGACCCTGCGGGGCGTGGGGGACGCCCCCGTGCCTGACATCGAGAAGACCGAGCTGGTCGAGGTCACGGAGTACCTGGTGGTGCACCTGAAGAGCCAGCTGCAGGCGGGCAGCCTGTACGAGATGGACACCCAGTTTGAGGGTGAGCTGTCGGACGACCTGGGCGGCTTCTACCGCAGCGAGTACACGGACGGCAACGAGAAGAAGTGAGTCGGGGCGGGCCGAGTCCCGGGGGCCGAGGGAGGGTTTGGCTGGAAGGCCTTTGAACCTTCTGGAGCCCTCGGCTGGCCCGTGGCTCCATCCACCTCTCGCGGGGAGCAGCTGCCCAGACAGCAAACCCTTTCCTGGAGGGCCTCCTTCCCCCACTTCGGGGAGCTGGGGGCACGTGAGGAAAGTGCCCCTGGTTTAGACAGGAAAACGGAGGCTCGGGGGAGACATTTGGTCTCCCTGACTGAACGGCGCTGGAGCCTGCCAGGACTTTGACCCCGAATCCAGAAGGAGCTCTGGTCTCCCGGAGTCGGCTGGCCGGTCGGGGCCCAGACGCTGCCCGGGCAAGGCAGGGACTAGGCCGGGCCAGCCTTCCACACCCCCTTCCCCCGCAAACCCAGCCACACCCTGAAGCCCCCCACCACGGGCACAGGAATTCTGCCAGCAAAGCCTCTAACGCTCTGGCTTGGGCAGGGTGCTGGCCACCACGCAGATGCAGTCTACAGACGCCCGGAAATCCTTCCCGTGCTTCGACGAGCCGTCCATGAAAGCCCAGTTCAACATCACCCTGGTCCACCCCAACAACCTCACGGCCCTGTCCAACATGCTGCCCCAAGGTGAGCCGGTCCGTCCCGGGGAAGCCAGCACCCCAAGGTTCCCGGGGCTGGGGTGCAGGGCAGGGGAGAGGGGGCCCGCCCTCACGCCTGCAGCCCGCTTCACGCCCAGGCCCCAGCGTCCCGTTGGCGGACGACCCCACCTGGAACGAGACGGAGTTCCACCCCACCCCCGTCATGTCCACGTACCTGCTGGCCTACATCGTGAGCGAGTTCACGTCTGTGCAGAGCGTGGAGGAGATGGCGCCCAACAGCAACGTCCTGGTACGAGGCTGGGCCCGCCTGTGCCCACCAAGACTGGTCTCGCCCTGGGTGGAGGGGGCTGTTCCTGCCTCTCTTTGTCCCCATCCCGGCCCCTGCATGGTCAGGCCACTGCGTTTGAGCCCGGGCTCGGAGTCCTCCGAGGCGAGTTCCCTGACCCTCAGTCTCTGCATCTGAAAAATGGGTTCCTTGTCATGAACGGGGTTCCCGACCCGTGGGTGCCAGGCAGACAGATGGTGGTTACGACCACTGCCCGTTACTCCTCAAAGGCCCCCCGCCAGGACGCCCGGCCCCTCAGGAACCCCCAGCCCTCCCTGCTGCGGCCCAGGCTGCCGGCTCGACCTCGTCCAGGCGCTGGGACCCGACAGGGGCCCTGACCCTCCTCTGTCCTCTCTGCAGATCCGGATCTGGGCTCGGCCGAGTGCCACCCAGGCAGGACACAGTGACTACGCCCTGAACGTGACCGGCCCCATCCTAAAGTTCTTCGCCGGTCATTATGCCACCGCCTACCCCCTGGAAAAGTCCGGTGAGTGAGCGGGTCAGGGGCCTTACGTGGAGTTTGGCGAGGGCAGTGGCGGGGAGGGCTCCGTGCCCAGAGGTCACCCCACCAACCGCCCGGCCTCCCCAGACCAGGTCGGTTTGCCTGACTTCAACGCCGGTGCCATGGAGAACTGGGGGCTGGTCACCTACCGGGAGAACTCCCTGCTGTTTGACCCCCAGTACTCCTCCAGTAGCAACAAGGAGCGGGTGGTCACTGTGATCGCCCACGAGCTGGCCCACCAGGTACCCCTCGGCATGGGTGGTACAGAAGGAGGTGCCTGCACAGGCCCCTGCAGCTGAGAAGGGACAAGGGCAATGAAGGTGGCGGCAGGGGGGGGGAGCTGTCACAATGCTGGAGTCACCTGCCTGGGACCTGGCACCCAATGGTGCTCCTGAAGGATGGCTCTGGGGATGGTGGGGGGCCGCAGGGCCAGAGGCACTGGCCGGCTGACCCCCCGCCCCCACAGTGGTTTGGGAACCTGGTGACAGTGGCCTGGTGGAACGACCTGTGGCTGAACGAGGGCTTTGCCTCCTACGTGGAGTACCTGGGTGCCGACTACGCCGAGCCCACCTGGAACCTGGTGAGCCAGCTGTGCCAGGGCCCTGGGATGGGGGAGCCGGGGTGGGGGTGGGGCAGAGCTGGGTCACCGCGCCCGGGACAGCCTACTAACGGCCGTTAGGGATTCGCAGAGAGACATGATCGTGCAGAATGAGGTGTACAGCGTGATGGCCGTGGACGCGCTGGCCTCCTCCCACCCGCTGACCACCCCTGCTGAGGAGGTCACCACGCCCGCCCAGATCAATGAGTTGTTCGACTCCATCTCCTACAGCAAGGTGCTGCCCCCAGTTGCAGAGACCTGGGTGGGGGAGGCTTCGGGAGGGCAGTGGGGACTCGGCCTGCAGGCTGGGAGCGCCTGGCCTGGCCTGGCCTGGCCTGCCGCGGCCACAGGGTCCTGCCGGCTGAGCACAGCTTTCTGAGCCCCCCCCCCCCCATTTCTCCACCCAGGGGGCCGCTGTCCTCAGGATGCTCTCCAGCTTCCTGACTGAGGACCTGTTCAAGACGGGCCTGGCGGTGAGTGCGCTTGGCCAGCCGGGCGTGGGGGTGGTGGTCTCCTCCAGCCCCTGCCCCGGGTCCCCAAGCCCAGCCCGCCACAGAGGTAGGGCCTGGGACACTGGCTCCGCCCTCACCATGGCCTGTCTTTCCACAGTCCTATCTCAGTGCCTTTGCCTACAAGAGTGCCACCTACCAGGACCTGTGGGTGCACCTGCAGGAGGTGGGTAACCGCCAGCCCCAGGAGCTGTTCCGTGGGGGTTCTGAGATGCTGGCAGCCCCCGGCGGTAGCGCCTGTGTAAGGGGATGTGCCCGGTGCCGCTGTCAGCCTGGGCAGGTCCTTTGGAGCCGAGGTTGGTCACATGCGAGATGGGCACAAGGATGGCCCCCGGAAGGCGGTTGTTTGAGAAACCCCAGCAGGCAGCCTGCCTCCCCCGTAGGGACCTCCGTGATGGGGGGTCTGCGAGTCCCCTCTTCTCAGCGCTGAGGAAATGGGCCCTCACGGCTCCCACGCCCAAGCCCGCCTCGGCCAGGGACTTTGGAGCCGGCCCTCCACCCTTCTTGGCAGTCCCGCCGCCCTGTGCCCGCCCGGCCCCGCCCAGGCGTGACTTTGCACCCCAGCACCCCCAGCACAAGCCGGGGCCCTCCCAACCGGCCCCACCCTGCATTCCTATCACCTTGCATCCCACAGCACCCCTGTCTCTTGGGCAGACCTTCTGTCCGTCCCCTCCCTCCCCCTCCCCCACCGCCTCTCCTGGACTAGGTCTGCCCGCTGGCTGCCATCTCCCATCTCCTCCTCACAGCTTCCCCCTCCCCCTCCTCAGCCCGACTGGGGTGACCCCTCCAGAGCCCCACGCCCCAGGCTTCCCTGCCAGCTGCTCCCCCACTGTTGCCATCATGTCCCTCCAGTCCCCGGGCGCCCAGGCTCCGAGGCCAGTCTGACCAGAGAGGGGAGACCCAGGGCTTTGTCACAGGTCACAGCTGGGCTCCCGTGTCCTCTTGGCCAACCTCCCACCCAGGTTCCCTCTGCCTCCAGCCTGGCCCACCTCCCCCATCTCCCTTTCCTCCCCAGTTGCCTCCGTCCCTCCCCTCCACCTCCACTGTCTGCCTTGCCCTGCCTCAGTTTCTCTCCTGTCCCGCAAGCTGAGCCCTTCTCCGTGCCAGACGCCCCTCCAACTTCATCCCTCCCTCCGGTTCCCTCTGCCCCTGAGCCCCCTCTTTCTGCAGCCCCCAGAGCTCCCCCCATCTCAGCCTGTACGCACCCTCTAACATGCTCTTCTGCCCGCTTTCTCGCCCTGATCTCGTTTTCATTTTCTCAGCCGTTAACGGGCATTGTTGGAGTTTTTTTTGTTATTACAAAACCAGTGCAGCCTTAGCTGGTGTGGCTCAGTGGACTGAGTGCCGGCCTGTGACCCAGAAGGTCACCAGTTCGCACCCCCGAAGCCCGTCCCCAGGCCCCCATCTGGGTGCTCGCACCTCTCCCCCTTGCCCTGACTGTGACCCTGGCTTCTCCTCACCTGGCCGTCCTCTTCCAGGCTGTGGACAATCAGACAAACATCACGCTGCCTCAAAACGTGAGCACCATCATGGACCGCTGGGTCTTGCAGATGGGCTTCCCCCTCATCACCGTGGACACCAGCACAGGGAACATCTCCCAGCAGTACTTCCTTCTGGACCCCGAGTCCGAGCCCACCCGCCCCTCACCATTCAAGTGAGCAGATGGTGTCCTGGGGCAGGCGTCCCGGCGAGGGTTCTGAGGGCCGGGCCTGCTGGGGCCCCAGCCCCGGGGGCTCTAGACAGGCTCTGCCTCCTGGGCCAGGAGGGTGGAGGCGCCTGGTGCTGGAGTCGGGCAAGAAGTGGGGGCCCGGGTGGGGCTGCTCGTGGCCAGCCGTCTTGCACTGCTTGACCTCGGGTCTCTTGTTGCAGCTACCAGTGGATTGTCCACATCTCGTCTCTGAAAGATGGCGTCCAGCAGCAGGACGTCTGGCTGGAGGAAGCCTCCAAAAGTAACCCCGCCCTACCCTCCTGGACAGCAGTCCCACCCCACACCCCCCAGATCCTGGCCCCTGTGCTGGGGCTGACGGCAGCCTCATTTCACTCCCCAAATCGAGCCGACGGCTTCGGTTGTAACCTCTGCCGCTGCTGCTGCCCAGCGGTGGGACCCTGGGCAAGTGACCATCCCTGTTTGGTCCTGACTTTTTCATCTATAAAATGGGGCCAAGAACAGTAGCTTCCCCCTGGGATTCTGTGAGGAGTAAAGGAGACAATCCACATGAAATATTTTAAACAGTGCCTGGCACTGGGCATGAGCAGCCCCACCCTGCCAGGCATGGAGGAAACCACGGTCCAGGCAAATTGTCCCCTGCCCGGGCCGAGGCTGCCGATGAAGGGAAGACAGGCAGTTAAACACTTTCCAGAGCTGTTCTGAGTGCTTTAGCAGAGGTGTGCATGACCTCTGGGCTGCTGGAAGGGCACAGGGGCCAGGAGCTGAGGGTAGGCGAGGTTGAACTTCATGGAGAGATCAAGGAAGACTTCCTGGAGGAGGTGACCTGAGTCTTAGAGGAACAGCAGCTTTTCTTTAGCGGTGGTAGAGAAAAGCATTCCGGGCAGAGGAAATAGCAGGTGTAAGGCGCAGAGGCAACAGCGAACATGGGGACTGAGTGGAGGTCCCTGCAGGGTGCGGGAAACCCAGCATCCTTGGCGCAGGTGGGAAGTGGGCAGACAGGTGCTTGGGTCTGACCTGCAGCTGTGGAAGGGTCCCCTCTGGCTGCCAGGAGACAGGACGGAAGGGTGAAAGATAGAGCAGGGGTGGGGGCACCAAGCACCAGGGACCCGATGGCCAGCGCCGGGGTGTGGACCGGAGGTCCGGCCATGAGAGAATGGAGACTGGTCCAGGCGCAGGCAGGCTGTGGGAAGCAGGCCGGGCACTGAGGTTTGACATGGCATGTGGCTTGTCTGAGGCTGCCAGAGGTGGGCCGGGCAGCCTGCTCGACACCCCATCTCCTCCCTTCCCTGGCATCGCCCCAGAGGCTTGTGGGCCAGCTGCGGCCGCCGCCAGGTTGCAGGAGGCTGCTCTTGCTGAGGCCTGGAGAGAGGAGGGTCCGGGGACAGCCTGGGGTCTCTGAGCAGCACCCCCCAGCTCTTGTCTCTTTCCCACAGTCGAGGAGCAGTTCAAAACCGAAACTGAGGACTGGGTCCTGCTGAACATCAACGTGACGGACTATTACCAGGTGAACTACGACGAAGACAACTGGAGGAAGATTCGGAGTCAGCTGCAGAGAAACCTGTCGGTGGGTGTCTGTCTGCCACCCGACCTGTCCCCTGCCCCAGGCCCAGCCCGAGGTCACACCCTGAGGTCACACCCTCTGTGGCCCCTTCTAGGTCATCCCTGTCATCAACCGGGCCCAGATCATCCACGATGCCTTCGACCTGGCCAGGTGAGCGTGCCCCCTCAGGCCCAGACTGGCCCTGCCAGGAGGGCCTGTGACTCAATCAAGCAGGTAGGTTTTCCAGAGGAAGAAGCAGCTGTTTGCTCCCGGAGCCAGGCCCAGCGCAGCAGGCTCCCTGGGCCCCGGGGGCGCCCAGCCCTCAGCCTCCATTTCCCAGATGAGGAGCCTGAGACTCCGGAGTTTGAGTGCCCTTCCCTGAGGCCAAGTGCCCCGCCCATGGTCCGCCCAACCCCTCAGTCACACTGCACTCCACAGCACCAAGCTTTTCCTGAAGGGTGTGTGCCAGGTCTCTGTGCTAGGTGCCAGGACATCTGGGAAGGACAAGACAGGCAACATGAAGTGCGGATGAACTGTTGTCACCCACAGATACGGGCATTTATGAACCCCATGTGCACAGACAGCCTGAGGAGGGGGAGGGAGAAAGACTGAGAGGGCCTGGAAAATCAGAGAAGAAATTGGCAGAGGAAAGAACACAAGCTTTTTTGTGTGTCCTTCTGAATCTAAGCTCTGTCTTTATGGGCTCTATGGCCTTAGGCAAGTCACTTTACTTCGAGCCTCAGTTTTCTCATCTGTGAAATGGGGGTAATAAGCAAAGGATTGTGATGGGAAGTGGGTGAGGGCCCGGCCGGGCTGGCCTTGTGTGTGGAGCCACCCTGCACCCATGTTCCGCAGCCCAGTGAACACTGGAGCTGGCTCAGCTGGGGCTCTGGGGCCTCAGGCTCCAGGAGGAGGCTGGGGTTCCAGAGAGGACTGGGCAGGGGTGCTTACTTGAGCCCCTCTGTTCGTCCCCAGTGCTGGCATTGTCAATGTCACCCTGGCGCTGAACAACACCCTCTTCCTGAGTGGAGAGACAGAATACCTGCCCTGGGAGGCCGCCCTGAGCAGCCTGAACTACTTCAAGCTCATGCTGGACCGCTCCACGGCCTATGCCCCCATGCAGGTGCGGAGGGGCGTGGCCGGGAAGGCGCCAGGGCGGGTGGTGCGGAGTTGCGGCCGCTGCTTTAGGCCGGCACCGTTAGGAAGTTGGTGGAGATTACTCCTGCCTGCGGTGGCGAGAGCCTCCAGGCTGCCCCCCACGCCGGGCCCTTTGCTAGCACGGGCTCGGCAGAGCGGTGAGAACAGGAGGGATGGGGAGGTGAGCCAGGTGAGAAGGGCAAGGGAAGGACCCGGACTTCCCGCAGAGCGTGTGGTTCTGGAAGTCAGCACTTTCAGAAAAAGCCACTGTGCTGGGGGGCAGGATACCTGTCCTCGCCCAGGTACATGCCTGTGAGGACCCTCCGTGGCCCCGGTGACCCCAATGTGAGTTGAGTATGCCCGTACCTGTGTAGCCCACCTGCCTGCAAGGCAGAAGGGGGAGATGCAGGTATGCACCGCCTTAAATGGGGGGGGGGGGCTCAGATTCCCACCAGGGAGACCAGCAGAGAGCGCTGCACCTGCAGGGTCCAGGGGTTGATAATAAAGGACCAGAGAACCCGAAACACTTGAGTGTCCCCAGTCAGGGTTCGGTGACTGGATATCCATTTGATGGGATGTTACGTCGCCAATACATCCCACTTGAAGAGATCTTCTTTTTTTTAATTAAACACGTTTCACACGATGAAGTTCCTATTATGATAAATGAGGTGTTTATGGTAGATGAGGTTTTACCTCATTGTAGCTCATTAACCTGCCTGCCTTGGACTCAGCTCATCTTGTGAATGTGGTTCCATCACCCTCTTGGGTCAGCGCCGTAGGCAGCCTTTACATCGTTGCAATTACTCACTGAACCCCGCAGAGGGCGCCCATGTGTATTTCCTTTTTTTCTCCTTCTTATGTAAATGCATCAGATAATATGGCCGTTTGGCTCCAGTCCCCCGAGCCACCCCTGCTTTCTTCTAGAACCCTACTCAGCTCTCCTGCTGGGAGGTCTCTGAGCCCCCGGGGAGGGGGGGTTCCTTAAGTTTTCTGTCTCTCTGGGCAAGGGGTGAAAGGGCAGATGGAGTGCACCTTCCAGAAGAGGTGGATATTCTGGGGTAGATTGTCTGAAATGCCCATTCCACCCTCACACCGGAATGAAAGCTCACCTGGGTCTACGAGTTTCTAGGTTGGAAGTTATTCCTCCAAAGTGTCCGATCTCGCTGCACTGACGTTTCATCTCTGATGAGAAACTCAGAGCCGTTCTGTTTTCCGGGTCTCTGAACAAGGCCAGTTTCCCTTCAGGAAGCGGGTGGCGGGCTCTTTCCTCAGTCCCGGAGCGCCTTTCTCATCCATCTGCTTTTCGGTCTGGACACGCTTACATTGCTCCTTTAAACGTTCTTCCTCTACTTTTTCCTTTTTCTTTTTTTGGATTGGTCCTCCCGTTTTCTTCCTCTCCCCTTTTCTAGCGTGTTGGCTTTTTGTTCTGCCCCCCGGGGTCTGCCCATCGCTCTCCTCTGTAGGTTGCGTTCATTGCTTCTGTCATATCTGTGAACTTCCGAGGGATGTTCCTGGCCCCAGCATCTCTGAACTCTTGCCAGATACTCATCACAGGCTTTTCTGAAGTTTTGTGTGTGTGTTTTAATTTTTTTTAATACTTAAGTTTTTTTAATGCTTTAAAAAATGTAAATTCGAGAGAGAGGGGTAAAGAAAGAAGAAAGAAAGAAAAGAAAGGAAGGGAAGGGAAGGAAGGAAGGAAGGAAGGAAGGAAGGAAGGAAGGAAGGAAGGAAGGAAGGAAGGAAGGAAGGAAGGAAGGAAGAAAAGATTTGTTGTTCTCCTTATTTATTGCCTGACTAGAGACCAAACCGGCAACCTTGGCATATGAGGATGATACTCTAACCAACCGAGCTACCCAGCTGGGGCCTGCAAAGAATTTTGATAACATGGGGTGGGGCTTACTGTACAATGCTGGGTAAAAAGGTACAGTGTGCAGAATCCTGGCACCTTAGGTAGAAAAGGAAAACAGGAGGAGGAAACGCACCAATCCAGCGATCATCCTTTAAGGGGCGGTGACACTCGGTGGGTTGGCTCGGCCCCGCCCCCGAGCGCTGTCTGAGCCCCGCCCCCGAGCGCTGTGCGAAGGCTTTTTGGCCATCCGCCGCCCTGTGCGTCCTGTGCACCCACCTCAGGCTCCTTGAGGCTCCAGCCGGGTCAGGCTCGTGTCTCCACTTCTAAGCTATTCATGTTTTCTGTTCCTCAGAACTACCTGAGGAATCAGGTCACGCCCCTCTTCGAATACTTTAGAAACATCACCGAAGACTGGAGTCAGCGCCCAGAAAAACTGATGGACCAGTGAGTACGACCTCCTCTGGGTCTGGAAGTCACGGGGGGCCCAGCCACCGTGACCTGGGGAGGCCAGAGCAGCACCCGGGCAGTGTCCCCCTCTGGCTCTCCCGGCTCCTGGCAGGACCAGGACCACCAGGCAGGGAGCTCCGTGCCTGGGAGCAGGAGGCCTGGCCGGAGTCTCTGTGTGGGGGCTGTGGGTCCATCTGGCCTCTTGGCACAAAGGACCAAACTGAAACTCTGAGGTCCCCTCCCCGACCCGGTTGTTGAGATTCTGGGTGTGGGAGCTGGGACTGGACCCTGTGCCAGCCCCTGCGGGCCCCTGGCTGTCCAAGGCACAGAGCCAAGGGAGACCCAGAGGACAGGGTGGCCTGCAGTCGTGGGTCAGCTGGAGAGTCTGGGCCCGGCAGCTGACCCAGCGCCCTCCCGGGGCAGGTACAACGAGGTGAACGCCATCAGCACCGCCTGCTCCAATGGGCTCCCTGCATGCCAGAGCCTGGTGTCTCAACTTTTCCAACAGTGGATGAACGACCCCGAGAATAACCCGTGAGTGTCCCCGGCTCCTCCCCAGCCTTCCTTCATCCCTCAAGCCCACAGCTCTGTCCTCACCGGGCCCTGATCCCACCCTACATGCTGCTGCTCCACTGCTAACTGCCCCCCCCAACCCCACACCAGAATCCACCCCAACCTGCGGACCACTGTCTACTGCAACGCTATCGCCCTGGGTGGTGAGGAGGAGTGGAACTTCGCCTGGGAGCAGTTCCAAAAAGCCACGCTAGTAAATGAAGCCGACAAGCTTCGAGCGGCCCTGGCCTGCACCAAGCAGGTCTGGATCCTGGACAGGTGAGGACGGGCCGGCAGGGTGGGACGAGTGCCCCTGGTGCAACCGGGATGCCAAGGTGGGCGAGAAAGAGCCAGTCTCACCCGTGCCTCTACTCTCTCATTCACGGGGTTTTCACAAGCCGAGCAGTGGGGCGGGGTGCTCCCATTTTACAGCTGAGAACACCGAGGCTTAGAGAAGCACAGCAACTTGCCCAAGAGCCAGAAGCTTCAATGAGTGGTAGAGTGCAGATTCGAATCCAGGTCTGGGCTCATGTCCTGTGCTTTGAACTGCCATGGCGTCTCAGCCTTTACTTGACAATGGCTCACTTTCCCTCTCTCTCTGAAGGGCGGTGGCCCCCCGGGACCTCAGTCCTTCTGCAGGTCCAGCTGGGTGCCCCCCGAGCCTTTGATGAGGGCTCCTGGCTCTAACTGGGTGCCTCATACACGATCTCCTGGACCCCAATAATGAAGGGCCATCCTTAGTGTCAAAGACAGTAGTGGCCACCCTACCTGGTGCGGGGCTTGGGGCTCTGGTCCTCCTTCCTCTCTTCCTTCACCATCAGATGGTTGTCACATGCCAGGGCCGTGTCAGGCATGACACGTGGCATAGCCAGTGACCCCGCTTAGGGCACTCAGTGTCCCATCCGCAAGTGGGAGACAGGACCACAGGGTCTTCAGCCCTCAGCATGCCAAAGGGCTGTCCAAGCTAGCAGGAGCTGATCAGGGGGCGAGGTGGGGGGGGAACCCTCTGCCAACTGGGCTTCTCTGTTGGATCATCGGACTGTGGCCCAAGCAGGTGGTCACCAGCAAGCATCCTGCCCCCACAGGTACCTGCGTTACACCCTGAACTCCACCCTCATCCGGAAGCAGGACGCCACCTCCACCATCAACAGCATCGCCAGCAACGTCATCGGGCAAACTCTGGCCTGGAATTTTGTCCAGGCGAACTGGAAGAAGCTCTTTGAGGAGTGAGTCCTCTGAGGACATGCCTGGGGTGGCCTGAGAGGGGTCTCTGTGCCCAGAACAGCGCAGCGTTGGGAGAGGTGGGAGGGGACCTGCATGGCCGGGGCGGGGGGGGGGGGAGGCGCAGGAATGAAGAGACCAGGTGGGGGATGGGCTACCCCTTCTCCCACTTGGAGGAAAGGAAAAGTCTGACTGTGGGAGTGATCTCTGGGGAGACGGAAGCAAGGACACTGCGGTGAAACCTGTGTTCCAGTCTCCGTTGGTGCGTCTTGTCATCTCATCTACAAGATGGACCAATCACAGGGCGGTTGTGATACGAGATGGGCCAATCACAGGGCGGTTGTGAGGCGTGTGCTTTAGTTCCCACCGTCCTCACTGCTCACTTCTCCTCTGGCCCTGCAGCTACGGTGGAGGCTCCTTCTCTTTCTCCAGAGTCATCCTGGCGATCACTCAGCGATTCTCCACTGAGGAGGAACTGCAGCTGGTAAGGAGCCCCGGACCCTGGGGTCACCCCCAATCTAAGGGGGTGGCCGCCTTTCAGTTCCCACCGAGTGCCCTCCCAGGGAGCGTGGGCTCAGAGGAAGCTGGGTGTCCATTCGGTCAGAAAAGTTTGCCTTGGAATTCTTGTACACGCAAAAGGGTAACGTTAGGAACCTCTATGCACCCATCACCCAGACTGAACAGTTACCCACGCCTTCCGGACACTTTTTGGGGGTTGGGTAATTTTCAGGCAAATCACTGCTATTATATAATGCCACTTCCAATTACTTTCATCCTATCTAAAACACAGGCATTTTTAAAACATGATTTCACTGTCATTAGCAAACTTAAGAAAATTAATAGTCATCTTATAGCCAGCCTGTTCTCAGATTCTAAGTTATGTTCTTTTTTAAATTCTTTTTCCCATGGATATGTTATGTTTGAATCAGAAGCCAACGCAAACTCATTGATTTAGGTTGATTTGCCTTTCTTTTTTCGATTTGAGATAGAGTTCATGTCTCATAAAATTCACCATGTGAAGTGGCTTTTAGTATATTCGCAAGGTTGGGCCGCCATCGCCATGGAATTCTAGAACAATTTCGTCACACCCGAAAGGAACCTCCCTGTTCCCTGTTTCCCAGCCCCAGGCAACGAACCTACTTTCTGTCTCCATCAGTTTGCATACCTCATACAATTGGCTGATAATCGGTGTCTGGCTTCCTTCACTTAGCATAATGTTTTCAAGGCCCATCCATGTTGTCGCACATATCATTCCTTCCTTTGAAACATGAGTTTGTCGTTCCCCTCATTGATGCACTCACTGGTTGTTTCTTGTATGTGCCCTGACCGGGGATCAAACCTGCAACCTTGGGCATAGCGAGGCCGCTCCCACCAGCCGAGCTGCCCAGCGAGGGCCAGTGGTGTCCTTTTTTTTTCAATTTTAACTAAATCTTTATTGTATTTTTTCCATTGCCATTTAGTCCCCTTTTCTGCTTTTGTTGCTGCTGTGGCTTGTGTTTCAGGGGCCCCATCTAAGAAACTGTGGCCTCATTCAAAGTCACAGAGGTTGACACCTGGGTGTGTACTAAGTGACTTTTCATTTTCGGTCTTACTTTGAGGACTTTGGTCGCTGTTCACTTAAATTTTGTGTGTGGTGTCAGGCGGGGGTCCGAGTTGTCCCAGTGCCGTTTGCCGAGAAGACCGTTCTTTCCCCCCATCAAACAGCCTTGGCACCCTCGTTGCAAACCCACCGACTCTCAGTTCTTTTTCATGGATCGACCGGACTCTCGCTTCTGCGTCATCAGTCTGTCTGTCCATCCACATGCCAACATCACTCTGTCTTGGTTACTGCAGCTTTGTAGTCGGTTTGGGAATCAGGAACATGAGTCCTCCAACTTGGTCCTTTTTCAAGACTGTTTGGCTCTTCCGGGTCCCTTTACTTTCTTTATGAATTTTAGGGTTGCATGGCACTCTCTGCAAAAGGGGGGGCATTGGTGCTTTGATATGGATTGTGTGTAATCTATAGATCAGTTTGGGGACTACTGCCACGCTGACACCTTCCAGTCTCTTGACACAAATTTATTTGGGTCTTTTTTTCTTGTACTTAGGTCTCCTTCATTTTTTAAAAAGATTTTATTTATTTTTAGAGAGAAGGGAAGGGGAGGGGAATGAGAGGGAGTGAAACATCAATGTGTGGTTGCCTCTCACGCACCTCCTACTGGGGACCTGGCCTGCAACCCAGGCATGTGCCCTGACTGGGAATCGAACCAGAGACCCTTTGGATCACAAGCTAGCGCCCAATCCACTGAGCCATACCAGCCAGGGCGCTTCTTTATTTCTTTTAGCAATGATTAGTTTTCACATAGCAGTCTCATACTTCTCTTGTCAAAGTTATTCCCGAGTATTTTATTCTTTTTGATGCTGCTGTAAATGAAGCTATTCTCTGAATTTTATGTTAGGATTTTTCATTGCTAGTGTGCAGACATACAATTGGTTTTTACACACTGCTCGTTGTCCTGCAACCTTGCTGAACTCATGAATTTGAATAAGATTTTTTTATAGATTTCCTAGGGTTTTCTATATGCAAATCATGTCATCGGCAAGTAGAAATAGTTTTACTTCTTTCTTGTCTAATTGCCTTAGTTCCAGCCTCTAGTACTAATACACCTTTTAATCTGTAAAATCTCCTTTAAAAAAACACCATTTATTTGTTGAAACAACTGGGTCATTTGCATTATGGTATGGAAATGGCCACGTGTGGGGTGTGGCTGGTTGTTCCCTGTGGTTCATGTCTGATTTGTCCCTCTGTCCCTCCCTTGATTGGGTTGAGACCGTAACTGAGTTAAATACTGCAAGTCAGCTCCGTGCAGAACCACACTCTGAGGGCTCACTACGCCGAGCAGCCAGGTTTAAACCTGGAGTCGCGGTCATCTTTGAGCTCTGCACTAGATCCGGACTTGGCCCCGGGGGCGAGGAGGGGAATCGCTGTCGTAGAGAACAGGCTGCGGTCCCCAGAATTCGGGCCCCCCCGCTGGAGTGGGGGGACACAGGCTGGGGCTCCCCTCCCCAGCCTGGGCTGAGAGTCTTCCTTCCTCTTCCTGGCAGCTGGAGCAGTTCAAGGCGGACAACGCGGACACAGGCTTCGGCACAGCCACGCGGGCTCTGGAGCAAGCCCTGGAGAAGACCAAAGCCAACATCAAGTGGGTGAAGGAGAACAAGGCCGTGGTGCAGCAATGGTTCACAGACAACAGCTAGTGGCCCCCGGTCCAGGCAGTCGCCTGGTCTGCACGGGAGAGGCCCACTCATGCCTCTGTCCCAGTAGCCCTCTGCGGGGCCCTCCACTCCTGAACGAAGCCGTAGGCCACGTTCTCCCCACTCTGTGCGTGATGCCAACCCAGCTCCCGATGGCCAGACCGTCCAAGCACCTCCCAGCCCCTGCCCCTCGTGCCGACAGCACTTGGGGCCCTGGGGCTGACCTCAGGGAAGCCCTCGGTGGACTACGGATGGCCTTGGGGAGCTGCCCTACACCCTCTCCTGCTTCCCCATGACGACCCTGAACCTGGGGACTCAACAGGGCACCAAATCTGTATATTTTTTCAAAGAGAAAATGTAGATAAAGGATTTCTATAGGAGCTTCCAGGCTCATCACCAAACCAGAGCAGGCATGCATCTGACCGCAGCTGGGGAGCTGGGCTGGAGGGAAGCGGGGAGTCTGGGCACACTGTGGGCTCTGGGGGGCCCCCCCCCAGGGAGCAACGGGTGAGAGGGGCCCCCCCGCCGGTCCTTCCTGCAGAACGCCTGCGTGTGCCATCTGCCCAAACCCTTGTTCGTTTTGCCTGCCTTCCCGAGGCAGGCCTGAGACGCTGGGTGCCACCCTGCCACCGCCCCGAGCCCCATGGTGGGTGGAAGTGATGTCCGTTTGCAACCCAGCTGTTTTCAAGAGCAGCATCCTGAAAAAGGCAGGGGCCTCCCTGATCACCGTGGGGAGGGGACCGCCTGGGACCCACAGGCTCCATGGCCCATGTTGGACTTACTGGGAATTTCCTGGCAGACACCAGGCGGTAGGAACCGCCCCTGGGCCCAAGCTAAGCGCTGGGCTGGTGGGACGGAGGGGGCTGGGCCACTGGCTGAGGGTCTGCAGGGCTCTAGCTGCTGGGGCCCGGAGTCCTGAGGCCTGGCTTCAGGTCATGGCTCAGCCACTGTTTCCTGGACAAGTGACCGAAACCCCTGGGCTCTGGTGTCATCACCTGCATGGTGGGGATGCTCGATTCTAGGGTTGGTGAGGGAAAGGAAGGAGTCACATCCTACCACTTGGCTGGCAAGTAAGAAGAGCTGCCTGTCACTATGGTCCCATGTCTGGCTTCAAGGCCCCACTGGCCCCTTCCCCTCACTGCCTGTCCCCTCTGGGAGGAAGGCTCCCCCTGTTCTCCACGGGGGTCTGCACTTCAAAGGGTGGGGCGGAGCCAGCCAGGGTGGGGCAGGGTCCCTCCACCAATCAGGTCCCCTCTGGGCCCGTCCTTCCTGTCGCCAGTGCCCAGCAGCAGCCCAGCAGCAGCGGCTGGCACTTGACCAGAGCATAGGGCCCCTCAGGTGGTCCCCACTGGGGGAGGGGTCAGCCCTGCCATCCAGTGTCCCCAGGGAGAAGAGCCAGCCAGGACTCCAGTCTCTGTGCCCGGCACTGAGCTCAATGTCTATGCGCATGTCTCCTGGGTTCTCAGCACCCCAGGAGATACGGACAGCCTTTATCTAGGCTTTGCTGATAAGGAAACTCCAGCTCTGGAAAGGAGGATTAGGTCAGAACTTGGCAGAGCTGGGAGGAGACCGGAGTCCTGCTGTCCTGCCTCTGCAAGAGCAGGGCCCGTCTCCATGTGGACCAGGGACAGGGTCTGTGACAACCAGAGGTTGCATGCTCAGGCTGACAGCTTGCAGCCCTAGCTCTCAGGAGGTCTGGGCACCTGGGCGAAGCCAGCTCCCAGGCTTCAGCAAGGACATGCAGAGCGCCATACCTGCCTGCAGAACCGGGCTCAAGGCCACACTCGGAGTAGGGGCCCACCTGCTCACTCCCGTCCAGCCCCAGGACACAGGGGAAGGCAGGATCTAAGGGCCAGCAAGCAGCAGCCCGGTGCAGTGCCCCCTCCCACCTCCCCAGCCTTCAGGAGGCTCCCCAGGAGGCATGCCCTCTACACGCCACTAAAAAGCCTAGATGAGGCGCTTAGCAAACATCCAGACTCAGAGGATGACTGGGGGCCCTGGGAAGGTGGGAGCAGATCGGTCACCCCAGTCCAGGCACAAGTGCCGGTTCCTCTCCCCTGCCAGTCAGTGAGCAGAGGTTCAGCCAGCGGCAGCACGCCTGGGACGCAGCCACGCACTGAATGGACGGGGGCAAGGGGCCACTCCCGAGAGGCAGAGCTGAGCCTTCCCTCCCAGAGGATGAGGATGGGGCTGGTGGTTAGTCCCGTTCCCCTGGGGCCTGCTCCCCTGAGTGCAGTAGTATCTGGGATGAATCTCCGGCCACCTCCTAGAGGAACGCCTCTTGAGGGGACCTGGGAGAACAATGCTGCCCTAGTCCACTGCCTGGAGTTCTTATAGGAAGAAGAGGCAAAGACACACACACACACATGCACACATACACGCACACATACACATACACACCCAAGGAGTGACCACGTGAGAACACAGTGAGAACGTGGCCATCTGCAAACCAAGGAGATGGGCCTCAAAGAAACCAAACCTGCTGATACCTGATGTTGAACTTCTAGCCTCCAGAACTGTGAGAAAACACATTTCTGTTGTGAAGCCGCCCAATCTGTGGTCTTCTGTTAGGGCAGTCCAGGCAACCAAACACGCTGGCTTAGTTAGTACCTGGGGCCACTCACAGGCATCCTTAGAAAACAATTTCAGGCCATTGTGAAGAAGCCCTGTGGGTCAGCAGGAATGCACCCAAAAGGATGGAAAGGGGCGACAGGATTGGGTGCGTGAGGCAAGTGCAGGGGTCCAAGAGTCAGCCCTGCAGGCCACTGTGCGCAGCAGGCCAGGTGGAGACCCGGCACCACACATAGGATCAGACTGGCAAGGGAGGGCCCGCATCCACCTTGACAGGGCACAATCTGTTCCCCGCAGGATGGGGACATTTTTCCTTCCCCAGGGGCCATAAGAACTCCAGTTGATAGAAGAAAAACAGACCAAAGCAAACTTTTGTTGTTTTTTTTTTAAGAAGCAAAATCAAAGCATATAGACTTCTGCCCTTCCCCTACTCCCCCAACTCATCCCCCCATTAGTCCCAGCTGCCAACTTGGCTCTTCAGAGCACACTGGCTGTTCTGGAGGGGGTCCAGGAGTGGGGGGGCCTGCCAGCCCCAACTCCAGCCAGGGATGCCTCCAACTGCCAGTTTCGAACACTGCCTGCATGAAAGACATCTCTTGGGAAAGGGGCCCTTAGCTACGGGGAAGCCTGAAAATCACTGATGTCCCAAATGATGAGGGCACCCACACTACAGGCCTGATTCCTCACTGAGAAGGGGACAGGCAAGGCCCTTAGTAGAAGATGCTCAGGTGGCCCCCCTCCAAATCTTCTTGCCAAAGTTCAGGGCAGCCACTGAACTGCGGGCCTGAGCTCTGGAGAGGGGTTTCATCGCTGAACTGGAAGGCGGGGCCTGGTCCCCGGTCCTCAGAGCTGGGCAGCACCTCTGCACTGTGGCTCCAGCATCCCCACTGGGCCTGAGGCTGGAGTCCCTGGCATGCTGGGCCCGGCAGGAGGGACGGGGTTTCTGGCAACAGATAGGGCTCCGGAGACACAGGAACACCCTGTGCAAGACAGACAAGAGCAGTGACTCCATGGACAGTGTCAAGAACGGTGCTGGCAACACAGTAAACATTCAATACATTTTGTTTATTAACATACTACTTTATGGACCATGAGTCATTCTTGGGCTTCAGGCATAACTGAAGCTTGAAGGAGCAAATGTCACCAGCTCAAAAGCCATTGCTCTGGAAGTCCCCAACCTTGGGGCCATGAGGCTTCCCGCCCTCCTCCCGGCCCTTTTTGGAGCACTTGGACCCTGGCCTCTGCCACCTCCAGAGGCCAGGGTGGAAGGGGCAAGTCTGAGGGTGCCTCCCTCATCCACAGGGGGTGATGACTTCTAGGTAGTGGTGAGGGCCTTACCTGTCCAGGGCCCCACCTCTTTCCCCACGGAAGTCAGCGCCCTCTCCACCCCCAACCAGGGCTGGATTAGATCGTGGGGATCTACAAAAATACGGAATCGTCTGCTGACTAGAGCCTACCCACCGCGTCCCTTTTCAAGGGATGCCTGGGGGACGGTACCTGGTACATTGCAGCGGAAGGCTCCGGGTCAGCAGGGGACGGCGCCCAGGACGTGGCCTGGGTCCCCGGCTCTGGGGGTGTCTGCGTTCCGGAACCCACGGGGGTCGACGTCCAAAGGGCAGCGTCGGGGACATTTCCTTGGGACTCTTGAGGAAGCGACTGCAACCCGGGGCAGTAAGGGGGTGAGACCCAGGGACCCACGTCGGGGACCCTGCTTCTCAAGTGTTCGGGCACCGCTGGGGCTCCGGGACAGACGGGGGGAGACCCCCAAGACCCGACGACGGGGGCAGCGGAGCCCAGATCCGGCCGGGGCGCCTGTGCAGGGCCGCCGTCGGGGCAGAGCGGGCAGCCCCGAGGGAGCGCCGCGTCGCTGTGGCGCCGGCGCCGCAGGCTCTCCTCGCTGAGGCCCAGCACGGCCGACAGGTGGCCGATGTAGCGGATGGCCAGGCGCAGCGTCTCGATCTTGGTCAGGCTCTGGCCGGCGGGCGCCACGGACGGCGGCAGGAAGCGGCGCAGCTCGTGCAGGGCGCGGGCGAGCGTGCGCATGCGCAGCTTCTCGCGCTCGCTGGCGCTCTGCCGCTGCCCGACAGCTGGTCCCGACCGCGAGCGTCCCGGCGCCGTCTGGGCGGCCTCTGGCGCGGGAGCGCCGCGGACCGGAGGTGCGGCCTGCGAGGGGCCGCGGACGCTGTCGCAGGGGCACGAGCCCGACGAATCCGAGGAGGAGGCCGGGGACGTGGAGTCCGATTGTCCGGCCCAGCCCCAGCCCTGGGGTAAGATCCAGTGGTCGAGGGTGCAGAGACCAGGGGACTGGGCCATGGCCGGGCCACAGGCTCGGGGATGCTGGACCGGCCGCCTCCGGACCTGAGCTTTTATCTGGACCAAAGGTGCGAGGTGGCCCCCCGCCAGGTTACAGAGAGGTGTCAAAACCCACAGAGCCCAGGGAAGGTCTGGGCAGGGGGGCCCTGGGAAAGAGGGCCCATTTGCGGAGGTGTGGATTCTGACTCCTCGGGGGCTCTAATGGAGGCCCCTGCAGCCCGGGAAGTGTGGGAGGGACAATTCGCATCTGGATGGAGCTGCTAAGCTTCTCACCAGGTACCCACCCACCCCGCCCCGTCCACTGCTCAGGGTGAGTGCCCGGAGCCCTATAACGCTGGGCATTGCCATCGTCCCAGGCGCCCAAACTGCTCCTGAAGTGACTCATGCGCCCCTGCATAGAGGGGCCGCCTCTCTCGTCACCAGTCCCCCCGGGTCGGGGTGGGTCTGTACCCAGTAACCCAGGGCCTACAAGTGTGCCTCAAAGACACGCCTGAGGGACCCGCCATCAGGGATAGGGAGTGGGGAGCACACAGGTGGACCCCTCCTGGGTTCTTTGGAACCTGCGCTTGCTATTTTGCTGAGTGACATGGAAAAAGGCGTCTCACTGCCCACAGTTAATTTCTGTTCCTGAAAAGCAGAACAGAGCATCCCGAAGAAGAGTGAATGAATGGCGGTATGCAGTGGGTGAAGGGGTGGGGAAGGAAGCCCCCCTACACAAGCTGTCCAGAGTCAGAACTTCTGTACTTGCTGTGTGACTTTGGGCAAGTGATTTAACTCGTCTGAGGCTCAAGTTTCCGCATTCTCAGCAATAACGCAAAATACCAGCACTTTGGAGGGTTCCCAGTACCAAGTGGAACAGTCTGCAGACCCACTTAGTGTGGACTTGGCAAGTGAGCTACATATTGTTGGTGCTATCATTTCATAAAGAAGGTACTTACATTTCAAGATGCTTGTAGGCATTATTCATTTAATTCATTTTTGTTTAGCAACTGGTAGGTGTCAGCCACACCAGTGTGAACAAGCTAGCTCTGTCCTCTGCTTTCATGAGGTTTTGGTTTTGTGTGAGAGGGGGGTGAGCAGGCCATTGTATGATTCGGGGAGCCCGCCACTCAACCAGCTGTGTGCCCTTCCCCTGTCTGAGCCTCCCGTGCTATAAAACATGGATACTAATATGTCTGTGTTTCAGGACTGTTCCAGTCTCAGAGCATGAACTTGGGACAGAGTAAAGCTTATGAGGTAAAACCTCTCGCCCGCCCCTCAGCAGGGATTACAGCTTTTAAAAGGCATCTACGTTCTTTGTGGTCTTTTCAAAAACAGGCCTGACTTGGAGGCGAAAGGCCTCAGGAGGGCCGGCGATGGTGCAGCTCTGGTCACAGAGGTGCAGAGCTCACCGCAGGGCCTGGAACCCGGCCAAGGACTAGGGCAGGGAGCGAGGCAGGTGGCATTCTGGAGGTGGGACTTCGCAAGGTGTTCCCTAGGGGCAGGAATAGGTGAGCTGGTATCAGCCCGACATCGTCAATGGCCTCGTGGTATTTTATGGCTGTTTTTAAAATTGGATTTTCAGTTATGTAGATTACATAAGGAATACATTCTGTTAGATGTGGAAGCACGAGAGAGAATGCTGGCGCCCCCGCAAGGTGACAGCTGTTGTTACAGGATTGTCAGGCCCTGCCTCCAGACCTGAGCCCTGCACTCCCGTGCATCAGCACCAATCCTCAGAAGACGCACAGCGGAGAGGCCGTGACACGGTGGCACGTCACACGTACCAGCCTGTGACTTGCTGCAGCTTCATTCAGCAGCCTGTTCCAGAGCATTCTGTCTGAGGACTGACTGGCTTCCTTCATCGTGGATTGCGGTTGATTTCAGCGTTCACCCCTTTCGGTCAGAGAGGATAATTGGAACTAGGGGGGACAAGTGGCAGGCGGTGCACAGACACCTTCCGTGATGAAATCCCACCACTTTCTCTTCAGGACTTGTTTTAAAATATACTGGAGCGGAGATGGCTCTGGTGACCACAGTGATGTCGAGATGAGGTGATACCGGCCTGGAGTAACTGTCTGTGGGTTTCTTGTAGCTGCTGTAGGAGAGGGCAGGGAACTAATTTACCCGTAACCCAAAGAGAAGATGGAGTCAGTTAGCCACGCCTGATTTCAGACCAGCTCTCTCTGGAAAGAAGCGGTTAGTCATGCAACATTTCACGACTTAAAAGGGTTTAAACCAAGGGTTAAACAAAGAACTGCTTTTTCCTGAGGGCAGTGTAGACTTTGAAGACATCTAGTCCTGCAGGTTTGAGGTTGAAATCTTGGCAAACACAAGTAAATCATCATTTGTTCACCCAGAGCTCAATACTATAAAGCCCTGATAAATTGTACTGGCCAGGAGTTTATTATATACATGGAGTTGACTGTTGGAAATAAAAGTTTCATGGGTGTATTTCTGGGTCTGGAATCTGAAATTTCAGATTTGCGTGCTGTTGACCTTGAGCTTTCCAACTGGTCCTTTTTGACTGCTGTGTAATATTCCCCAACACGCTCACATCCTAGCCTGTTTCTTATTGATGCACCTTTTGCATGTTTTTAGCTTTGGCCAGACAGCACTGCCTGGTGCCCAGGCAGCTAGGTTTGGGCCGGGGAGGTAAAGTAGCCTTACGATCTCCAGGAAGGTTCCCGACTCCGAGAAGTATTCCTCCTCGCTCCTGCCCCACCCCCACCCATCAGAGGCAGCCTGGAGGGGTTGGCTGTGAAAGGATTCGGTGAATAATGGGAGCCCCCATCACAGAGCCGGGGGTGCAGTTTTCTCTCTAGGATGGCCGGCCTGACCTTCTGTCTTGGCTTGGGCTGGCCCCAGAGCCCCGGCTTTTGACTGGGATGTCCCAGCCTAAGTTCTGGAGGGTGGAGCCCTGGCCTGGTTTGCTCTGGCCCCTGGCTCCTCACTGGACCTTGAAGCCAGGCTCTGCAGCCCTGGGGCACACCGTCTGCCAGCCGCACTCACCAGGAGAAAGCCAAGGTGCATCCTCCCCCGGGCCAGGCTGTGGGGTCACACAGACCTGGGTTTTAGAGTCAGCCCCACCCTTTACCAGCTGAGGATATAGAGGGTGTCTAGATCTAGGGAACTTGGTCAGGAGAATGTTCACCAGTGTGGCAGGAACTTCCGCTTGTCCACCCAGCCGTAAGTTCTGTGTATCCTCTATACTTCTTCCTTAATACCAGGCACCTGTATTACTGCAGATATTTATGTGTCCAGCTAAAAAAAAAAACTATGATTCCAAGACTCTCTTGCAGATGTAATGGCCACTGAAATGTTAGTGGAAGTATTGGATGGAGCTTCTAGAAAAGCTTTTAAAGCAGGGCTTTCTACCTGGAAGACAGATGTGATGGTTATCACCTCAGCAGCTATTTTGTGATCCTGAGGCAGTCTCAAGGGTGGAAGTCACTGAGGATGGTGGAGCAGAAAGAAGCCCAGGCAGCAGTGACAGCGTGGAAGTGCCACACTCGCCCAGGACTGTCTGCCCCTGACGTTTCTTTAATGTGGGAGAAAATAAATTACCATCTTAAGTTATAGTCATTTGGGGTGTTAGCTATGAGCAAGCAGCCAGACGCAATTCCTGCCCACTAAATAAAGAAGTCCCTAGGCATCCCTGTGAACCAACAGCGCCGGGAGAGCTAGGTGAGTGACTTCATGACAGATTCGTTGTTGTCACAGATGAATGAGTGCGTGTCCACCGGAGGAAAGCCCCTGGTGCTGTGTCCCCGGCTGTGCTCCCAGACCCGTGATGGGCAGCGGCATGAAGATAGGAACTGATCTAACGCCCGGTAAGATCCAAACCCAGGAGGGGAACTGGGTAACAGCCAGGATCTGAAGAGTTCCCGACAGGCTGTGAGAACCCATCAGATCGAATAGGGCGGAATCAATGGGGCCCTGTGTGTCCTCCCTTCAAGTTCAGGGTCCGGGGCATCGCGTGACCAGCAGCACGTTCGGTAGGGGCACAGCATTCCTTGCCTTCCAGGAATCCAGGGCGTGAGAAACAAATAGGACCCCCTTTCCATTCATGGCCAACAAGGTCTTCTGCCATGGAGGCTGGTCTCTTATTCCCCAGGCAGGGCGGGCCACACCCAGAGAATGTGGTCCCATCTTGGGGCCACAACTTATAGGGGACGGGGACAAACTCAGGGGAGGGAGGCCAGTAGGAGGGGTTGAAGCCAGGCCCCTAGGGACATAGCTAAAGGATTCAAGGCTGCTTTGCCCAAACAGAGAACAATTGGGAGGTGTGATGTTGCGTCCAGAACACTCCAGGGAGAGTCTGAAGAACTTGCTAAGGTCGGAGGTGTTGTCTAGGGAGTGAGAGGTCTGTTCCTGGAGGTGATCAAGGAGAGGCCAGGTGTGCCCGAGGGGTGCGTCCAGTGCAGTGAGAGGCTGCCCCGGCCTCGGGCAGCCCTGACAGGCTCCACTGAACAGGGAGCTGGGCCCGCCCATCCCAGGGGACTTGCAGAACTGCAGCCCAGAATCAAGGCGAGGCTGGGAGACCCTGCCTCTGGGCTCCAGGTGGTCTTGCTGAGGGGCCGTGGGGACAACAGTGAGGCCTCGCAGTTGCTTCTGCACTCAGAACACTCGCAGCCACCCCGGCCTTAGGCGCAGCCTGGCGCCGTGAGGCCCGCAGTGCCCGCGTCACTGTGCCTGTTACATAGGTGAGGGTGCCAGGGCCTCGGGCCTGTCCCCCCCCCCCCACTTCCCAGGACCTGCCCCTGATTGCAGTCAGATGAGGGGCATTCTGCCCTGTGCTGTCCGGGGCCGTGGGCGGGGCCGTGGCTCTGGCCTGGCCTGCTCTTGGTGGGCTGGCGTGGGCTCCCCATTTGTTCGCCGCCTCCCCCTGCAGTTCTGCACCTGCTCCTACCCCGGGTGGGCAGGGCCCCGGGAGCAGGGCCAAGACTCCAAGGCTGTCCCCGGTTACAGCCTGGCCTCTGCCCCACGGGTCTGCTTTCCCTTCCAGGCCCTGGGGGCGGGGCGGGGAGGCAGGCAGTGGAACGTGGGAGGGAAGGCAGGAGGGCGGCCGGCCGTGTGGGGGGCGGCAGGGGCCATGTGGTATTCCCATCACCAGCCGGCAGTGCGGCCGGCCCAGCCGCCCCCTTGGCCACTGTGGGCGCCTTCACACCTCCACTCCGCCTGCTGACACAAGGCCGCCTCCCCCGGGGCGGAAGGTGTCGACTTGGGAACGAGGGTGTGCCGGGGCCTCCAAAACAGCCGGGCAGCAGGCCCCCTCCGACTCCCTGGAATGCGCTTCTGGGGTAGGGGCGGGGGGCTGCAGGTCCTCGCCCCTGGGGGCCCAGGGCAAAGGCAGATTCTGCGTCCCTGGGAGGGTGAGAGAGGAGGGGTCCCTCACGGCTCCTCACTCCCGAAGCCGTGAGTCGGCCTGTGTGGAAACAGTCCTGCCCTGACCCAGGCACTGGCGAGGGACTCTGGGCACAGGCTGGGAGGCCCAGGGACTGACAGCCAGCAACACAAGGTCACAGAGTCGCTGCTGGAACTGGGGCTCCCTGACCCAGCCTTCCAGCCCTTCCACAGCGTGAGTGCCCCATGAGTCCCTGCATGGCCATGCAGAGCCTCGGCCTGCTGTCCCCCGCCTTGCCAAGGTGGGGAAGCCAGGCCCAGAGAGGCCCAGGCCTTTGCCTAAAGCCCCGTGGAGCCAGGATTTGAACCCACAAAGGCCGAGCACCACAGCACTGGGAAATGCCACCTGGGCCTGGGGCCATAGCCCCAGGGGCACAAGTTTGTTGCCCTCGGGGAACGAGGTGGAGGAGGAGAAGGGGAAGCAGATCGGCCTGAGTCCTCAGTGGATGGGAGCCCATCAAGGTGCCCCCTGACGAGTCTTCAGGGCAGGTTGCAGGGGCAAAAGAGGAACCTGAAAGTGTGGGTTTTCCTCCAGGCTGAGGTGAAGGTGTGACGTTCCTGGCAGCAGGCAAAGGTGTGAGCCCAAGGCTGGAAGTGGGGAGGCCCAGGGTGATGCCCAGCAAGCCAGGGCGTGGAGGGGGACCCTGCTGTCCCTCCAACGAGGAGGCTGGTGTGTGAGGGGCTGCACGGGCGCCATGGGCCTGGGAGGGTCAGCTCAGGCCTGGAGCCAGCGTGCCTGGGCTCAGTCCCCTGGGCCTCAGTGGTGGTGTCTGTGAAATGGGTTTCCTTGCCCAGATGGTTAGGTTTAGTGCCACATGTTCACATGGGATCCCACACGTCCTGCCTGCAGCCCTGCTGGGGAGCAGGGACCATCTGCAGCCCCCAGGAAGGAAGGCACCCACTCCTACTGCAGCACAATTCCGTTTTTGTGTATTGCATCTATAGTTCTTAAAATTGTGCTTTTATATGCATATGAATCGTTAAAACTTCCCATCTTGACCATTTTAGGTGTGTGACTCAATGGGTGTGACCATCACTACTTGTATTTCCAAAAATTTTGATCACCTCCAGTAAAAGCTCTGCACCCTGTTAAACGGCTGCTCCTTCCCCACCTCCCCCAGCCCCTGGGAACCTCTACGGCTCCCTGGTCATGAATCTGACTGTTGCAGGTGCTTCCCGGGAATGGAGCGCATGGTGTTTGTCCTGCATCAGGCTCGTTTCATGTAGCGTGATGTTTTCATGTTTTTCATGTCCGTGGGGCAGCTGTGTCCACACCACTCCCCTTTTCACAGCTGAGTAATATTCCACGGTGCAGACAGGCCACGGTGGTTCACCTGTTCATCTGTCCATGGACACCTGGGTTGTTTCCACCTTTCGGTTACTGCTGACCACAGGGGACTAATGCTGATACAAACGTCTCGCGGGTGTCTCTTCTCCACCCTGCGTTCAATTCCTTTGGGGAGTTAAAGACCACGCGACCAGTTTTTCTCTCTGACATGCTAAGGTCCTTTTCTGTGTCAGTTGATGTGCGTCTGAACCAGGTTTTGAAGGTCTGCCTCGTACTTCGTGCCGTGGAGGTAACACTTTGGTAATAGGTTCTCTAGCGTACACTGACATGCCTTAAAGTTTCCCACGCAGGCGTATCCTTACACCTGTAATTTATGAAATAGTTCCTCCTGACCGGTGTGGCTCAGTGGGTTGGGTGTCGTCCCACACACCCAAAGGTCGCCGGTTCGATTCCCCGTCAGGGCACATGCCTGGGTTGCGGGCCAGGTCCCTGGCTGGGGTCTGTGGGGAAGGCAACCGATCAGTGTTTCTCTCTCACATTGATGTTTCTCTCCTGCTCTTCTCCTGTCTCTAAAATAAAAAGTAATTTTTAAAAATGTAAACATTACAGGTAAAATGAAGATTAAAGCCTTCCTTGACCACCCCCGGAACCCAGAGCTGCCCCCTCCCGAATCGGTAAGTTCGGAGAGTCAGTCTGAGCTTTGACAGGGTGCGGGGTGTCGTTCGACGCTCTGTGCGGGTTTCTTGTGTGACTGTTTACCCATGTCTCTGCCGACACCGGTGGTGTCCTGCCTCGTAGTTTTCCCTGCAGCTGGATCTGTCACTTGGCAGCACGTCTTCACTGGCCCTTCAGTCTTTTCTGCTCCGGGTGAGTCCCTGCCCAGGGGAGCGGCTGAGCGGAGGGCTTACAGGGGCCGTGCTGAAGCCTCAGGCCGGCCCCAGGGAGCCCCAGAGGTGGGGACCTGGTGTGGGCAGTGAGCAGCATGGTGCACCTAGGAGCCTCCCCAGTGTGACCGTGTGCACCAGGCGCTGACCGGGCGCTGACCAGGCGTGCCCGGGGCCTGGCCTGGGGCGTGACCTCCAAGGGGAAGAAAACTCCCTCGTCTCAGGCCAAGGGCTGCACCCGGAATTTCCCCTGGTGGGGGACCCTCCGGAGCCAAGGACTGAGTTCATTCGGTCCTCAGTTTCGGGCCCATGGTCAGTACCGATCGTGTAAGACCCTCTCCTGTTCGATCTATTGTCTGGGCAACTACTTCCTCTAGATGCTCCCCACACGGTCCAGGCACGGCCCGGTCCCCAGCCTCCGGCAAAGAGGCCGCCCAGGGGCTCCTCACTCCCCAGGCCCTGCCCGAGCACTCCAGCTCAGTCTCGGGGCCCCACTCTGCTTTTCTTTGGGTCTGAGGTCAGGTACGCCTGGGCAGATGGGGAGGGGCGCCCTCCTCCCCCCGCCCTTGGGAAGGAGGGCCTGGGGCTGGCCGAGGGCCTGACTCATCCACTCATCGCCGCAGTGGGGGAGCCCTGGCTAGGGTTTCGAGCCCGGAGCCTGGGCTGGCCCTGCACGCACACCTCCCCCTCCTGCCAGGACTAGTCGAGCCGTGGCCAGCAGTCATGCGGAGTGCAGGGGCGGGGTTGGGAGGGGCGAAACCTGTGTGTCCTGCCTGGAGACAGCTGCAACCTGTGCTTGGGGGGGGGGGAGCAGTGCTGGATGCGCCCCAAGCTGGCAGCCGAGCTGGGCCTGCAGATCCTCACCAGGGAGCTGGCAGGGGCGCAGGCCTCAAGGTGTCCCCTGCCTAGAGTTTCGGACACCTTGCGGTTTGCCTGTGTTCAGCCTTCCCCCCACGGCCGTGTACAGGGGAGGGGAGAAGGGACCTGCCCCTGCCCGTCCCCAGCCCTCCTGAGCCAGCCCCCTCCTCCCCACTCCTCTAGACTCTGTCTTTTTATTTTAAAAAACTGTTTTATCCTCACCCGAGGACATTTTTTCACGCCTTTTAGCAAGAGAGACTGAGAAACATCGATGTGAAAGACATACATCAGTTGGTTGCCTCCTCGTACACACGCTGATCGGGAATTGAACCCACAACCTTTCAGTTTACAGGATGACACTCCAACCAACTGAGCCACACTGGGCAAGGCTAGGCTCCATCTTGCTCCGCCTCTCTGCACACAGAAGGGTGTTTTTCCCGGTGGACAGAGGAATAAGCTGGGGTCCAGAGAAGGCAAGTGGCCTGTCGGGGTCACAGAGCCCATCGCGCCAGCGCTGAGCCAGCTTCACCCACATCTTAAGCCGGCTCAGCCTCTCTGACACGTGCACTTGGCGCTGGTGCCCACCACTCCCACCCTGCCCTGGCCCTGGCTGCAGGCAAAGGCCCCTGTCTGGTTAGAGGTAGGGCTGCCCTTTTCGGATCCCAAGTTCCCAGGCGGCTGGGCAGCGCCCTCTGCTGTCTGTGGCTGGGAATGCAAGGGCACTGGGTGTGTCCTGTGTGCGTAACTTGGGTCAGCACGGTGGCCGGAGGCAGACGCCTTCTCAGTGAGGCGTGCAGATACCCCAGGGCATCTCAGCAGGCAGTCGGGAGTCCCTCCTCCTTGTTGCAGTTGGAGAAACTGTAGTTCAGTTGATGCCTCCGCCTCCCCGCCTTTCACCGTAAAGCCTAGACCCCTCCACGCACCCAGATGAAGCAGAGGAGCAGCGCAGGACTCCCTAAGGAGAGCGGTGCGACCTGCCGGCCCTACTTCTCAGCTCTGCTCCGCTCCGGGGCCTCACAGAGCTTGGCACTTCTCTTGATCCTTTCCCGGAATCCGCCCAATGTCCCTCCTTCCTTCCCAGCCCCTCCCTCCCCGGCACCCCTCTGCCGCCTGTGACTTCCACTGGCTGCATATCCAGCTGATCCATGGCCAAGATAATCAGATTATCGTGGTTCCAGAATAATCTATTCCATATGGCTTGCCAACTCAGTGGCTCCTGGAGCCAGAGGTGTGAGGAGAGGGGCTGGTCCCCGCGAGCAGGGGCTCCCTGGGAGCCTCAGGCTGTAGCTGGGAGGCTGCTGGGGGGGGGGGCAGGCGATGGAGGTGGTGGGGTCCTCAGTGCTGGGCCCCCGACCGCTCTGGGCTCCAGACAGCTGCAGCCCCCTCTCCAGCCCGAGCTCCTCCTCATCTATTTGCGACCCAGGGGATGCTTAGGATCTGGGGGCAGGGCAGGCAGTCCCAGGGCCTCTTCTCCTCTCGGCACTGGGGTGTTCACCATAGCTACAGTCTCTCAGACGTGGCCGAGTGTCCTGATTCTGGGACATTGTCCTTTTCAGACCCAGGCTCTGCAGCTGCATCCCCGGGTGCAGGGGTGGGCCTGGGACCTTTTTCTTTTTTCATCTCTGCAGGTCCCTTGGACATGGAGCAAGCAAGGCTCCACGGGGGCTTGTGGACCCCCAGCCCGGCACCCTCACTCTTGGGGTCACCCTCCTGTGGGACGGGGGCCACTCGAGTCCTCCCCAGACAGAGCCAGGCGGACCCAGCTCGGCCCCTTCCAGCCACATGACACGGGCAGCCCCTCTCCACTCCGTGTCCTCAGCTACCAGGTGAGGCGAGAACACCCGCATCACAGCATGGCTGTGCACTGTGACCCAGCTGAGTGCCAGCACAGTGCCAGGCCCCAGGCGGCAGCCGTGGGCATGTGGGTGGCTGTGCACAAAGGGTGTGATTTGGTCCTCACCATGCCAGCAAGGTCAGTGTCACTCACCCTGGGGCCCAGAGACAAGAGTGAGTGACACAGGTAGGACATGGCAGGACAGGGACTCCACACTCCAGGGGGTGTCCTAGGCTGTTTGAAGGTGAGGGCTTCATAAATAACAGTCACTCCCCGAATGGGCTTGCCTCTCGGGCTGGTGCAGGGGTGGTGGGAAGACCCATGGCAGTAGGGGACCCCCAAATTAGGAGCTTCCCAGGAGATGTGCCTGCTGACGCTAAGCAGGCTGGCAGTGCAAGAGCTGCTTCCTTCCCCTGGGGCCCTGGCTCCAGCAGACACAGGGATTAGGGCTGCTGGGGGCGTATTGACATAGCACCTTTGATTAGCACTCCTGTGTCAGAGAGGCTGGCGGGAAATGAGGGCACTGGGGCTTGGAGGTGGGAGGGGCAGCACCCCAGCCCCGAGCTCGGCCTGAGGAGACCGGCTGTTCCCCGAGGGAAGGCTGAGGCCTATTCCCCAGCCTTCCGGGGTGCTGCCCTGTCCTGCCAGCCCCCCTCCCCCTCCATGCTGTCCAAGGACCCCACTGAACTCGCACCTCTGCTCAGTGGGGCTGCCCCCAGGCCTCGTTTCCCAGCCTTACACTCTGGCAGGCGAGGGCAGCCGCTCGGGCAGGGGAGCAGCGGCCACCGGCTCGGCACTTGTCAAAACACAGGCCCCTAGGTGTGAAGGCCTTGCCCCAGCAGGAGGGAGTGCGAGCCCTGCTGCCTGGAGAACTCATTAACTCAGCTCCCAGATGAAGCCACCAGAGAGGCTGGGCGATAAGGAGATCAAAGCTGACAGAGGCTGGGGAAAAGGAAGAGGGAGGCTGGTGAGCAGGAGGTGGTAGAACCCAGGCTCCAGGTTGGGGTTCCTCCTCTGCCCCCACTTGGCTCCTTCAGGCCCACCAACTATAGCCTTTGCGCAGTCCGCAGTCCGGGCCCAGAGACCCCAGGGGCACCAGGGGAGGGAGGGACTCCCAGTGGCATCTCCAATTTGTTAGCCTTTACGGCTGAAAACCCCGCCTCTTTCATGCCATTCTTACGGGCTCTTTGTCTCTACACTTGCTCCTGGTCTTTTTAACTTTCACTGAGCCCTGACACCAGAGGCCCTCTTGTCACACAGCGCTCAGGGTGCCCCCTCCTGCTCCAGAGCTCTTGGTGGCTCCCCTGTAAGAACTCAGCGAATATTAGCTGTTCGGTCCCAGACCTGAGACCCTCAGGGGCCAGAACTGCGCTTGCAAGGTGGTCCTGTCCAAGCAAGTCTGGTTGGTTTTGTACACAACAAAATACAATTCACTTCAGAGCATTGTTGCCAACAAACTAGTGGAGGTCACGACTACTAGACTGTGGGAATGGAGGGGCTTTTTGATACTTGGGTTGGCAACATGGTGCCCAGCCCCTCAGAGACCCCGTTTCTGCCTGTGCAGCCTTTACCCTGCACGCCTTTCCTTGCCATGCACAGCACCCTCTGTGAAGCCTCAACCAAGCTCCTTCCCCTGGGTCCCACAGGATTGAAGGGGCCATCACTGGGCTCCAATGCCAGGTTCTTGGCTTGAATCTGGAGCCCCAAGAAGGCATCCACCAGCCAGGGCTGGCAAGAGGCAGACCCTGCTGCAGCTGCAGGCTGGAGGGCCCAGGCTCCTGTGGGAGTGGGTGGGTCCTGCGCTGTACGCCTGGGTGGGTTGGCACTGCCTGTCTTCTGTGACTGTGGGCATGAGCGCCCTGGGGCTGCTGGGACAAACTCTGAAGACGGGCACAGACGGAGTTAGAGGAGGTCACGTGCACACAAGATAAAAGAGACAGGAGGGGCGGTGGTGGCAGAGATGCCAGGGGAGAAGAGGCCAGGCCGTTTTGCTTTCTTTCCCACCAGCTCGCCCCTCAGTCTCATGGGACTGGAAGCACGGAGGATGCACATCAGACCCTGGCGCTTCTGAACACCCAAAGCCAGACACCAGGTGCTGCACAGTCCAGCTGGAGAGCATCATGCGTGAAGTAGCTGTTAGGACAGGGCCCAAGCCCCACTGTGAGGGGCCAGGCAGGCAATAGAAATTCTCTGTGAGAGTTCCTATGCGACAGTCATATGGTCTGTAAATAGAGACAATTTTATTTCTTCCTTTTCAATCCGTGTGCCTTTTGTTTTTTCTTAGTGCATAAGCCAGACCCTCCAGGGCAATGCTGAATAGGAAGGCATGGGTAGCAGCGGACATCCTTGCCCGTTCCTCAATATTAGGTCTTTCAGTCTTTCCCTATTTCACATGTCAGCTGTAAGTTCTTTGTAGGTGTCTTTTACGAGGTTGAAAATGTTCCCCTCTATTCCTAGTTTGCTGAGAATTTTTATCCTGAAGGGGGTGTTGAATGTTGTCAGATGCTCTTTGTCATTTCCGTTTTGTTGGTAAAGCCTGTTACGCCTGCCCCAAAGAGACAAAACACCAACTAGAGATCAGTGGTGGCAACAGGCCAAGCCCCCGATGCTCCCTGGCTGTGGGTGTCCTGGAGGTCAGCAGGCTCACCCTTCCCTCGGCTCAGGTGGTCCAGCAGCCTGACCGGATCCGGCCAGCTTTTGAGGGGCCTGAGGATAGCCTGCTCACTGTGGTTCCTCCAGCTCACCACCCGTTGGCAGGGTGTGTCCAGGACCAGCCAGCCTGCTTCAGCGGACAGATTACTGTTCCTCTCACCTCTAGCGGGAACCAGGGCGTCTCTCCTGGGCTCTAGTTGATTCCACAGATCTGCTGCAGCAGGGCCCGAGGATCCCATTATACAAATTAGAAATGAAGGTGCAAGAACATCCAATTATTTGCATAAGGACCCCAACAGTTGAAGGCAGCCCCAAACCTAGGCACTGGACTTCGGACTCTGCGATCCCTCTTCCTTTACCTGCTGAGCTGGCCCAACACCCAGGTCTGGGCACAGGCACTGACGGTGCCTGGGTGCCCATGAGACGGGTCAGGTGGGACCAACCTGGTGCAGGCAACTGGCCAGCACCTTCTTCCCCCAACAGCACCGCGTTGGTTCAAAGGGTCAGGCCCCGCCCCCTCCAGGCCCCTAACCGCTTTGAAGTGCTGATGCGGCCTGGAAGAGGCCACTTCACACCTCGGGCTTGGGATAAAGCTGTGGCTTCGGGGATAAAGCTGTCGCGCTGCCAGTCCCGAGACACACCGCCGCTGCCATGGCCCAGTCCCTGTGCCCACAGCTCTCCGAGTCCTGGGTACTGCCCGCGTGCTGGGGCGCAGCTCAGCCGCCTCCGCCTTCCGACACCGGCTGCAGCTGCTCCCCCGCCTCGTCCCCGAACTCCTGGGGCAGCGCCGCGGTCTGCAGCCCCGTGCCGAGCCGCGGGCGGCCCGGCGCCCACGCAGCCCCTCGCGCCAGGAGGCGCGGCGCCCGGAGCAGCCGCCTGGGCGTCGGGCAGCGGCAGAGCGCCAGCGAGCGAGAGAAGCTGCGCATGCGCACGCTCGCCCGCGCCCTGCACGAGCTGCGCCGCTTCCTGCCGCCGTCCGTGGCGCCCGCCGGCCAGAGCCTGACCAAGATCGAGACGCTGCGCCTGGCCATCCGCTACATCGGCCACCTGTCGGCCGTGCTGGGCCTCAGCGAGGAGAGCCTGCGGTGCCGACGACGCGGCGACGCGGTGGTCCCTCGGGGCTGCCCGCTCTGCCTCGACTGCGGCCCTGCGCAGGCGCAGGCGCGCGGGCCGGGCTCCAGCTCAGCAGTCCCCGCCGCGGGGGCCTGGGGGTCCCCGCCCGCCTGTCCCGGAGCCCCAGCGGTGCCCGCGCCGGTGCTTTACGACGAGGCGGCGTGCCCAGAAGCGTTGGCGTCGGGGCTGGACCCCTCGTCTCCGGTTAGTATCTCCTGCCCCCGCCGTCGTGGGGGCGTCCCCACTGTCTGCGCAGCCTCTGGGGAGGCGTGCAGCCTAGCCTCCCCACCGCACTCCAGAGCCTTACAGACGGTGTCCCCGGGGTCGCGAAGCGGGGAGGGGAGGGAGAGGATGCACATGCCACAGCCCCCCGCCCTGAGAGTGGAGCCCACAAGCGCTGAGAGCCACGCTGTTCCCTCTTCTCCCTCAGCTCTTTCCCGGCCACGTGCTGCCCCAGCTGGACACCTGGATGCCCCTTTCGCCCCTGGAGTGGCCACTGGCCTGAATAGTTGAAGTGACGCCTGACGAACAAGGAGTGCCTGGTCTGTGAGCACTGTGGCCTTGTTGGCCTCAGCACCTTGGAAGGGGTTCCTCTGAGACCCCCTGCCGTGGCCGGGGGCACCGAGCTAACCTGACTTGGGCATCCCCTCGGGTGAGAACCTGTCCCCGCAGGACAACCCACCCCAGCCCCTCTCGCCGTGGGACCCACAGAGCAGACACTTTGAGGCAGTCAGGAAGCTCTGTTTAGTATGTATTTATTTATTTGTGAATAAACTGCTGTTGTCGATTGGCAAGTTCTTTTTTGCGGCGACGTGAAGCGCTCTCCCTCTCCTCCAGAGGAGGTTGTAGGGGAGTTAGGAGGGCTTCTTGCAGTCTGCAGCCCCCGGAGCACGCCGCCTGGTTTCGCTTTGCCCCCAGGTTCCACCTCGCCCCCCCAGCACCTCCTGTTCAGCCTGGAACCAGAAGGCGCTTCACTGGGGAAAGTGGCAGAAAATGGAGACTGTCTCTCTTCTTTGAACCTGTTGTGGGGCTGGAAAAAAATCAGAGTATCTCCAGAAAGTACATCTCCATCAGTACTTATTGTATCAGATCCTTTACATACTTTATACCCAAATAACCATGTTGCAGAAGCCTAAACCCAGGACCAACACTCCAGCCCTGGTAGGATTCATCAGCTCCATTCATTCTGAGGTGGAGGAGGCACTACCACCTCCAAGGGGCCGTTTCTCTGTCCCGAGTCCCGGTTCCCTTGCGCTGGTGCATCCTGGCCTGGACCCTGGGGCTGTCCCGTCTCCCTTCCCTCAGGGTTCCCTCCCAGGTGGTTTAGGAACATAAAATATCGTCAGTGCCACAGTCCTGAGTTTACAGAAATGTGACCTCCCAGAGGCCCAGGGGAAGTGACAGACCCCTCGGGCTGCACCCAAGTCCCTATTGTTGACCTAGAACCAGGCCCAGCTGCACACTCCTCTCTACACTGGCTGGGCTCAGATTAGGGGAGGGATGTGTGGGGAGAGGGGCCTTAAGCCCAGGAACCTGACTTGGGTTTGGGGGGCCATGGTGAGCAGCTGGGCCTGGTGGGTGAGGTGGGCAAGGGGGCATATTCTTTCTCTCCAAGGGTTGTCAGCCTCTGGGGCTGCCTAGTTCTGCCCCCCAACCCCCCTGGGCTGCTTTGAAACACAGGCCTTGTTTGTATTTTTTCTGTTTTGTTTTAATAAGTTTATGGAGATAAAATTTACAGCCTTTTAAAGTATATTTGCATGGTTTTCTTTTTTTTTAAAGATTTTATTTATCTTTAGAGGGGACAGGAAGGAGAGAGGGAGAGAAATATCAATGTGTGGTTGCCTCTCATGCGTCCCCTGCTGGGAACTGGCCTGCAACCCAGGCATGTGCTCTGACTGGGAATCAAACCACGACCCCTTAGTTTGCAGGCCCGCACTCAATCCACTGAGCTACACCAGCCAGGGCTGCATGATTTTCATAGGCTCGTACAGTCATGCAAGCATCACCACTCATTTTAGAACATTTTTGTCACCTCCCAAAAGGAAACCCTCTGAAACTTAATATAATCTAATGAAGCAACGTTACCCCAGTAAATTCAGAGGAAACCATTTCCATTAGCAGTCACTCCCCACTGTTCTACTCCTGCACCCCCAACCCCAGCTCACTATCCTATTTGCTGGCTATGCATTTGCCTGTTACGAATATTTCATGTGAAGAGATCATACCATATATATGGGGCCTTTTGTGTTTGTTTTTTTCCACGTAGCATAAGGTTTTCAAGGTTCATTCGTATTGTCTGTATATCAACGCATTGGTTTCTTTTATCTTTTTTTTGCTTGCCCAGGAGTATTCCGTTGTATTTGTAGACCACAGTTTATTTATCGGTTCACGCCAGTGGGTTTGTCTGGAACCCACCTCCAGGATCCTTCCCAGGGGAGGGGCGGTAATTCATAGTGGGGCGTGGCTCGCTGCCCTGCACTTCAGGTACACCCTGGCCTGGCTTCAGAGAGTGGGGTCCCAAAGCAGAGGCCCTGGGGTGGAGGTGGGACCTCGCACCTTCACTGACGGCCCCACTTTCCTGTGCCTCCCCCCATTGTCACTCTCCCCTCCCAGGACCCTGAAGCGGGTAGATGGGAAGTTTTCGCCAGGAACCTAAGCAGGGTTAGAAAATCTGTTTGCATGGCAAAGGCCCCGTGGTTTAGGGGGGAATTAAAGTGATTAGCAAGTCTTTTCACAGGTAACTGGGGCTTGTTGGCCAGCCCCTCCTCTTCAGAGGCCCCCCCCTCCAGGTCAGAGCTGGGGGCCTCCCACCGTTTATTAGCACTTGGGTGTGATTTCCATTAACAGGTCTCTGCTAATAAGCAGGAGGACTGGAGATGAGAAGAGTCACCTCCCACTGCTCCTCGTCCCCACCCCTTCCTGGGCCAGCCCCATGGTTCTCAGCGGAAACTCTGCAAGGCCACTTGAAGGGACAGGAGAGTCACCAGCGTCCAGGTAGGCGAGCCATGGACACGTGCTCCCTCTCACCTCTCAGCCAACCTGTGCGGTGAGTCCCGGCTAACGCACCATCTTCAGGACGGCCATGTGGAGTGAGGAGGAGGGTGACTGGTACTGCGCTTGTATAAATGCTCAGAGGCAGCCTGGGGACTGGGCCCAGGTGTGACCCCGAGCCCGTGTGCCCACTCCCCAGTGCATGGCCACTCAGGGCAGCTGAACACCAGCCTATCTTAAGGACAGAGGGTACTGCCTGGCATGTCACCTCACTTGCGGCCCTGGCAGGGTGCCCTGGTCCGCAGAGGGGTGGATGGTGGGAGAGAGGGACAGCTCAGCACCCCAGGCACCCGCGGGGCCAGCCTGCTGACTCTGGTCATCGCCAGTTTGCACAGGTGTGAGCTCCCATGAGGGAGAAACAGACGCACTTAGAGCAGTTGCCGTGGGCCAGGCTCCGTGCGTAGGACGTGAAGTTCCCCATCTAAGTTCAAGCCGTTTTAGCCCCAGAGCCGGGATGAGGCAGGGAGGTATGTGCTGTCTTCCCATCCAGGATGTGGGAGTCAAGATTTTCACGGAACCAGTGCACGGCTGTGGGGGCGGGGACAGCTGTGGGTGGGAGGCAACAGCTCTGCCCTGGGGCACAGCCCCGGCAGGCAGGCACACGGGTGGCGTGTGTCTCCGGTGTACAGTATGGCTCCGTGTGCATGCGGGCAGGGGTCGTGCTTCTGCGTGTCGACCGCACACATTTGGGTTGAGACAGCTGTGCTGGGTAGATGCTGGCACTGGGGGGGGGCGCTTGGGGGGGGCAGCTAAGCAGCTGGCACTCAAGGACATGCCAGGGTCACACTGTGAACCTGGGTGGGAATTAGAGGAATGGGAGCGTCTTGGTTGGGGACCCCTTCATCCAGGGGGCATCCAGCTAGTCAGTGCCAGTACCATGAGGGCAGTGCCCCACCAACAAGGAGCAAACGTGTGCCCAGGGGAAGGGACACAAAAGCACCTGCCGTCACAAACCCTGTGTGCAGCCAGCTGTCCGTGGGCAGGTTATCCTGGAGGCTGGGACCTGTCAATGCCCTGCAGTTCTCAAACACGCCACACGGTGTCCTCAGAGAGGCAGGCGTAGCCCTTGAGCTGCTGGGACCCTCCGTCCAGCGTTCAGTTTTCCTGGGAAGGGCAGTTTCTGGAGAAGAGAAAGACATCTCTCTCTGCCCCTCTCCTGGGCCCTCCTGGGTCTTCTCTAGGGTTCCCAGGCCAGCGGCCGGGGGCAGTAGTGGTGCGGTACCTGCCTGCCACCTCACCTGGCACCTCTGCCTCTCACACCTGTGTGACCTCAGGGAGCCACTGAATCAGTCTGAGCCGCAGCCTCTCCAGAGCGATTCCATAAAGGTTGTGGGGCGGCACAGAGAGGGAGGCAAAGTGAGTGGAGAGAGAAGGGGCCACACAGCGGCCGGGGTGGGCTGGGTGTCCTGCTCCTCCGGGCAAAGTGGCCATCCAGGCCCGTGAGGTGGGAGGTCCTCCTCACAAGGCCTGGGACGCTGGTGGACACTTTGCCCGGGCCCTGCCAGGGTCGGGGCTGCACGGGAACAAGGGTTACACAGCACAGCCACCCTGGGGTCTGGCAACAATCTCGCTGTTTATCTGGGTGACGCATCTGTCCAGCTGGGGGCTTAGACAAGGGGCAGAGTGGTTGAACTGCCCCCGCCCCCAAGACAGTGCCTGTCTGTGCGGGTCGCTGTCTGCAACTCCAGGCCCCGGGACCTCCTGAGCCGAAGCCCTTTGTTGCGGAGTCTCTTCACCTCAGGGCCTCCTGGGGCGGGGGTCTGCCTGCCGCTGAGACCTCCTCGGGGAGCCCGGGGCAGTGGCCACGTCACTTCTTGAGGTTCTCTCTCTGGAGGAGCAAGGAGTACCTCCGCAGCCGGGTCCAGTGCTCCTGCTCCTTCGCCTGGTGCTCCAGCTTCTGAAACCTGGGGCCACGAGGTTGGGGATGAGAAGAGCCTGCTCTGTGCTGCGCCCTCCACCCGGCCCCCAGGTCCCCAGGGCAGACCTTCGTCACCCTGTGCTCTATATAGCGGGAACCCTCCAAATGACACAGGTCATTCCTTCATCTCTGTGTCCTCGGGACTCAGCCGGGGGCACAGTGGGCCCCCAAACACCTGGACTGAAGGAATGGGGGGGGGCATTCCCCACCACGGGGCGCAGTTCCCCACCACGGGGCGCAGCGGACTCAGGGGCTGAAGCCTGTGTGACGGACCCGTGTTGGGAAGCCAGCTCGCCCTTTCACAAGCGTCTCTTGAGCATCTGCCAGTGACAGGCTCTGGCGCAAGAAGACCTACGTGACCACAGCAGCCCGCCCCTGTCCCCAGTGGGCATGGGTGACAGAGAGAGAGAGAGAGCACTCAGGATGGGCGGTGTCTCAGTGCCACAGAGACCAAGTGCAGGAAGGCGGGTGAGATCCGCTGCCTGGGGGGGGGAGGGCCCCCAGGGGATGAGGAGTTTGAGTTAGATCTCTTAAAAAATAAGGGTGAAAAAAAATAAGAGGGTGAGTGTGTTTGAGTAGCGAACGCGTGTTCACCTCCACCTCACGTGCGTGGGACAGCTGCAGGCCGCCCCATCCACCACCCCCCTCAGGCGCCCCGGCACAGCCTTTGACTTCCGGGAACCTGCTGTGGCGCGACTGGGGTCTGCGCATCTGCGGTCCGCGCATCTGCGGGTGGTGTTGAGGGGGCCGCCCCTTCGTTTCTCAGGGAAGCAATGTCAAGTTGGGCGGTGCCCACCGTCTCCTCCCCAAGGACAGTAACAAAGGGGTGCCCACACAGCCCCTCGCCCAGGGGGCCACATGACCTGGGGGCCCCGGGTCTATTGCGTCCCCCCGAGAAGTCCACTTATGGCCAATAGCTGGGCAGGTAGAACCTGGACTGTGCTTGGCCCGTGTTCCACAGGGAATGAAGGGAGACAGACAGACAGACGAACTCTGTTTCTGTCTGCTTCCTGGTGTCCTGAAATTTCTCTCTCGTGGTCAAAGTTTGGCCCAGCCAGAGACAGCCGCGATGCTAAAACAGGCCTGGCATGGCACCAGATGGAGATGGTGCCCCGGAGGCCCGGGCGGGAAGGAGCAGACGCCAGGCAGGGGTGGGGTGGGGGCGGTGGCAGGAGGGTGTCGGCACCCTCGGCACCGGCGGGCCTCCTTCAGGCTTTGTTTTGGGCTGCTGCTTACGAAAGCCCGGGGCCGGCTGCCTGAACACGGCCGGGCGGACTGCGGCTGCGGGCCTGCACCTCGGGCTCCACTGCCGCGCGTACCCATCGCCTGGTTTTACGGTGATGAAATGTTATCACCGAGTTTTAGGGCCAGTGGAGAGCCTTCGGGCTCGGGCTATAACTAGAAAAAAGTCAGGCGGGACGGACATCTTTGGGGTGCACACGGAGGTGTGTGGTCGGCGGAGACAGGAAAGTAGCAACCACAGGTCTGGGCTGTGAGTGTGGGGGGTTCGCTGAACTCTGCTTCAAAGCCCCAGACCTCAGCCTCCCAGCCACTGAAACAGGAAAGCCTTTGAATCGCGGTGTTTCCCGGGTTATTGCGGGAGCCCGTTTGGAAGGTGGGTGGCGACCAGGGTTGTGATCGGAACGCGGTGATTAGGTCTGATTCAGGCGCGGCTGCTGCAACCACACAGTTCACCCCCCACCCCCGCCCCCAGCTCCTGCTGTGTCTCGGGACCCGGGAGCATTTCCCTGAACACCCGCTGTGTGGGTGACCCCGAGCCATGCCCCTGTCCCCCAGTGTCCACTTGGTCAGCCCCGCTGGCTCCGGCCCTCTTCCCTGCACAGTGTTCCCGAAGGGCCAGTCTTCCCACCCCACCGGCACTGGGTGCCTTCCAGGGCGGCTGGGTCGGGGACCTGGGCGCTAAGTGGGGTGCGAGGGAGGAGAGACACGTGGGAGCAGGGCGGTGCAAGAGACTGCAGACAGTCACGGCAGAAGGCACTGTCTCCTTCTCAAAAGTGAACACGAAGTTCGATCTCAACTACGCAGCCACCGGAGGGAAGCACCTAGCAGGACAGGCACTGACTCGTTAGTGGTGGTGCTGCGATTACGTAAACTTGCCACATTGTATCGCCCTGTTCTCCAAATGCCTGCGAGAGAGCGTAGGTAGAGCATATCAGCAATAATGAGCATTGCTTTTTCTAGCGGGGAATCACTCCCTTACAGGGGCAGCCCTGCCCTCGGAGCCTTGTGCAGGGGCCTGAGTACTCTGGGCCACCAGCACTGTGCTCAGTGGGGAGGAGGGCGTCCGTCCAAGCGCCTGACACACTGCGTGCACGGAAGGTGGAGGAAGGGAAGGGCGCTTGGACGTGGGCTCCGTGGGTCTTGTGGGCCCTGGTGCGGCTGTTCCCTCTCCGGCTGAGTGTGCAGCAGTGTGTGTGGGGGGAGGGCCGTGTGGACTGGGGAGGGGCTGGGGCCCGGCTGCCTTCTGGGGAAGCTTCCTTCGCCCAGACAGGCCGTGGGCTGGGGCTGGATGAGGTCCGCAGGCCCCAGCCTGCCGGCCCCTCCTCAGCCAGCCATCTGAGCTCCTTCCTCCTTTTCTGCCGGCCAGAAGGGGAACCAGAGTGTGAGGGGGGCACTGAAGGGACCCGGGACCCACCTCTTCCGGAGGAAGCTGTCGCATCTCTCCTCCAAGGGCAGTGCCTGGGGCAAGGCCACGGGGTCCGGCAGGTCAGCCTGGGGAATGCTGCTGTTCCTCACAATGTCCTCCAGGAGCGGGTAGGCGGTGAAATGAAAATAGAAGACAGATTTGGGGATGTCCTTGGCCTCGTCGGTGGCTTCTGTCCGATTCGGACGGTCTCCTGAGATGAGACCAGAGCACCGAGTTCTGTGTGAGGGTTCTGGCCTGTGTAGGGTTCAGCCCCCGGGGGGGCTGCTCTCTGCTGATGAAGGCTGGGTCCCCAGGGCCGAGCCAGGAGGGGCCACTGGGTCTGCAGGAGCAGGGAGAAGCCTGCCTGGTGTCTCCTCTGAGTGTCTGCCGAGGGCTCTGGGCTGCGGTGGCGGGGACGGAGAGCCAGGGCAGGCTGGGTGGGGTGACCCGAGGGGACTGAGGGAGTGAGGCAGGGAAGCGTTCCCTACCTCGGAGCAGGAAGTACGGGTGGTGCTCAGACAGCACGAACACCGGCCTCCAGGGGGCCACCAGGTGGAAGGGCCTGGGGGGAGCAAAGGCACAGACCGTCTGGGGCCCAGACACGTCCAGCAGGTGCACGGAGCCGTTCTTGGAGAAGACCAGCACCTGGGAACACAGACACTGAGGGGGCGCTCCGCTACCCAGTCACCACCCCGGTCTGGAATCAGAGCAGCAGCTGGCCATCAGAAGTGAAAACAGAGAGAACTTGGGTGCTCTCGGGCGCCCAGCCCCTGGCCCCTCTCCGGGACAGTGGCAGGGGTGTGGCGTCTGCCCTGGCGTCTCTGTCCCGTTCCCCCAGCTCCTCTCTTGCAGGGCTGGCCGACCCGTGGTCGGGGTCTACATCTGGACCCGTGCCCTTCCTCCACCTCCTGGGGGGCCCTGCTCAGTGCTCGGCCCCTCCTAACCCCCGCTGCAGACGCGCATCCGGACTCACCCCAATCTCAAACACCCTCCCTGGCCCCGCGTGGCCCTCCAGCTGCCACGCTGTTCCCCTCCCTCCCTCTCTGTCAGACTGTCTCCCGGCCACGCCTCCACCCCCTGCCAGCACTGTCCCATCAGGAGAGCACGGGGAACCTACCATGCCAGGTAAGGGTGGGACTGGGGCCACCGCACAGACGGCTTCATCCGGGTGCTTTGCTGGCCTGCAGGAAACAAGACCCACAGACGTCTACCCCGGAGGCGTGTCAAAGTTCTGCTGTCCTCTCCCGGGCGCACATCCCGGGCGAACTCTTGTACATGAGCACCAGGAGGTGTGCGGAAGGCTGTTCGCAGCCACCGTGGCCCAAACCTTCGTCATCAGAGAGTTGGTGTGAGCGCTCACTGAACAGAACCCAGCGCAACAGCAAGACGAGGGCTGGAGCAGAGGACGTCCGCACAGGGGACTCTGTGGAACAGTGTCGCAAAGCACGTGGCAGGATGAACCGCTTTAAAAACGGACAGAGTGCAGAGACGGCCACGTGGTTCGCCTGCTCCCTCCACGTCACAGCGGACAGCGTGCCGCTAGGAGACACGGGCCTTGGACGTGCTCCTTCTTCAAGCAAAGCCAAGGAATAAATTCAGGAAGACAGTGTTGGGGGCTTGAAAAAAAAAATAACTGCCTGGTGGTACCTCCCACCAGAAGGTGGAGTCTGTCTTTGCCCTGCTGGAATGCAGGTGTGTTCCCCACTGTGCGTGGCGGCTGCCAGATCCTGCAGGCGAGGCCACCAGGATGTGGACCAGTGCCCGGGCCACCAGCCACCAGCCACCAGCCATGTGAGCGAGACCAGTGCCAACCATCCAGCCCCGGCTGAGGACCTGCAGAGTCAGGGCTAAGCAGTGACTGTTCTCTTAAGCCGTGTCATCCTGGGGTGGGTGGTGGTCCCCTCGGAGGAGGAGAGAAGGCTGTGATTGGGGAGAAGTGCACAGGCCTCGGCTGAGTTGGAGGTGACCCGCTTCTCAAACTTGCCGGTGGCTGCTCGGGGCATGTGTTTTGTCTCTCTGCCCATCTCCCTCCATCTCTCTCTTCACATGCACACACGCACACACAGACACTAAATACACACTTGTTGTAGAGGTCGTTTGCATGCATAAACTATTTCACAGCTTTAACAAAACAGACAGAGGCCCTGGGGGAAGCTGGTAACAGGCCATTTTGGCAGAAATGACCGTCCTCTCAGCCCTGTGGGGTGTGAAGGCTGGCGTTTGGGCCACGCTGCCACTTTGTGAGGGGGACTACACAGGCCCTCGAGTCGAAGACAGGTGGTGTCAGGAGAACAGAGACTGGGGACAGAGCCAGCCAGTGTCTCCTGGCCACTTTCCCCGTCTTTCCCGCAAAGCCACCCACCTCTCAACCAGTGTGCGGGTGGTGGGCTCCTGCGCCCCGCTGGCGGCCACGAGGTGGAGAGAGGCGTCTGTGCACAGCACCACACAGGTCACTTGGGATGTCACTGGAACCTCGGGATACACGTTCCGTCCTTCGAGGACGAGGAAGTACTTCAGGAAGTGAACGCTTTGGCAGAAACGCCCCTCAGGAAGAGCGACCACGCCGAGCGGGGACCCTGCAGGGGGCGCCACACACCCCTACAGGTCAGGTCGCAAAGGGGGCTGCCGGGTGCAGCGCCGGTGGGGGTGGGGGCGGCCAGCACGGACGCCAGCGCCCCCTTCAGGGGGCCCTTCCTGGCGCAGAGAGCAGCTGGGTGGGGAGAACCAAACCCCCGGAAGGGCTGCGTCAAGAACATATCCCTCTCCAGAAAAATGAGAACGAGCGATCGGGCAAGGGGTTGTGGACTTAGGATCCTTCTTCTGTCCTTGAAATAGCTTTCGCTTTATCAAAGTGCTGTGGGTGGGACCAGCGAAATTCAGGGGGGCCGCTAGCGCCGCGGGGAGAAGGCCCCCTGGTTGAGACAACTGCTGACTCCTTGAGATGGAAATGGCACCGGTGGGGGAGCCACCCCGCCCACTGGACAGCGGATCCCTGAGAAGGGCCAGCTCCGCTGTCTGGTCGTGGCGCCAGGGAGGAAGGCTCTCCAATGACAGTCCACCGATTCATTCACAGTGTTGCAGAGGCTCAGTTCACGGGAGACGCTCCCTCAGAGGCTGATCAATTTGGGGCAAATGGATCCCATGGATTTTCAGCGCCTACAAAGCTGGACCAAGGACCCTGGGATCCACCAAGGTGCCCCACCTCCCAGAACAGCTGTTGGTCCCAAAGCGATCACTTGATAGGTCTTATAGCTTCAGTAGCAAGGAGGTTCCCTCTGTCGGGGTGGGGCTGGAAGAGCAGGAAGGGGGAGACTGGCTTGTTTTGAGAGCCGGGTGGGGGGAGGAAGGGGCTAGGCTGCGTGCTGGAAGGCCGGTGAGAACAGAGTGACTCCCAGTGCGCAGAGGCGCACGGCCCACGGGGCAGGGGCGGGGCTCACCTTGGGCCAGGTCCCACAGCGTGAGCACGCCGTCCTCGCAGGCCAGCACCAGGTAGGAGCCGCAGCCGCTGAGCTGAGACAGGGCGATGGGCGCGGCGCAGGGCCACACGCTCTCGGGCTCTGGCGGGGAGGACACCGCTCAAGGGGGGCTGCCTGCACCACCGGACGCCGCACCCCACGTCACCTCCCCCTGCACAGCCCTGGACATCTGCCCACGCGGTGCTGTCTGCCGCCTCAGAACCACACGACGGGCCCCCCCGGTTCACGCTCGGGGAGCACTTTCTCCAGTCACTTCATTTCATTCCCACAAGGGTCCTAGGAGGTGGGTCCTGCCAGCTGCTCGTTTACAGGCCAGCAGACGGAGGCGGAGGGAGAAGCCAGGCAGGCTTGCGAGGAGAGGAGCGCCTGCTCTGTGAGCGCTGCAGGGCGGCCTTGTGAGGGGGCAGCTCAAGGGGCTTCACGAAGTCAACTTGCTCCGGTAACTGCCTCCGGAAGTTTGTAAAAAACCAACCAACGGCCACCACCCACATTTCCGAAGTGCCTTTCCGTGTCCAAGAGCTTTCCCGCACAGAGGGACTCGGGGTTTGCTATTTGCCACGAAAGCGGAGGCGTGCAGTGGGCGGAGGACGGCGCAGTTCATTAGCTCCCCGCTTCAGCTGAGAGGGCAGGAAGGGGGGACTGCGGGTTGGGGGCATCGGGACATCAGGTGACTGGCCTGAGACCACACAGACCACAGGCGGGGACAGGGCCTGGTCTTCTGGGGCCAAGCCCACCTCCTTTGGGCCTCAGCTGCCGGGGGCCCTGGGGGCCCGGCTGGACTTTGTCCCTATTGACCTGGAATCTTTAAGGGACACGACAGCTGGGAGGCAGAGACCTGGGTCACAGCACAGCCACCACACAGGGCTCGGGTCCCTTGAAGCCACGCTGATGTGTAAGGCACGGGCTCTCGGCTGCACCAGGGAGGGTACCTACCAACTTTGTCCCTCTGGGTCCTGTTCAGCGAGTAGAGGAAGAAGTTGTGATGGCCCATCCAGTGCACGCCAAGGACAGAGGGCACCCCTGGGGACGGGAGGGGAGGCCGTCACATAGGAGTCGAGGTGGCCTTTGGTTTGTGCGGACAGTGTGCATCCACGGGAAGTGGGTTTGAAATAAAAAGCGGTTTGTTCAAATGGGCAGCACCTGATGCAAGGGTGAGCTTCCCGGGGAGGGGGTGCTGGGTACCCCCAGGAGGCCCGGTCACCTTCCTGGGAAGGGACCCTGGTCACACTGTCCTTGGCCACTTTCAGAGCTTCTAGATTGGGTGTGTGCATGTGTTCTAAGTGACATCTTCTACCAAACAGATGCACGTCCAGGAGCAGCCTGGCGGGGCGTGGGCCACCCCTCTGTGGCAGGTCACTCCCTGGAGACAGAGCCAGCACCCATTCTCAGGGGCATCTGGGCTGCAGCTGGTACCTGCAGGCGCCCGCCTTGTCCCCTCCCCACACAAGGGCTCGAGGAGTCGCTGTGCAGAGCACCTGTAGGAGGGCTTGCTGAGGCCGTCCCCCAAGGTGGCTGGCCAGGTGCCCAGGACAGGACAGCCGCCTGCGCACATTCACTTACCTGAGGGGCCCTTGAGCTCCGCGGGCATCATAATGACGCAGGTGGGAAGGAGGAAGTGGAACGTGGCCATACTGGGGGAGAAAGGGACCCTGGTCAGAGCCCTGGCAGACCCCCAGGCCAGGGGACGGAGCTGGCCGCCTGGGACTATGACCAGAAGTGGGTGGTTGGGACGGACCCAGCAGGTATGCAGCCACGAAGCAAATGGCATTCTGTGTGCCAGCCCTGGGAGGCGAGGGCAGGGCGGGCGGAGCTGCGGGGGTCTCTCTAGGCCGGGAGGAGCACCCAGCACGGGTCGGAGCCACCCCTGGCCTTGGGGAAGACCCCGTAATGACCAGCTCGGGCCATTTGCCAGATGCTATCTTATCTCGGGGGCAGTACAACCAGTGGTGTGTGGAAAAATTGGCTTTCTCTCTATTCCTTTTTTTTTTAAGCCCCAGGGTCCTGATGAGTGGGGTTTGTAGCTTTGTGTGGCATGAACGCTCTCACAAGGGACAGTCACCAGCAGTGTAACAGCCGCCTGCACCCAGGTCGCAGCTGGCAACTGCTGCTGGGGCTTCTCGCCGAACGACACTGGACCCGCTTGAGAGCAGGGTGAGAGCTTTCCCTGCCCCCTGGGGCAGAGCCCTCCTGGGAGGCAGGGCAGCTGTGAGGGCTCAGCAGACAGGGCCGAGGCTGGGACTCAGGTGTTGCCTTGGCAATGCGGGCTGAGCCAGGCCTGCCCCGGCCCAGCCCTGGGTGAGACTGAGCATCTCAATGACGCGCACCAGGGGGCGGGAATATGTGAGCGTTAACAGCAGGGAGCCCTGGGGGCCCGGCCCCTCATGGCTCTGCGTCTGGGATCTTCTCTGTCATCTAGAGAGTCAGGAAAAAGTTGTCAGAGCTGGTATCGTACATAAGACAGTCCTGTTATTGTCTGTCATCGCCATCACTCCCCGTTCTCTACAAAATCCACACTCTCAGCCTCTGTGCTAACTCGGTTCATACAGTCTCCACACGGCTCCTCAAGAGATCTGGGGGAGTTCTCAGAAAAACGCCCCCAGCCAGACGGAGCTCTCAGCCCCTCTGCTACCCGGGGGGGGGGGGGGGGGAGCCCGGCCCGCGCACCTGGCCAGCTCCTCCTCGCTGTCCCCGTCCAGGACCTTCTTGTACATGGCGTGGAAGGCGGCGGCCTGCTGCTCCCACTGACTGTCCTTGATGAAGTGGTTCTGCCCCGAGCCCAGCCCGAGGCAGCCCTCGACCTTCGCAAAGACTTCCAGGGGGCTCTTAAATGTGGTACCTAGGTTGAAAGTGCTCCGGAATTGCTCAAACCATCAGGGCCCCCCTTCCTGCCTGGCGCTCCCTCCCCCACGCTTCCTTCCCGGCCTCCTGCCCAGAACCCCGGGGCCCAGACCCTTCCATGAGCCCCGCCTTACCTTTGCTGGCCTCTCTTCTACCCCCCGGCCCCCCACCCCATTCAGGAAGCACAGGCTGCCCGTGGCACCCCCACCCCCTGCCCCTTCCCATCCTCATTGCAAAAGAGGCCAAGGAAATGTTTCATTTGTATGAATTTCTGTCTGCTACGTCCGGCCGTCTTTCTGTATTTTACTCATACATTTCTGTCTATGTGTTACTCACTCATTTATTTTTATATCTGATCTTAATTACTGTAGTTCTGTGGGTATCAATGACTCAATCTCTCTATATCTGAGGCTTTATAATACATCTTGATGGAGCCAATCTTATCCTCAGGCTCTTTGACAGGAGTGAACGGGCTCTTCTTGGCCTCCCCCGCTTTGTTTTTGATGGTTGCAAAGTATTCCTTCCCCGGAGTGCACCAGACTGGACATAACCAGCTGTTCGTTGGCCTCCAGAAGTGACTCCGCAGTGGGGTCCGGTGCAGCTATGACTTTGCGGCCCAGCGAGCGGGAGTACTGAGAGGGTGCCCTCCGCAAGCTCCGCCCCCAGTGGACTCCCCACCCCCACCCGCCCCTTGCCCAACTCCCATTTCTTTTATCAAAGGTGGTTTCCGTATCCCTGTGACGAGAAGCTGCAGGAACTGGGCTCCTGTTCTATCAGTGAGTGTTTGGTAAACCGGGCGTCCTTGTATTCAGTGCATTGTGTCGCTTCCAGCTGCAGAGCCCCCTGGTGGCACGAGGGGGGAGGGTGCCTTACTGCACCCGCTGCGACCCGCCACAGGGAGGCAGGAATGAATGGGCTCCAGCCAGCGCTCAGGGAAGGGCTCTCTCTCCTGGTCTCCCAAATCTGTATGTTACCCGCGGCCTTGTAACGTCTACAATTTGTGCCATGAGGTCCCAGAGCTTATGACTTAAAAAAAAAAAAAAAACCCTGCCTCTTCAGAACTGTACTTGTCATTTAGATAAGGCTGCTACTAAAATGAAAGTATGGGCGGCGCGGGGGAAGGCAAAGGAAGAGCGAGCGGAGGAATCGCCGGCGAAGGGACGGAGCCCGGCGTCGGCCGCACTGACCTGTGATGGGCTTGGGCGGTTTGATCTTCACTATGTGAACCGGAGGGCTCAGCTTCACGTCTCCCTTCAAACCGATGCTTACGTCCTGCAAGGCGGCGAAGGAAGTGAAGCTGAATCATTCAAAACTCTTCCTCCAAAGAAGGGAGGAAGAAAGGGACAAGGAGGAAGGACAGGTGGGGCAAGGGAGAGTGAAGAGCTCAGTGGAAGATTTAAACCGAACACACCAGTGAGCACATGAACCGTGAATGGCCAGAACAGCCCGCTTAGAAGTCAGTGTGTCAGAGCGTGTAAACAGGCGGGCCCCAGCATGTGCTGTCAAAAAGAAACTCAGGTGAGACACAAACACACAGCTATAGTAAGAATAAAAAAGAAGGAGCCCTGGCTGGTGTTGCTCAGTGGATTGAGTGCGGGCCTGTGAACCAAAGGGTTGGCAGTTCTGATTCCCAGTCAGGGCACATGCCTGGGTTGCAGGCCAGTTCCCAGCAGGGGACGCACGAGAGGCAACCATACATTGATGTTTCCCTCTCTCCTTCCCCTCTAAAGATAGATAGATAAATAAATAAATATCTTAAAAAATACACACAAAAAAGAATAAAAAAGTAGGAAAAGATGTATCTTGCAAAACTCATCAGAAGTATGAGTGAAAAGAGACCGTTGGGCTTTTGCCAAAAAATGTTACTTTTGCCAGTTTTACAAAAATACACGGCCACGTGAACACATTGGTAGGGCCCCTTTTCCTGCATTTCTGCCTCCCACTGGACACCCGCCCTGGACACGTGACTCGGGCCATTTCTCCTCAAGGGCAGGGGGCCGTCTTCAGGGACAGGAGGCACAGGATCTCGTGCCAGGGAATCTGAAAATAGTGCCACGTGGTGGGACATTTTGCTAGCATATTTGATATTTCAGGTAAATTTCAAGTCCAAGTAAAAAAAATCTAACATGTAACTTAAATCTCTCTGGGACTTTTCTTGAAAGTTTCTTACCATTTCTGAATTATCCGAAGACATGGGCTCAAGAGTGTTCTGAGGAGGAGAATGAAATATTAATGCACAGCGGGCTTGATGTACGTGCCCCTCCCCTTGCAGTCTGCTGAGGTGCTCTCTCCCCCCGGCCCCCCCCACCTACTCCTGTGAGTAGCCACGGGGGAGCATTGCCCAGGCGGTCCCTGGGTCAGCAGGATTTTAACACATGATCCCTATTCTCTAGGATGCTGAAGTGTAGTTGAGGGAACGGGAAATAGTGAGTGAGCAGATGTAAGACTGCGCAGGAGACCACTGCAGAAATCTAAGGTGAAGCGACTATTTCCGATTGGCAAAATCTGTTTCGATGCTGACCCTTTTATTTAACTCTGAACTCACAGTACCACTGTGACTGGCAGGAGCTGGCTGCTCCTCGGTGAACGGAGACTGAATTATGGTGAGAAAGCACCCCCAGTCCAAGGTGCTTTCTCAGTTGGATCATCAGTGAGCCCTCCAAAAACACACCTAGAGTGTGGCACCAGGGGCTGGCTCATAAACAGAAGTGGAAGGCATGGTCTTAACAACCCAGAAACATATCGGGCGGTTAAGAAAAGAGAACTTTCGTGCAGGACACGACAGCTGAAACCAAGGTAGTGTGTGGGAGGTGCCAAAAAAAGAGACGCAAAGAACGGATTCTGTGGGAGCTCCGAGGAGAGTAATCCGGTGACACGGGACTGCACCCCATGAGGACGTCTGCTGGGGAGACGGGCGCTTCTTCCCGCTTTCTGAGCGTGATGGAGAAGTGCCTGCATTTCTGTGTGTCAAACAACCTGTGTGTAGCATGGCCTGGGGAGCTGAGGGGGACAGAGGCAGCATGGTTTCAGCCCTGACGGGTGAGCCCGCAGGAGTCGGGCTGGACTGCTCGCCTCCTGGGGAACTGACTGCCCGAGGCTCCAGGTGGGGAGGCAAATCCCGGGCAGGCGTGGGAGGTATTGAGAGTCCCACCACCAAAGACACTCTGCGTTCTAACACCGGATTTTAACCACAGCGAATGGATCTGGGAGACGGGGGCCCGTGTGCCCTCTCTCACAGCCTCCAGAAGGCCCCGTCCGTCTTGGGATCGGCAGGAGGGTTCGGGCTGGACGTGGGGCCAGGGCAGGGAGAAACGTAGCACTTAAAACCCCGACGCTTCCTACCAGCTGCGGCTGTCGGACTTTCTTCTTTGGAGTCGTAGTGACTTGGGGGTGTTCCACCTCCTTGAGCCAAGACTCCTTGGGCAATTTGTACACATCCAGCCAAGTGTCTCCAGCTCCTGCGTTGGGAAACCAAGGGACTGTTGAGCAATGGCAGGCAGGCGCCAAGGGTCCCCTGGGAAATGGCCTGGCTTCTCAGAACCCCTGACACGGAGACCAGCAGACGCCTCGGAGCAGCAGGGCCTCAGTCCCTGAGAGCGGGGCCCCTCCCCCGAAGCCCCCCTCCCCCCGCCCCCGTGCCTGCACTGACCCACCAGTGTCTAGCCAGACTCGGTGGGCCCGGCCCCCATGTGGTCCAGAGTCCAAATTTGGGACTTTAACTTGTCATGGAAGTGTGCTCAGCTTCCATGCCAAATACCTGCCAACCGGAGGAGGGCTGCTTGCCCACAGGGTGGGTTCCTGGCTAAAAGTTTCCTAAAAAACGTGATCACCTGGAGCCCTGGACCTCAGACTTCAGCCCCCAGTACCGCGAGAAGGTAAGTCTGTGCTTTAGGCCACCCGGCGGGGGTGCTGCGTGTCAGCAGCCCCAGGAAACTGCTACAGAATGGAAGCTGCCCCTGGTGCAGAGAGCATTGCGAAATACACCTCGTCCTCCAGCCCTTACTTAACAGTGGAGGTTCAGTCCAGGTTCCTTGGACGAGAACATAAATGCAGGCCCGTAAACTATTTGTCTAAATATTTAAAAGTTAAATATCAAGCTAGAAATCCATTTGGAAAAGATAATATGTTCTGTCACCATAGTGATAACTGCAGTGGGCAAGACCCATGGAGTGTGCTGAGGTGAAGGCAAAACAAGGCGTTTGCAGCCTCTAAGCACCTGCCCCCAAGTGTTTATCCGTTACTGCGGTGGTCTCCACATAGATCCCCAAATCCTGTCATCCTCCTGCCTGCAGGAGGTGGTGGCCTTTCAATCCTCTGCCCTTCAGTGTGGTCTGGACGCACTGGCTTGCTTCTAACAGCGCCGGGACAGGGAAAGACAGTGGCTCGGCAGCGGGGGAACCCGGCGGACGCCACTTTAAGTTCAAGGTTACCATCAGCAGTGGTGAGCCCCGGGCTGTGTTGCTACCACGTAGCCCTAACGTGATGCTGTGAAAAGAGCCTTTCCTTCACCTCCGTGTCTCGCCCTCCCCGCCAAGTCCTTATCCCCAGCGGCATGAGAAAAGTTCAGACAAACTGAAACTGAGGGACACTGCAGGACATATCTGACTGGCGCTCTTCCGACGTTCAAGGTCATGAAAAACAAGGAAAGACCAAGACATAGTCGCAGACAGGAGTAGGCTAAGCCGACGTGGCGCCTGAATGCAGTATGGTATCCTGGATTGGGCCCTGGAGCCAAAAAATTAGGAGAAAAACTGGTATCTGAAGAAAAAAAAAATCCGTAGTTAATAGTAGTGTACCAGTGTCATTTGCTTGAGTTTGACAGAGGCACCGTGGCCACGCTCAGTGCTGGTGCTGGGGACACTGAGGGAAAGGCCGGGTGACTCTGCACATTACTTCTACATAAGAGGCTGGGGGTGGCTCTTATCTAGAAGAGACTGCAGATCTGGACTTGTGTAACAGCCTCTGGATAGCCTTGCCTTGGAGCAGGAAGGCCGCGAAGTCCCCTCCCTGAGAGATCTCCATCTTGACACAGGGTGTTGGCTTGTTGGTGTCGTCCTGAAAAGGAGGCAGAGGCTGCTGGAGCGAGGTGCGGCTCCGCCCAGGCACACAGATCCTTTCAAAACCTGAGGCAGGTGGGCCCTGGCTGGGTCGCTCAGTTGCTTAGAGCATCGTTTCCATACCCCAAGGCTATGAGTTGGATCCCTGATCAGCGCACACGAATGACCCACTGAGTATGTCAATAAGTGGAACAACAAATTGGTGGGTCTTTTTCTCTCTCTTTAAAAAACAAGATCAGCCCTGGCTGGTATAGCTCAGTGGATTGAGCGCGGGCCTGCGAACCAGACAATCACGGTTCGATACCCAGTCAGGGCACATACCGGGGTTGCAGGCTGGTTCCCTGCAGGACAGTTCCCAGCAGGGGATGCATGAAAGGCAACCATACATTGATGTTTCTCTCCCTCTCTCCTTCCCTTCCCCTCTAAAGATAAATAAATAAAATATTTAAAAAAAAACAAGATCAGTAATAAATAGATAAATAAAAAACATAAACTTGACTTGCCACAGCTTGGGGCCCAGCTTTAGGAACTCACCACGTCATTGACAGTTTTGACGAAGAACAGACTGTCTTTGTAAATATAGAACAGTCTAATGACACCTGAAATGGGAAAGGGAGGAAGAGCATGAGGCGGAGAAGCGAGCCGGGGGAGAACTGGGCTTTGTGATGTTGTTGTGCGAGTTCGTGCCTCCTGAGGCCTCCTCCCTGGCCCTCCCCCACCCTCGACCTTGGCCTTCCTGTCCTCCTCCGCCTGGACGTCCAGGCAGTTCTGCCTCCTGGCCCCCTCGGCCCACCCAGCCCCGCCCTCTCCTCCTAGGAGCCCCCTGGCAGCCCCCTGGCCACACCAGTCCCTCCTTGACTTCCGTCCCCCGATCAGTCATCAGCCCACTGCCTTGCATGTCGTCCGAGCCCTGTGGATGTTTTCTGTTCCTCTATCGAGTTCTCAGACGCCCTGAGGGACAGGATCCGGCCTCACTCTTCTATGTGCCACACCTCTCAGCCCCCAAGAAGCTTCTCATGCAGTGGATTTTGTTGATTCGATAAATAATCTCAGTCATTCTAATTCCCCTTGAACCTGCAGGCTCCACTTTGGGACCCTCATCCACCATGACCTCGCCTCTTTCTCCAGGTGCCCGACGCTCATAACTTGCCCCTCCACCCATAATACAGACTTTGCAAAGGCAGCCGGCCCCCCAGACTGAGAGTCTAACTGAGCCCATTAACGCCCTTGGGATGCCTGCTCTCCGCCCCCCAGCCGCCCCTGCCTGGGTCCAGACCAGCCTCCTCTCTCTCCTTAACAACTGCAGGGGTGCTTCCGAGTCGATCTGGCCCTTGCTTGGCTTTTTCAAACTCCTGCCAGTGTGCCTTCCGAAGCCATCAATCAGGCCAGGTCACTTCCACAGAGACAGTGCCCTCCAGGAAACCGTCTGTCCCTCCCTGCCCTGTCGTCCACATGTTTGGAGACCCGGTTCATCCTCAGGCTGAGGGAAAGAAGCAGGCCCTGGTGTGTGTGAGCGGCAGGATGGTCTTCGCCATTTACTTCCCCGTGTTACCTCGAGTTATTGAGCCTCCGTGCCTCAGTTGCCTCTTCTGAGAGGCAGGGATAATAAATCGCACTCAGCCCCTAGGGGTGTTGCGAGGGTTAAATGGGCCAAATATGGAAAGTGCTGGGAGAGGGCCTGGCACAGCAAACTGTTCTGTGGGTGCTTGTTGCTATGATACTTCACGACCAGGAAGAGCTTGCCACGTCTGGCCCCGCCCACACCCAGGAAGGACGTGACATTGGACAGCAGTTCTACAAGCGCATGTAAATTACGCCAAAAGGAAAACGAAGAACAAGTACCCATCTCGTCCACAGGAGCAATAAGTATGTCGTTCCCCAAATCTGCGGCCCCGATGGACGTGACTCCAACCTTCAGTTTATCCCAGACACAGATGCGTTTGGCATTGTACAGGTTATAAATGGAGAAGCCTTTGGCTCCTCCAATAAACAGGTAGTCTTGGGAAATAGCCATACAATTCGGTACGCTGCTGAGCTGGGAGAACAACAAACAAACAAACACAAAGAAAAAAGGAATGACTTTGCAGCTGTCACCGTCTGCAAGTAATAGAAGCTGACATCTCAAAGAGGGATTACGGGTGTAGGGGCCCTTCCTTGACGCAGTGCCGTCCCCAGACCTGGGGCTCAGCTTGCCCACCTCTCGCTGGAGAAGTCATAGTGCTCCACTTGTAGGGGAAGGGGCCAGGGAGCATGAAGGAGTGGATTCACTGCACTAACACGGCCAAAAGAGCTATAGCTGAGGCTCTGGGAGATTCTCCGCCCTCCAGCCAGAGTGTGATTACGACTCTCAGAAAGACTTTAAAACAGCTGCTGAGTGTAAAAGATTTTCTGTAGAATCCTCAGTTATAGGCAGGACGCCCATGTTCCCCAGACTGCCTAGAATCTTTCAAAAGTGCAGCTGTCATATTGACTGAAGGTTCCTGGCAGGAGGTCCTTTCCCGGGTTAGGTGTTTTCATTTATTCACAGCCGGTCGGCTGCTCCGTACCTTGCTCTGGAAAACCGGAGGGTAGACGGTGGGCTGGATCTGGCTGAGCTTGGCCTCCCGCAGCCTGTCTCTCTCCTCGATGATCTCCCACGAGCGCTCGAACACAAGGTCCACCAGCTTGTTGATCATTCGATAAGGCTGAGGCAGGGAACGCCACTGCTGGTCCGGATCCTTGAAGACATAATGCCTTTCCTCATCCTTGGACCAGTCCTTCTCTGTGGGGGGCGGCACCTCCAGTCCCTTTTGTGTAAGAAGGGGCAGCCTCATCTTCTGGGCTCGACTTGCCAGGGGCGTCGACATCACAAGGCGGCACCGGGACGTGCTCTGTGACTCTGAAGAGCTGATGAAGGGAGGAAGCAAAGGTACTTGGAGAAGATGGGGAAGTGAAAACTGTATCATCTTCTCTGGCACAATAATCTGTGGGGATTATTTATTCCAAAGACTCACAGTTTCTGCATTTATTACAGGATTGTTACCACATTAGTAAGATACACCTTTTTTCCTTTTGAATTAAAAAAATTGATATTAGAGAGCGAGAAACACCAATTTATTGTTCTACGTATTTATGTTTTTTTAAATATTTTATTCATTTATTTTAAGAGAGAGGACAAGGGAAGGAGAGAGTGTAGGAAAGAAGCATCAATGTGTGGTTGCCTCTCATGTGTCCCCTACTGGAGACCTGGCCTGCAACCCAGGCATGTGCAATGACTGGGAATTGAACCCGTGAACCTTTGCTTCACAGGCCTGTGCTGAATCCACTGAGCTACACCAGCCAGGGCTACTTATGTTTTTAAAAATCTTTTAAAAATATTTTATTTATTGATCTTTAGAGGGGAGGGGAAGGAGAGAGGGAGAGAAATGTCAATGTGTGGTTGCTTCTCGTGGATGCCCTGCTGGGGACTGGCCTGCAACCCAGACATGTGCCCTGACTGGGAATTGAACCATGATCCTTTGCTTCATAGGCCCGCACTCAGTCCACTGAGCTACACCAGCCAGGGCACGTATTTATGTTTTCACTGGTTGATTCTTGTAGGTGCCCTGACTGGGGATCAAACCCAAAACCTTGGCATATCAGGACGATGCTCTAACCAGCTGAGCTACTTGGCCAGAGCCCTGCAATAAGCTCTTCATGTTAGTAAGGACATCAGCAGAGACAGGTATTGACTATTCACATCTTCCTGGCCAGCCCAAGATGAGATGTGCTAGGATGGAAACAAAGGAACCCGGCGGCCTGCTGCCTGTCCTCACTTCCTGAGAAGGGAGAGTGGTCTTTCTGTCCCAGAGGGAATGCACCCTCTTCTCCCCTGCTCATGGCTTCTCCTAGTTCTTGTCTGCGGACGGCTGTGCCCCAGCCAGGTGAGGAGTGAGACCTCATTCTCCTTTTCCTTTCCCGCACCTGCAACCAGAGGCACTTTAAGCCCTTCCAATGACTGCTGTCTGATTTGTGCTGTGCTTACCTATTTATTCATGTCCCCCACTAACCTAATACCTGAGGCCCAGAGCTTAGCACTGCAGTGTGGGGAACAGGGCCAGCCTTCAACAATTCCTTTATTTTCTTGCCGTACTGCTCCGCCCTGGGATATGAACTCGGAGAGTACTTCTGGCTGTCTTCCAGGCACTCCCTGTGCAAAGGTTGAGTGAATTTGTGGGGCCCAAAGATTCTACCACCCCAAAGTCTAGGCGCCTCCTTCTGGAGTCTAGACCACGTTCAGGGGACCTATAGCCCAGAAATTTACTGCCCAAATGATGCTTGCAAGTCTCTTTCCCAGCTTTTCCCCTGGCTGCCAGTGTGTGCACCCCTAGACCTGAAAGATGACCTGCGCTGTGGCTGTTTGCGGGGCTCTGGGCAAGACGTGGGTGTGGCCTGGAGGACCCACAACTGTATGCCAGGCCCCTCTTGGTGACGTAGCAGGGAGCCAGGAAGAGGAAGAGAGGAGGATGGGGAAGGACCATGGACAGCTCTCCCCACGGCCCAGTATTTGGTGAAACAGCTTCTAGATCATTGTGAAAGTATTTGTCAAGGTAGGAGAACAGAACACATTTTATTTAACAATGTGTTACTTTGATTTGAAACTTTTAAATATTTAAATATACGGTATGTGGCTCTCTATTTGTACTGCTTCCCCCAGGGCCTGCGAGTGTTAGGGGCGGGCCTGAGCGAAGGGACTCACAATTATAAAAATAGGCGACCTTACTTTGTGATTATAGGGGGTACATGTTATAAAATTACCGCTGTGGAATGGACGGGGTTCCATGTCTGCAAGCCCCACAGGGGAGACGTTCAGTCGCACAGAGCCACGGTAATCTATTTTGCCCCCACTGTTCATATAGGATTTCCTCAAGCAACAGTCTTCATTCGATGTTCCGTAATCCTAACAGGAAGTTCTCCCGCTTCACCCGACTCCCAAGCTAGAAATACACCCCTCAGATTGTCTTATCTCTGCTCTAACCACGTGCTTCCCCATACCTGCAGCTGGTGTAGCTCCAGGAAGACGAGGCACAGCCCTGGGAAATTGTTAGGCCCTTCAGTCCCCAAGCAGAAGTTTCAGGGAATCTCCGGTCAGGATCCCACCTGGGGTTCCCGGGGACACAGGATCTGCGGGGAGGCGCGGCACGTCCGGAGGACGCCCGAGGCCGGGAGACGGCCCCCGCAGACCCCCTCTAGGAGTCTCTGGATGCCGGGAGAGTCCAAGGTCACGTGGGTAGCGACGGTACTGGAAGCGGTGGTTTGCTCACCAGGAGCCTGGCGTGGCGTTGCCTTAGTAACCACAACTTCCTTCCCGGACCGGAAGACGGTGAAGTTGATCTCCAGGAAGTGCGCCCGCGGAGAGACCCAGCCCCTCCGGCCGCCCGCCCGGCCCTCCCGCAGGGAGCCCGCGGTGTCCCAGAGGACTCGCGACCCAGCCCGGTGGGTGGGTCGGTAGCCGGCGGGCCGGGTGCCATGGAGGCCTTTATCCGCTTCACCAACCAGACCCAGGGCCGGGATCGACTCTTCAGGTGAGTCGGGTGCCCGCGGTGCCCAGCAATTCCCGTCTGCCGACCGAAGGACTTTGGGTCCCTCTCACCCCTAATTCGGTGAGGATGGCTCGGGAGCCCCCACCGCCGCGAGCCCACTGCCTGTCACACGAGTCGGAGTCCCCTTCACCGAACATGGGGACATTGGATTCTCAGCGCAGCGTGCTCCGAGCGAGCGTTTTTTTGTTGTTGTTGTTTTTTAAAGTAACTTCGGGTCCTGGCCAGGTGTAGCTCAGTTAGTTGGAGCATCGTCCCCTAAACCTACAGGTCCCGGGTTCGGTCCCCGGTGTGGGCGCCTACAAGAGACAACCGATGGATGTTTCTCTCCTCTCCAAAAATCAACAAAGGAGCATGTCCTCGGTGAAAATAAATAAATAAACAAACACACTTTGGTTTGGCATTTGTGGCTGGGAAGCCAACCTTCAGATACCGTGTGACATGCATATGGAGAGACGGGAACCGAGTTACAGCCTTCACGTTGCATTGTTACCCTGCCTGCCCCGGTGGAGGTTTTGTGACCCCGAAAATGAAATGCAAAAACAAATGCGCTGTGAGAGCCCGGGACGAACAGCAGGCACACGCTATGCTACATTAATACTAAGTAGTTCACGATGTTCTTTTTGGTTTATTCTTGCTCAATAATTTTTAAAAAATTACAGTTTGATTTAGCAGCCTTTCCTCCTGTTCTGGGTATAAAGTGCTAATGCAAACGGACCAGTGAGAATAGCGCCAGTAATGAGACTTTAGGAATCGACCCCAGGCCCAGTGACATTTTCAGTGGGTCATGACCTGCCATCCCGCCCTGTGGGGAGGCTGCTTAAACCACGCCCATTTCACAGGGAGAGAAACTGAAGCAGAAGGTTTAAGCAGCAGAAGTGAGAGATTTTCATGTTCACAGTTGGCTCCAGGGCCCACACCTTTAACTGCCAAGCCAAGCGACCTTTCTCCTTAATTTGAAAGATATAAAAAATGGTTGCATTATGTACAAGCTTCATTCAGACAGAAGCCTCCGATTCCAGTGGACGCAGACTACCCTGGAAGGCTATCAGCGAGGCTGGTTAATAAAACAGTTTAGGATCTACTTACTCAGTAAGATCTGAAAGCCCTCATGTCCATAGCCCAGTCCTCTGGGGGAGCTGCAGCTCCTCCAACAGACTGGCATCCGGGAAAGGAGGCCTTGTGTTGGGACGCATTCCTTGTATTCATCCAAACTGGGAGTGTGGCCAGCTTGAACCCTCCAGCCAGCAGGCATGCTCTGAAGCAGGGATTATTTTTTACTTCATCCCCAATAACAAGTTCACCATTTGGGAAAATGTGCTACAGTTTCATTGAGAGTGTAGGGGTCCAGAACGAATCACCCCAAGATGTGCCTCTGTGGTATGTGGGTGATTTTGAGCTAAAGGCAACAAATGCCCTGCAGGCTCAAGAGGAATTTCTGTCTCATCTCCTTTAACTACGTGGAAGAATTTAAATTAGGGGCCTTGTGCTCAATAAGAGTTGTCACCAGAGCTGTGGCTGGTGTGGCTCAGTGGATTGAGCACCAGTCCGCAAACCAAAAGATCGCTGGTTCAATTCCTGGTCGGGGTACTTGCCTGGGTTATGGGCCAGGTCCCCAGTAGGGGGCAGGCCAGAGGCATCCATGTATTGATGTTTCTCTCCCTCTCTTTCTTCTTTCCCGTCTCTTTAAAATTAAATAAATAAAATCCTAAAAAAAAAAAGAGTTGTCACCAGAAATAACTTTTGATAACCTATAGGGCAGGGCAAATTTCTAATTATTGACCTTCTGTGCGTCTTACTGTCCTGAGAACACCCTCCCCTCTGAAGCCCCCAAGGCGCCTTCCCTTATCCTCAGCTCAGAAGGCCAAATATGCTTCAGTTTCCCTTTCTGTGCCCGTGCAAACGTATGCAATTAAATGTGGTTGTTTCCTCTGTCCCATACAGATTTATCAGAGAAGCCAAAAGAACCTTGAGGGCAGAGGAGAGGGTCTTGCTCCCCACAAGAGTAATACTTGTAGCATAAAAGGATTCAAACACAGCCACAGGGCAGTGGGAGACTGGCACCTGCTTTATAGATGCATGTAGGTGTTTGCTTTGGGGATATAAAACCTCTCATTTGTTAACGTTTCTGCTACTCATGCCTCCTAATCTGTAGTCGTGGCAATAACCACTTCTAGGACATTCAGCATTCGTAAACAGGAGTCTGCCTTTTATGTAAAGTGCTGGTTGGTTTGGGAAGACAACGATCTAAACTTCTTTATGAAACGGTGTGTGGTTGGGCCTTATGAAACATGAAGCAGTGTTCAAACTACAGACTTTTCCTTTGGTTGTAGTTTGTGTCTCCCGTCACATTAGCACTTGGTTAACTCCATGGGGGGAAAGTTCATTTTAGAAACCGGCAAAATCATCCTGCACTTGAGAAAATAAGGCCTGTGAATCTTTGCTGACTTAACATGTGGGGTTTCCGTGCCGTGTCCCCCCTGGGACAGTGCCCGCTGCTCGGTGCCAGCAGAAGGCCTCCCCGGGGGCTGCTCCCCGCCCGGCTCTCCTTCACCACATTTGTGTGCATTTCCATCCCAGGCTGTCCCCTTTGGCCCCGTGGAGTGCCTGCTGCAGAAGTTTGCTCTCGCAGGAGCTGCTCGCATGAGATGTTGCCTTGGAAACCCCACCTTTAACAGGACACGTTTCTCCTTTTCTTACTCGTGAGCCCGTTTTATTTGGTTTGTAAATCATTCTCCTTTTTTTTTTCTTTCCATTTCAGAGCCGCTCAGTACACATGCATGTTGCTTAGATATTTGTTAGAGCCTAAAGCTGGCAAAGAGGAGGTGGTCATGAAACTCAAGACACTGGAGTCCAGTGTGAGCACTGGCCGGAAATGTAAGTACCCTGCCTGCCCTCCGAGGGACAGCGGCTACTGGCTCGGACCCTCGGACTCCATAGTTCGCCAAACACTTCCTGGGTCGTTCACCTCTCCTAGGCAGTCAGGCTTGCCGACCAAGTCGACCACTGAGTCAGCCCACTGGGACGACGGGCCAAACCGGTCGAGTGTTTCTCTGCAGACCCCTCCCAAACCCCCTGCTCTGTGCGCATGTGCTGCCTCAGCAAAGCTTCTGATTGGTCACAGCCCGTGGGACGCGCAACATTCGCTCGCCGATCGCTCTCAGAGTCCGCAGAGCGCCCCAGCCGTCCCTGAGCTGAGCTCCTGGCTGCCGGGGCCCTTCGCATTCTCCACAGGAACAGAGCAATGGTGTCCTGGCCCCCCTGCTTTTCTCTTCCTTCTCTCCAGGGGTCGCTAGAGGAAACAGATGGATGCACATTAGTAGACCAGTGGTGGCGTGGGTTGGTGTTGAAGGCGACAAGTGGGGTCAGTGTTTTGTGTCCATTCCGTCCGCCAGACTGGGAAGGGACACGGGGAAACTCCATGCTTCCAGGAGTGGTCGCCTGCCTGCCTCCCAGAAGTTTGAGGAGAGCCCGGTGTTGCCCCAGCAGGTCCATGGAACGTAGCAGTCAGGTGCTGAAGTTACTGGTGAGCACTGACGTCTGTAGTCACGGTCCTGAGTCTGTGGGAGAGCCCAGATCACACGGTGTAAGTTGTGAGGTTAGACTCAGTGCAGACCTGTTGGTAGGGGAAGAAAAAGAGGTGTTTCTGAGGAGGTGGACCTGCAGGCGTGGACTCGAGAGGAGGCAAGAGAACCTTCTCGAAGGGTGGTTTCCTCTAGTGAAGGCTCAGAAGTGAGCCAGTGTTGGTATTGGAGGATGAGTGAGAAAACTAGTTTGACGAGAGGAGACTTAAGTTGTCACCAGGGCGGAAAGGGCGGGTGACTTTCCTGGATGGCTTTGGAGACCAGGAGTGGCAGTTCTCAGGTCTCTTGAGAATCGGGATGGAGCCCAAGGTCTCTGGAGTCCAGAAGGACCTCAGGGCCACTCAAGTCAGCTAGCGCGAGAGCCGGAACTGGCTCCCAGTACATGCTTCATTTTCTGTTATTTTTTTATAATAATAATAATTCTAGACATTCTTGTGAGACTGTAAGTTTCCCGGTGTAGCTGCCGCAGAGCGTCTGCCGAGGCTGAGAGCGAGCCCTTGTGAGGGAAGCTCTCCATGTGCTCCGTCGCGTGTGGGGCTGCCGCTCACTCTGAGTGTGTGATCGGTGTGTAACTTGTTGGCCGATACGTCCCTGACCAACTGAATTACAGCTCGGACGTGCCTTGGCATGGTTGACTTAATTCAAACAGGAGTCACATGGGACCATTTTATGAGTCACCCTGTCTCTAAATCCTACCATCTTTCCTGCAGTAGGGAGTCAGGGGGTTTGCACCAGAGAATTGGCAAGTGGATAGTGTTTTTTTTTTTTTCTTAAGCAATCTTGTGTGTTGAAAGTACAATAAATAAAATGTAAGGCACCAGACTTTCCAAAAAAATGTGGCATCTGGAGTTCGTGTGGCCATAGTGCCTTTCTTCTGCAGACGTGTGCGTTGCGATGGTGAGATGGCGCCGCGGGCCGTGGAGATGCACACGGCCGAGTATGCTGTGGGCCGTGTCGATGCTAAGGGCTCCCGGCTAAAGCGCCGCTGTCTTTGCGCCTTCCGGGATCATTGTAGGTGTCCATGGCACACTGTAGAGTCTTTGTCCTCTCCCGAGCTAGGACAGAGATTCGAGTGACAGCCTGTTGTGAAGACCCCTGATGGTCGCCATTCCCGATGCAGGGCCCCTGCCCGCTGTCCTGTCCTGTTGTGCGCTGCTCGAATAACCCCCGACCGCTGTGGGTTCCTCCTACAGGGCTCAGACTAGGCAACGCAGTGCACGCCCTGCAGGCCGCTCAGCAGAGCATGCGCGCCTCGGACCTGGTGCCCCGCGTGTGCCTGACGCTCGCCCACCTCAACCGCGTGGTCTTCTTCGTCTGCGACACCGTGCTCTGGGGGAAGAGCATCGGGCTCGCCCCCGGCATCAACCGAGAGAAGTGGCACCTGTGGGCCACGCGGCACTACTGCTGCTCGCTCCTGCTGAGCCTGCTCAGGGACCTGTACGAGGTCTCCTGGCGGATGGAGCAGGCGGCGCAGGACCGGGCGGTGAGCGAGAAGTCGCCCTCCCAGGAGCCTCCGGCCTACAGCGTGGCTGACGAGGAGACGGAATGGCTGCAGTCCTTCCTCCTGCTCTTGTTCCGTTCCCTGTGGAGGCACCCGCCCTTGCTCCTGGACACGGTGAAGAACCTCGGCGACATCCTGATTCCCTTGGACCAGCTGGGCATCTATAAGTCCAACCCTGGCGTCATCGGGCTGGGAGGGCTGGTGTCTTCCATAGCGGGTATCATCACAACGGCCTGGCCTCACCTGAGGCTGAAGACCCCCTGAGGCAGGGCAAATGAAAGGTTTAAATGGCTGTTTTTCCTTAATCCACATCCTCTACTGGAACAGATTAATTATATCTAATTAAATTTCTAGAGGAAACTGGCTCTTGTATCTGTGAATGTCGTGGGAACGGAGAAGATTTGAAAGGAAGGCAGTCCGCACAGTGGGTAGCGTGAGCCTGGAAGACCCCCCGTGCAGAGGAGGAAGGATTTAGGGTAGACCACCTGGGCTGACAGACCCCCAGGGTGACCCCGTCGAGACTGCTGCCCAGGAGAGGCCCCCACATCAGCCCGTCTGTGGGGTTTGGCCTCTGCCCGGTGGCCCGTGACAGTGGCATCTGTGGTGGGCCTTCTGTCTTCTCCAGGTGAGGGCAGTGGTGGGGGATTTGGGGGACACACCTCTTCTAGAAGGTGTGGGAAGAACCTAGAATTTGTGTGCCCTGGTACCTGCCTCCCTGGGCGTCTTTCTCCTTTTTAATCGAGCCCTCCCCACCTCCGAGCTTCCACACTCACCAGCGATTTAAAAACCAGCGACGTTCCTAACAGATGCCTGAGCCAGCGCACTCACCACTGAAGGTGTTGCCTGAGAACCTGATCTTCCATAATGAATATCTGGGTGCCGTGCTCACTTTTGGGGTCCACTGTGCTGGTGCGGTAGTGGGGGGGGGGTCGCCCATGGGGCTAGGGAAGGAAGGAAGGAAGGTACCCGTGTCTCTGAGGCTGCAGCAGATGGGCTTTTCCGGAGCGCCCTGTGCGCTCTTTCTCACGCTCCCCTCTCACCCACATCCTGGACTTGCCTCCGCAGCAGCCAAGGACCGGCCCTGGCAGCGGCGTGTTTGGGCACGGAGTCCAGTGCTCCGTCTGGCCCGCAGCCACCGCTCCGGAGGCGGGGGACTGGCCTTTGGCCCGGGTTTGCTCTCCAGACACGGCCCCATGGGTCACATGTCCTGGACCTCAGAGCCGGGGCAGAGGCCACCCCTTCAGACATTCCCTTCCCTCTCCATCACTGCCCCAGGTTTGGAAGCTCAGGTTGGAGCCATAAGCACCAAAGTGTCGGGCATTATTGTACTTCCTTCGGAGGCTCCCTGCTGGACTCTGTCCCCTTCCCGACCTCATGCTTCCTGCTTTACTGTGTCCCAGGTGCAGAATGGATTCCTGAGGGTCATCATCAAAAGGCTCTCCCCACCCCGCCTCTGCCTCTGTTTCCATCGCCCACAGCTTCCAGCTCAGAGTCGACGATAGAGCTGCACCCACACCAAGGGCAGGGAGTTCTGTTCTGCTCCCTCCCCTCTTCATCAAAAGACCCTCCTCAGACACCCGAGAACTGTGGTTGTCCTGTGGTCCCCCGACACCCGGAGCCCCGGGCTACACCTGACCCATCAATAAGGAGGGGTGTCGCTAAGGAGGGGTGCGAGGTGACAGCTGTTGGCTGTCGGTCCACCACAGGCTCCTGGTCGGTGCTCACTTTCCCAGACTAGACACAGTCCAGGCGGCTCTGCAGCTGCATGTCCTGGTGGCACGTCAGACCAGCTGGAGCTCCGTGAACCCGGAGACCTGGGCCTTCACAAATGGCCCCACAGGAGCCTCAGGGAAGAGGAGCCAAAGATTACGGAGCATCAGAGCTTTCATGTTTAATGCCGCTGAGCCCAACACTTGTCTCCAGAAAACAAGTGCGTGAGAAGGGGGGCCAGAAACATGGCCCAGAACGGGGAGGCTGTGACTGTGGGAGACTGGCTGCTCCGAGCCCGAAGCCCCTTCTGCTGGGCTGTCCACCTCCCTCCTAGTTGGCTGTGCCTTACAGAACCCAGGCCGTGCCCCAGGGACCCTGGGTCAAGTAACCATGGCAACCCAGTGACCTGGCTTCCTCCTCTCTGCCCTCCCCCAGCTGGGAGGTGTCTCTGCATTGCCCAAGACTCCTCGCAGGGACCACGACCGGAGCTGTCAGAGGCGACACTTTGCAGCTGGGCTCTGGGACCGAGGCGGCGTCAGCCAGAGTGAGTGCGGGTCCCGGGACACCTGCCCGACCTGTCTCACCTGGCTGGTCGCTGAGAGTTCAGGGAAAGCCGCCGAGGGGCAGGGTCTCCCAGGAATCCTCTGCCAGGAGGGTGGGTGGGCAAGAGGGTAGCATCAAAGCAATGGTCCGGGGCTACTAGCTTTCCAGACGGTGGGTTTTACCAGTGGCCGCCTTCCCACCCGGCTGGGCATGGAGGGGGAACCTGCAGATGTGCTTGCTTAGAAAGGGAGGGTCAAATGCAGAACTTTTGCATTGAAAAGGAAAAAAAAAAAAAAAGACAGACTACACCTGAAACCTACCCTAGTCTGTTTTGGCCGCTCGTCTGAAGAGCCCCTAAACTTCAGCTAAAGCCTCTTAACTCTCAAAACAACCTTTGTTTTCTGCTCTGCACCCTGGACCCTTGTAAGGGCCCCGCATCCCTGTGGGGCTCCAAGGCACCGCTGCTGGGCTGCGACCTGCCCTCCGACCCTGGGCCTCCTGCTCAGGCACTGAGCCCGCTCCCCTCCCAGGCAGCCCGGGCCCCGAGGGAGCCGTGAGCGGTGTGGGGGCTGACCCCGTGGGCCCAACGAGGTGGGTTTGCTGAGGGACCTGGGCGCTCTGCTTTGTAGCTTGACGAGCAACCATGGCAGTCAACAAGGGCCCGACCTTGCTGGACGGAGACCGCCCTGTGAGTAACCTGGCCTTCTGTGGGGGCAAGGGGTGGACACTGGGGCAGGAAGAGGCCGTGAGAGGAGGCTCCGGGCCTTGGGGCAGGAGGTGCTGAAGCTCAGGGAGCACCCCGTCTTCGTTATCCCTGCTCTCACTGCGTTTGGCAGGGCTCCGTGAGAGGGTCCCGGGGCGGCAAAGGTGCTTATGAAAAGCTAGGGACTTTGGGGAGAGGGGACAGAAATGCTGGCTTGGAGGGAGAGGAGAGGGGACCTGGGGCAGAAGCCTGCCCCCTGCCCCCCACGGGTGCATCGCGTGTGTTGGGTGTGTGACCGTGGCCCCTCTTGGCGTCACGGGGGCGCAGCCTGTGCTGCTGTGTGTGGGACGAGGCTGGGGGCAACATGTCTGCTGTCAGTTGTTGAACCTGGGCTGCGAGGCCCCCGGCGGGGTGGCGGGCGGGGGGGCTCACCAGTGGGCTGACCTCACCAGAGGGCTTCGGGGCCCTAGGGCCGCCTTCCGGGGGAGCTGTGTGAATGCTTTCCTCCTCCGCCCCCTCCCGCGCCAGGAGCAGGAGAACGTGCTGCAGCGGGTGCTGCAGCTGCCCGTGGTCAGCGGCACCTGTGAGTGTGTGCAGAAGACCTACACCAGCACCAAGGAAGCCCACCCGCTGGTGGCCTCCGTGTGCAGCGCCTACGAGAAGGGCGTGCAGGGCGCCAGCAGCCTGGCCGCCTGGAGCATGGAGCCAGTGGTCCGCAGGCTGTCCACCCAGTGTGAGTCCCCACGGCCGGCCTGCCAGGCTGTGTGTCCATCTGTTCCTCTGTCCGGTCACCTGACAGAGGCTTGTCTGTCTGCTCCCATGTCTGTCCGACTCATCACCTCGTCTTCTCAGCTACAGCTACAGCTGCCTCGACCCTGCAGGTGCAGATGTAGCTACAGATGTGCCTCTTTTCCTCTCTAGATGCCCAGTGGGCGTTCCCCTGGGGTGACAGGAGCCAGAGAACAGGCAGGAGGGGCAGGCAGAGCGGTGCGGGTGGTGGTGGCGGTGAGGCTGCTGCAGACCAGGCACTGCCGCGCCTCCTGGTCCCGCAGCAGGAACTCACAGGGCCAGCCTGCAGGGCTGTGGGGAGTGGAGGGCTAGGGAGGCCTCTGGGCCCAGAGGCTGACGTACCAACTTGTGACAGGCGGGGGCGAGCAGCACCCTTAGTCCACGCCTGACAGTGAGGGACCGGGGGCTCAGGCAACTTGCAGCTCACCCAAAGCCACATATGGCCGCAGGCGGGGCTGCCTCACGCCCAGGCTCCCACAATGGTGGGAGCCGGCCCATCTTTAGGTGTCTCGGTGGAAGGGGCCAGAGGCAGTTGAGGGCCTCGGGCCCCATGAGGCTCTGGAGAGAGCAGGGCTGGGGGTGAGGCTCCGGGCCCTTCCTTGGCACAGAGGCCACGGCTGGGCCCTCCCGGCGCCGGGTGGCTCACCACGGCACGGCCCTCTACCTCAGTCATAGCTGCCAACGAGCTGGCCTGCCGGGGCCTGGACCACCTAGAGGAGAGGATCCCTGCCCTGCAGTACCCTCCCGAAAAGGTGAGCCCCTCCCTCGTTGCCCTGGCCCCCCCCCCCCACTACCTCAAGGGTTGAGATGCAAGCTGTTGATTCCATGACGGGGCCTCTCCTTTCTGTGGCCAGCGCCCTCCAAGGCCAGTGGCACTGCCTGCCCCAAAGGCCACTCTGCGTGTGTCCTCCTCCCCAAAGGGAGCCAAATGGAGGCAGAGGCTGCCTGGCATCAGCAGTGCAAGGATGGGTCCCCCCGTTCCCGACCCTCCTCTCCCTGATACACCCCGTGGGCCTGTGCCGAACCGAGTGGTGACTGCAGCCGCCTAAGGTCACGGGTCACACAGACCCCAGGCTGGCAGTCCCATGTCCTCACGGTCTAACCCTTTAGACCACAAGGCTGGAGAGACCTCCCCCTGGGTGCACGGTCCCTGGGGGGCTTCTGTGGGCTCAGCTGCACCAGGAGTCTTGGGGCCCCGGCATCTGAGCTCATCCACCCACCACAGGGGCTGAGCCCCACCCAGGCCAGGTGGGAGGCCTCTAGAGCCGTCTCCTGTGACAAACGCCAGTCCCTGGGCCTCCAAGCGAGCCTGACCTTCCTTCCCACACCCCCCAGATCGCGTCCGAGCTGAAGGACACCATCTCCACCCGCCTCCGCAGCGCCCGCAACAGCATCAGTGTGCCCATCGCCAGCACTTCGGACAAGGTCCTGGGGGCGGCCCTGGCCGGCTGCGAGCTCGCCTGGGGGGTGGCCAAAGGCACTGCTGAGTATGCCGCCGGCACCCGCGCGGGCCGCCTGGCCTCAGGAGGGGCCGACCTGGCCCTGAGTGGTGTGGAGAAGGTGGTCGAATGCCTCCTCCCTCCAGCCGAGGACGAGTCAGGTACCTGCCAGGAGGGGCGGGCAGACCCACCCTGGGGGGGTGGGGGGCCCCTTGCCGCCTGAGAATGAGCGAAGTCAGCAAGGGAGGCCAGTGGGAGGGGTGAAAGGGAGTGGCCCACATCACCACGGGAACCCAGCAGAGCCAGGTGGAGCTGGGACAGCAGCTCCTCTGACCTCCCCTTGCCCGTCTCGCCGCCCAGCGCCCGCTCCGGAACGCCAGCACCCCCGCACACCTCCCAAGACCAAGCCAAGCCTCGTGAGCAGGGTTGGGGCCCTGGCCAACACCCTGTCCCGACACACCTTGCAGACCACAGCCCAAGTGCTGAAGCAGGGCCACGCCCTGGCCATGTGGGTCCCCGGCGTGTCACCCCTGGTGAGTGTCTGCCCTGGGCTCTGACTGGCCCCAGCTTGGGCTGGGACTTTGAGTCTCAGGACAGGGGATCTTGAAGGGACTGAGGGCCAGTACTTGAGGCTGCGGGGAAGAGCAAGGCCAGCCTTGTGGGGGTGGACCAGGGCCTCCCCCATTTCTGTCCCCCGCGCTCCCACTCGTCCTATCCCCCCAGCTGGTTCTCTTGCTCCGGCCCCTCCCACCTGGGAGGGAGCAGAGACCCCAGCTGCTGTCCCGCACAAGGTGCGTCGTCTGCGATAACAAGGCTCAGAGTCAGCCCCAGCTGGGCAGTGTCCCAGACTGTCCCCAGGTGTCTGATTTCCCTTCTGGAGGCTTCTAATTTGCCATCTGCCGCCCCAAATGCTGTACCGCTGCCCTTCCTGGGCCCGGGGAGGGTTAACGTCTCCCTCCCTGTCTCGCTGTGTGTTTCAGCAACTGCACCCAGAAAAGGAAATAAACACGATAGTGAAGCGTAGAGGTCAGCAGACACTTTCCAGCCATCATTTGGGGGATCCTTTCACAAGCATTGCTGGCCTGGCCAGGCCATTCAGGCCAATGTTTGCTGTGAACCCACTGTGTGCTGGCTTCCCTGGGTCCAGTAGGAAGGCAGGAGTGGCCATTCCCGCGTCCCCTACACTGGGGGCCACTAACCAGGGCCCTGCTCATTTCCCCCGTGGATACCTGGCCCGCCCGATGGTCTCACTCTCAGTGACCTGCCAGGACCCGGATGGTCTCACTCTCAGTGACCTGCCAGGACCCGGATGGTCTCACTCTCAGTGACCTGCCAGGACCCGGATGGTCTCACTCTCAGTGACCTGCCAGGACCCGGATGGTCTCACTCTCAGTGACCTGCCAGGACCCGGATGGTCTCACTCTCAGTGACCTGCCAGGACCCGGATGGTCTCACTCTCAGTGACCTGCCAGGACCCGGATGGTCTCACTCTCAGTGACCTGCCAGGACCCGGGTGGTCTCACTCTCAGTGACCTGCCAGGACCCGGGCTCAGGTCACGTGCACATCCCCAGTGACCCAGCAGACATGGGAGCCACGGTCCCCCAAACGGCTGCGGGAAGTGCTCCCTCAGCTTTCTCCTTAGCCGAGAGAGGAGAAAACCCGGACGCCCGCCACCAGTAGGGGCAGGGGTGGCGTATTTCCATGGCGGGATGTCACCGGGGAAAGGGAGGGGTGCCTCACAGGAGAAGCCATTCATGAGAGAGAAGCCCTTCACGACGACACACTCCATGTTGCTGTTGATTTGTGTGCAGTTGAGAAATAGGTGGAACCAGTGAGAGAGGTCAGAATGTGGTCCCCAGCAGGGGGGACTGAGCAGGCAGGGGGCACAGGGGTCTCCTGGGCTGCGAAACATGGTCTCCACCGTGACCTGGGCCGGCCACCCGGGTGCGCGTTCAGAACGGTCTCGGGTGCTGTCCACTAAAGACGTGGGCACCTACCACTCAGTGACGAGTTTTAAGAGCAGTCTTCTGGGGCTGGGCCTTGTCCATTCCCCCACCCTGCCCCTGGGGGTGAGGGACTTTGGCCGTGGGGGCTGAAGCCAGGGACCCCCCCTTCGCTCCCTCAGAGCAGCCTGGCCCAGTGGGGCGCGTCCGCGGCCATGCAGGTGGTCTCCCGGCGGCGGAGCGAGGTGCGGGTGCCCTGGCTGCACAGCCTCGCCGCGGCCCAGGACGAGGACCACGAGGACCAGACAGACACCGAGGGGGAGGACAGCAAGGAGGAGGAAGAGGAGGAAGAGGAGGAGGTTGAGGAGCTCAGTGAGGTGAGAGCAGAGCTGAGTGGGGTGCGGGAGCCCCCCAGGTCCCACAGCCCACAGAGTAGCGAGAGGCCCCGGAGACAGAGAGTCCGGGCAGAGGCTTGTCCACATGTGCAGAGAGGGGAAGTGGCCTCTGTGCCCGAGGCCACGCAGCTAGTGGCTGAGCCTGGGTCCCTGTTCTCCCCCCCAACCCTGGGGGTGGCATGGAGGGGAAGGGTCTGGGAGCTGCCGCAGGAGGGGCTGACCCGCTCTCGTCCCCAGGTGGCAGCCCTGCCCCGGCCGCAGGGCCTCCTGGGCGGTGTGACGCAGGCCCTGCACAGGGCCATCCGGGGCACCGTCGCGGTCGTGACCTGGGCGCCTGCCACGGTTCTGGGCACGGCTGGGCGGGTGCTGGGCCTCTCACCAGCCCGCACTGCCGCCCCGACCAAGGGGCGGGCCATGTCCCTGTCGGACGCCCTGAAGGGCGTGACAGACAACGTGGTGGACACTGTGGTGCACTATGTGCCGGTGAGTCCAGCCCCCCACCCCCCCACCCCTGAGGAGCTGCAGTTGCCCCAAGACCTCGCCAGGGGGCTCGGCAGCCAGCTGGTCTACCTTGGGCCCAAAACAGAACCAGGCAGGGATACTCTGACCCTGGCCAGGGCAGTGTGTGGGCCATGTGGAGCCTAAAACCCAGGCCCCAGGATGGGTCAGGGAGGCGACTGACCTGCCACCAAGACCCCAGGGGTCCAGCCACTTTGTCACAGGGCCTGCCTCACTGTGGGGGTCTGGGCCATGGAGACCTGTGAAGCAGGCAGGGCCTCAGCTGTCTCCCCTGAGCACCCCATTCAGCTGCACCACCCAGCCTGTGCCCCCCTGACGGCTGCTCTGGCAAGGCGGGACCCAGAGGTGGTGGGTGGGAGGCGCAAGGTGAGGCCCACTGGGCCCTGATGGGGCTGCCGGGTCCTCAGCTCCCCAGGTTGTCACTGATGGAGCCCGAGAGCGAGTTCCGGGACATCGACAACCCACCGGATGAGACCGAGCGCAGAGCATCTGGGGTGCGGCCAGCCAGCCCGGAGCCCATAGCGCGCCCAGTGCAGCACCGAGGCAGCCTGCGCAGCGTGAGGGCTCAGGGCCTGGAGGACGGAGCGGACCCGCTCGCCGCACCACGCCCGGCCTTCCCGGCTGCACCCCGGGAGAAGCCAGCACGCAGGGTCAGCGACAGCTTCTTCCGGCCCAGCGTCATGGAGCCCATCCTGAGCCGCGCGCAGTACAACCAGCTGCGTAAGAAGAGCTAAGCGCCCCGCCAGCCACTGCAACCAGGAAGCCAGGACCCTCTCTAACGTGTCCAAAGTAGTCCCCTGGGCCCCTGCGCCGCGGCACACGCGGCACACGTCGTCTTCACGCATCTCTGGGGGCCTTAGCTTGCGGCCAATTTTAAAGAAAAATCTGAGCAGCAACCTGCTTTCTGTCTCGCTTGTTTTACTAAAAGGTTCGTTGCCTAACTTATCCAAGATTTAGATCCTCTGTAGGCAAACAGCTGCCTCTCCTGAGCTGTATGGCTCCTGGAAGTCCACCCGAGCAGGCCTTCTGGGCACCCGAGTGTGCGGACTCAGCAGGCTGCTTTGAAGGAGCCGCCGGGTGCAAAAGCTGTCGCGTGAAAAGGCAGCGTCCCTCTGCGTTCGGTGCCCGTGGCTTCACAGGCTGGGTCCCCGTGTTCGCAGCGCCACCTTCTGGCTCAGGGCGCATCCTTTTGAATCCTTCCCGCCCGGCTTCCCCCTGCGCCTTCACCCTGTCATGCGCCTTTGGAATGCTAGTGTCCCTGGTGTGGGGGGACAGCGGTGGTGACCCTTCACTGGAGAAAGTCTATTTTACTGCAGGGGTGTCCGACTTTGGGGCATCTCTGGGCACACTGGAAGAAGGAGAGTTGTCTTTGGCCTCACAGCAAATACATTGAAACACATAATCACCAAAAAAATCCCATTTCGTTTTAAGTAAATTTGCGAGTTTGTGGGGGGCCGCATTCACAGGCAGCCCGGGCGGCCTGCGGCCTGAGGGCCTCAGCTTCGACACCCCTGCTTTAGAGCACCTCAGGCTCTATTTCTGGAGATGTCAATATTCGGGAAATCTAGGACATGCATACACATAATGTAAAACTGAGACACCGCGAGAGGGCGTGTGTGCCCCCCGAGGGTCCCCGTGCCCCTTTGTGGTTTGTGCACCTGTGTGCAAGCCCGAGTGTGTCTGTGTTTCGCAGGTGGCTCCCACCACTGCGGGCTGCTCTACCTGCCTGCTCGTTCCCCTCAAAATACTCCTCTGAGATCAGAAGTCCTCCTCGTTCTTTTTACTGGCCTCACAGTAGGTGCTTCATAATGTAAGTGATTTCACTAGTTCTCTAACGAAGGGCTTTGAGGTTGTCTCCATTTGTTTTTTTCCCTGATGCAAACAGTACCGCAACACACGCCCTTATACACAATGTCTCAGGTACACACGTGGACCTATATCTCTAGGAGGAACCTGTCACTTGGGACCTTGACTTGTTGGGAGAAAGGGTGTCTGCATCTTAAAATTGTTAGACAACCCCCAGTAGGCTTTCAAGCCAAATTCTACTTTCACTTTCACCCACAGCTGCACATGTCACCAAGTGCTCGCTCTCCCCCTTCTCTGGGTGTTTCCTATCTGAAGGTGACAGCAGAGGAGAAATGGGGAGGCCAGGTCCTTTGTCACACTGCCATCTGACTCAGCCTGCCCTTCCCCCTATGGTCCCTCTGTTAGCTGAGAGGACAAATGACCAGTGGACCCATGGGTCCCGTTCCCTTTGCAAATGAGACTCAGAGCTGTGGGCCAGGACTTGTCACCCTGGGCCTGGGGCGCAGAAGGGGCACAGCGATGACTACCTGGTGCAGCCAGGGTCCGCCCCCCCGCCCCAGGGAGAAGCGGACGGCTATCGCCACCCTGAAAACCATGGGGGATGGATCCCTCTCAGCCTCGGAAGGGACTGCGAAGTCATTGGAGGTGGGGGCTTCCTGGGACCTGGAGAGGGAGAGCTTTGCTGAGCTCGGAGGGGCGCGGGGCGTGCCGAGACCGGGAGCGATGCGGTGGCGAGAGGAGCAAAGGCGGACACCTGAATACATGATTGTGAGCGCCGCTTTCCAGAGTCTCGGGGTTGGGAAATCCACCCTCCCCTCGCGGAGCGAAATCATCCCCTGGTTAATCTTCCTGTTCTCACGGGTTACCACTTGCCGTTATGCGACGTGAGCGTCCCGCCCGCGGGCAGGGGGCTTCTCCAGCGCGGAGAATCAGGCCGGCAGTGGGGTCGCTGTGTCCCCAGAATTCCGTGAGCCCGCGCCAGGATCAGCGCCCAGCGCCAGGATCAGCGCCCAGCGCCAGGGACCCAGGCGGGGCTGAGTGGACTGGAGACCGTGGCCCCGCCCGGAGGCCCCGCCCCTGAGGCCCCGCCCCTGCGAGGCCCCGCCCCTGCGAGGCCCCGCCCTGCCCCGTCTCGCTGGTCGCAGACTCCGAGGCTCCGCCCGGCTCCTGTCTCAGCCCCCAGGAGCCCAAGCGGAGGCGGGGTTGCTGGGGAAAGGCGGGATCATTTGCGGGGCGGGGGTCCTGGTGACGGCATCAGAGCGCGCTGCGTTGGGGCTGGGAGGCGGGCCGCTGGGCCGGGGGCTGACACCCTGGCAGGTAAGTGGGGGAGCCCCGGAGACGTGGGGGTCGCGCTCGCCTCCAGCGCAGGCCGTTCCCGCGGCGCTGGCAGCAGGCACCCCGGTGGAGCCCGTCCTCATTTACCAGCCTCCTGGGGCCCTTGCCGGGGCGGGTGGGAGCCCCTCCCCTAAGTCGGGGGCCCGAGGCCGACCTGCCGGGCCTGGCCCGGAGGAGGGAGCGCGGGGCTGCCAGCACTGGTGAGCACTTTTCCGAACTTTCCTGGAGCCCCCGCCTCCGGTGTCCGACTCGGTGCCGGCGCCGGACCACACTGGCGGACGCCTCTGGGTGCCTTCGGGGCGCGGAGAAGCGGGCCCGCAAGGAGCTAAAAAGTTCAGGGTGAGCAGGACAGGTACCGCGGTGTCCCCAGCGCCAGTCACCCAGCAGGGTCGGAATGATTTCGTGAACGAAAAGCCGTTACAGACGCTGAGAGAAGGGAAATGTAGTGCTAACCCGGAGTGTGCGCTTGCACGCCTGGGCGCTGCAGCGTGTCCCTGGACCAGGTACGACAAAGGCAGCGCACAACACGCTCACACCCGGAGACACGGCGCTGTTTCACAGCGAACTCTGCTTCAGACGTAGAAGCAGTGCACTCTCAACGAAGAAAAGTGTAGCTAGTGAATACGTAAACCGTAACAAAGATGCTCGCGTGCATCGCGCACTCGTTCGGGCCATGTTTCCGGTGCCCGGCAGCGGGCAAGTAAGCCAGCTGTAATCGTTTTGCTGGTGGAAGGTCTTACCTTCAGTTTGTTAAAAGAAAGAAAAAGAGAGAGAGAAAGAAAGAAAGGCAAAGCCCGCAATAAAGCAAAGCGCAATAACGGAGGTAAACGTGTGGCGATAAAGTGGGGCGGGCGCGCGGTGAGGACTGACCAGGGAGGATGAAGACGGGGCAAGTTCCTTGGGTAAGTATTACTCGTCACTCTCCGGCCGCGAGGAAGGGTAGGGTATTGTGCTGGGCAGTGGAGATGCTGCAGGAAGGGGGCAGGGCCGTCGCTGCCTCCGGGCTCCCAGCCTGGGGGTGTGGGGAGGCCGCCGTTGAAGGCAGCAGTTGCTGTGGAAGGCGTGTGTGGGGTGGGGCAGGCAGGGCGTCTGCCTGGTTCCCTGCAGAGGGAGCTGGCTCAGCTCCAGGCGCCACCTAGGGGGCCGGTGGGCAATACTGATTAGGTACATGGGCCTAGTCCAGGTACGAAGGGCCTGTTCACGTTGAGCCCTTGGGAGTTAAGATGTCGTTGGCATATTTGAAAGATGCCCATGGTTGTGGTGGAGAAGCGGCTGGTAAAGGTCACCCCATCAGGACGACAGTGGCCAGGGTTAGCTGCGGTTTCACTTTCCACGGTTTCAGTTACCACGGTTAACTGGCCTGAAAATATTAAATGGGGAATTCCAGAAGTCTTAAGTTTTAAGTTGTGTGCCAATCCGAGTAGTGTGAGGTCATCTCGCGATGTCCCGCTTTCTCCCGCGCTGCCTGGGAATGAGTTTGTGAAAAACGCAGCTCCCGTGCAGCTCCATCGAGCAAACAAGAGCAGCAAACAAGCGCCCGCAGGCGGCAGCAGGCGCTCCCAGCGTCAGCGGCATCTCAGTGTTTGTGTTCCAGCGGCCTGCCCTTGACTTCCTAACGGGCCCCGGGCGCAAGAGCAGCGATGCTGGCATTTCGGATGTGCCAGCGAGAAGCAGGAAAGTGCTTCCTCTAAGTGAAAGGGAAAAGTTCTCTACTTTAATCAGGAAAAAGAAAAAAAAATTGAATGCTTAGATGAGCAGATCTACGGTAAGAATGAATCTTCTGTGAAATTGTGAAGGAATTTGCCGGTTGTGCGTTAGGACTTAGACTGCAAAAGTTATGCCTGCAGGACGGGGTGAACGCTGCTGGTGGGAACAGCGGCAGGAAGTGTACAGGTGGAAGGCGAGAGCGCCCCGCATGGTGGGCGGTGCTGCCTGCCGGCTGCCTGCCAAGCCAGAAAACAGTGAGCTTACACAGGGACTTCAGCCAGGCCCCCCTGAGACAAGGGACCACATTCCCATGGTGTTTGTTGCAGTGCATTGTTGTAGTTATTTATTTCCTCATCAGGTATCCTTGCTAATTTCTTCCGTGCCTGATTTATAGGTGAAACTTCAGCACAGGTGTGAGTATACAGGGGAACACAGTATCGACGGGGTTCAGTACTAGTTGTGGTTTCAGGCGTCCACTGGGGGCCTGGAACATGTCGAAGGGGATCTGTTGACTTGTTTTGGGGAAGGTGGGGCAGGGGGTGCGAGGTGACAAAAGCGGAGATCAGAAAGCTCAGCGGGCGGATGTGTCTTCTAAGGGACAGGGTCACAGGAACTGAGTGCAGATGAAACACGAGCCCTTGGGTGGTGAGAGGAGGCATCGGGGCCTTACTCTGTGACTTGTCGCTGATGGGGCTGCACTGCGGCCCCTGCAGCATTTGGGCCCCCGGGTGGGGGGCATGGAGGATGCTCTAGACCTTGGCTGCCCTCCACTGTGCCCCTCCAAGACCACCTGCAGGGCAAGCCTGGCCCCTGGTGCACAGGTGCCGATGGCGCGGGCCTCTTCCTCTCCACAGGGCCCGGAGCAGCCCTCCACCATCATGGGGCTGGAGGCCCACAGGCTTCCAGGGGCCGAGGAGGCCCCAGTGAGGGTGGCCCTGCGAGTCCGCCCACTGCTGCCCAAGGAGCTGCTGCATGGGCACCAGAGCTGCCTGCGGGTGGAGCCGGCGTGCAACCGGGTCACCCTGGGCCGGGACCGCCACTTCGGCTTCCACGTGGTGCTGGACGAGGACGCCGGGCAGGAGGCCGTGTACCAGGCCTGCGTGCAGCCCCTGCTGGAGGCTTTCTTCGAGGGCTTCAATGCCACGGTCTTCGCCTATGGCCAGACGGGCTCCGGGAAGACATACACCATGGGGGAGGCCAGTGTGGGTGAGTGGCCCCGCCCTGCACCCACACTGAGGGGCCTCAGTGGCACCTGAATTTTGTCCCCTGCCTTCTTGCTGCCATTCCCTGGCCAAGGTGGGGGTGCCGACCGGGGTGGGAGGGGGAAGGCGGACAACTGTTTTCTGAGCAGATTTGCAGCCCAGGGTGGGACCAGCCACACCCACAGGCCGGGCTGCACAGGACGGGAGGGGCCTGCAGGGGTGAGTGGCCTCCTCAGCCGGCCCCACGGCATCCCCCCAGCCTCCCTCCACGAGGATGAGCAGGGCATCATCCCACGGGTCATGGCCGAGGCCTTCAAGCTCATCGATGAGAACGACCTGCTGGACTGTCTCGTGCATGTGTCTTACCTGGAAGTGTACAAGGAGGAGTTCCGAGACCTGCTGGAGGTGGGCACGGCCAGCCGCGACATCCAGCTTCGGGAAGACGATCGAGGGAACGTAGGTGAGGAAATCCCGAGGGCCCCACTGGTGGGGGAGGGGCACCTGGTTGAGGAGGCTTCCCCTGCTGAAGGCTGGCTTACCTGTGTGGGAGGGACACCTAACTGGGGAACTCAAGCTCTGGAAAGTTTTGCTTTGGTTTCCCATCTCCATGGACTCTGGTGTACAGCCAGAGTGAGAGGCTTTGCAGGGGGCAGGGGGAAGCTGGAGCCCCTTCAGCCCAAGCCAGGATGGGCAGCGGCCCCAGCTGTGGGGAAGGGGCCCCTGAGGCAGGAAGAGCTGCAGACGGCTGGCCCTGCCCTGCCAGCCCCTGCCCAACCCTGGGCTCCCTGCTTCTCACGCCCGCAGTGCTGTGTGGGGTGAAGGAGGTGGACGTGGAGGGCCTGGACGAGGTGCTGAGCCTCCTGGAGATGGGCAACGCTGCGCGGCACACGGGGGCCACGCACCTCAACCGCCTGTCCAGCCGCTCACACACGGTCTTTACCGTGACCTTGGAGCAGCGGGGGCGCGCCCCCAGCCGCCTGCCGCGCCCAGCCGCAGGCCAGCTGCTGGTCTCCAAGTTCCACTTTGTGGACCTGGCCGGCTCCGAGAGGGTGCTCAAGACGGGGAGCACAGGCGAGCGCCTCAAAGAGAGCATCCAGATCAACAGCAGCCTCCTGGCCCTGGGCAACGTCATCAGTGCCCTGGGTGACCCCCAGCGCCGTGGCAGCCACATCCCCTACCGGGACTCCAAGATCACCCGGTGAGCCCAGGGGAGGAGGGGCCGGGAGAGCCGCTGTTGTGTGTCCTGGCTTCCAGGTGGCCGCTGGGGTGGAGCTGGGGGAGGCGGAGGGGATCCAGCTTCTGGGGCCTGGGGCTGGGCAGTCAGCCTCAGGCCCGAAGTGGGGTTGTCTGACCAAGGGTCCTGGTGCACTGGGGTCCCTGATTTGCATCCCTGGCACCCTCAGGATCCTCAAAGACTCGCTGGGTGGGAACGCCAAGACTGTGATGATCGCCTGTGTCAGCCCCTCCTCCTCCGACTTTGATGAGACCCTCAACACCCTCAACTACGCCAGCCGCGCTCAGAACATCTGCAACCGCCCCACCGTCAATTGGCGGCCCGACGCCGAGCGGGCGCCTGAAGAGGCAGCTGGGGTGCGAGGTCCCCCGCGGCACCGCTCAGAGACGCGCATCATCCACCGTGGCCGTCGCGGCCTGGGCCCCACTGCTGCCCCTGCCGTGGCCGCCGCCCGCCTGGGTGCCGAGTGCGCGCGCTACCGGGCCCGCACTGACGCCGCCTACAGCCTCCTGCGCGAATTGCAGGCCGAACCCGGGCTGCCCGGCACTGCCGCGCGCAAGGTGCGGGACTGGCTATGTGAGGTCGAGGGCGAGCGCAGCGTCCTGAGCTCTGCCTCTGGGCCGGACAGCGGCATTGAGAGCGCCTCCACTGTGGACGAGCAGGCCACGCAGGGGCCGGGCAGCAGAAAGGTGGCCAAGGACCAGGTGTGGACCTGGGCAGGGGAAGGAGAAGGTCTCAGACGTCCAGCCATTAGCAGAGCCCCTTGGGAATTCAAAGCCGGTGACCACGGTCACTCTCCATAACGTCCTCCTGCCTCAGGCTCGCTTTGTATAGCAGGGCTGACCTTGGTCTTTACCTTCTGGGTGTGATACAAGGGCTGAAGCTGTAACAAGGGCAGAGCACGCCGGTGAGGGCTCAGTACCTTGTTCATAGAGGTGGCCCATGTGGCTTGCAGAGGGGACCGTAGGCAGGGCTTGGAGCAGAGCAGCAAGTAAGACTAGGGCCCCCCAAGCAGAGCAGAGGGAGGGCTGGGGTGCCCCAGGGACAGACAGGCTCGTCCTGCTCCCTCCTGCCCCTGAGGCCTGTCTCCCTGCCCCCTAGGAAGGCGAGGGGGCGCTGCAGGCCCTGCAGAGCCAGGTGGCCCGGCTGGAGGAGGAGAACCGAGACTTTCTGGCTGCCCTGGAGGACGCCATGGAGCAGTACAAGCTGCAGGTGGGGCTGCCACTTCCACGGAGGGGGTGCCAGGGAGCGAGTTTCCCAGCGGGAGGAAAGCAGCCAGAGCAGGGGAGATGAGGGCGTGCACAAACGGGCAGAAGCTAAACCCTTGTGGTGGAACACAACAGTGTGGGTGGGTGTGCAGGATGCTCCTGAGTGTGGGCGGCAGGTGGGCCTGGAGGGCAGCAGGGTGGGCCACTGTAGCTGGATCCTTTCTTAGTCCCAAGGTAACTGGGTCGGCGTTGCTCCTGGCACCCTCTGGTGGCAGTGATTGGCAGGGTGGGATGAGAGCTGGAGCCAGAGTCTTTTGCGGTGTGTGCGCGTGTATGTGTGAGTGTGTGTGTAACCAAGAGGTTGTCAGAACGTTTGACCTTCCTCAGGGAGCGGAAGGGGGGGGCCCTCACACCTGGTTCCCCATTCTCCTGCACTTCGTCCCGGTTGTCCCCGCTCCCTAGTCTGTGTCTCCCCACTCAGCACCCAGACCATGTCTTGCAGAGCGACCGTCTGCGTGAGCAGCAGGAGGAGATGGCAGAGCTGCGGCTGCGGCTGGAGCTGGTGCGGCCGGGCTGGGGGGCCTCGGGGCTCCTGCAGGGCCTGCCTCCTGGGTCCTTTGGGCCCCGGCCTCACACGGCGCCCCTGGTGGGTGCCCACAGCCATGTGCTGGGCTTGGTGCCCCTTGCGTGCCTTCCTGGAGACAAAGTCGGCCCTGAGAACTGGGGAGAGGTGAGGAGGTGGCCAGGCTGGGCGCAGCTGGGCCTGTTGGACTGGGCAGGGGAAGGGCAAAGCCGGAGAATGTCCCTCACCCCAAGCTTTTGTGGGAGCAGCTGTGAGATGCCCCTTCCTATGTCCCTAGAGAAGGGGCCAAGATTTGGGTGACTGAAAGGCTTCTCAGAAGAACAGAAGGACAGTGCTATTGGGGATCTCCATGTAACTGGAGATTGCTAGGGGGTTAGAGAGAGGCTTCCGGCACTGGATGGGAAGCTTGCATGCCTCCAGAGGCAGGGAGCTCATCACTTTGAGGTCACATGCCCTGTCTGGTCTGGCCGGGCGCTGTTAGCAAGATAAGACTCAGGTGCAGGTGACCTGTGTACGAGATGGACATGGCAGGTGGCCACCTGAGAGTATCAGGTACAACCCCAGCCGGGGCAGGGGAGCGTGGGAGCGGCAGCTCCTGCTCTGACTCAGTGTCACCTTGCAGGTGGGGCAGGGCGTGGGGCAGAGGTGCAGGTGGGAGCACAGCCTTGGTGCCTGGAACAGCCCACAGAGGATGCCCTGCGGGCTCCTGTCCTGAAACCCTGGCTCTCCCCTAGCAGGTGACAAATGGCACAGAGATGGGAGCCAAGCTCCTGGCGGAGGTAGACAGGCTGGGAAGTGGCTCCTCAGCTTCATCGGAGGAGGAGGAGGCGCCGGGGGGAGAGCAGCCGCCGCCCCGACAGACCCTGCACCTGCGCAGGTGCGTGGGGACCACGGGGGACCTGGCAAAGACCCACCTGGCAGGACCCCGTGGTCTCAGGGCGTCCTCACCCCCATAGCCCCTGCTGGCCCTGGGGAGAATAGATGGGGGTGGGCCAGCCTCCCGGGTGGTCCCTGGTGCCCCCAGCTCCCCTGCACCCCCTCTGCTTGGCTCCTGGCCGTGGGGTTTTGCTGGACTGACCGATTCTGTCGATGGTGGGACAGAAGGCCAGGGACCTTCTTCCCTCTAGCCTGGGAGGTGGCTGTGCTGGGGTGGGGACTGGGGAGGGGTATAGACGCCTGCTTCTGCCCCCCAGAAACGGGATCAGCAAGTGGAACCAGAGGGCAGACGCAGGCCCAGGGAGTCCGCTGAGCAGGAAGGGCCCGAGGCTTCGTCTTGAGGAGCTGGGTGCAGCCACCCTGGAGCCCAGAGGTGAGGCTGCTGGGACGCAGAAAGGACCTGACCCCTTCTCCCTCCACGGTCCTGACAGGCCACTCTAGGCAGTGCACCTGTCCTCCCTGCCCCACCTCCCCCGCTGTCAGATGATGTAGCAGCCTTGGCCGCTGGCCTTTTACAGGGGCTCCTGGGAGCAAGGCCCAGGCCCGGCCCCGCCAGGACCCCACAGCCACGGCCTCCGAGTGGCGGCTGGCCCAAGCCCAGCAGAAGATCCGGGAATTGGCCATCAACATCCGCATGAAGGAGGAGCTCATCGGCGAGCTGGTCCGCACAGGTGGGCACCGGGCAGTCTCCGCCTAAGGTGTGATGCCCAGCGTGGTCTCTTGCCTCTGTGTGACCTGGGGCAGGTAGGATAACCCCTCTGTGTCTCAGTTTTCTCACTGCTGAGGCGGGGACAGTAATTGTCCCTGCTTCACAGGGCGGCTCTGAAGATGAGTGGAGGGATGTCAGGTGTGGCGTTCAGAGGGGCTCTCAGGGAGCACTGCCCATCATCACCGTCTGTTGGGTGGCTGCTGGGTGGGCGCATGGTGTCCCCAAATCATGCTGTGGCTGCTGGCAATCTGTGGGACCGGGGAGGGGACAATTTCAGGTGGAGACCAGCTGAACTTTTTAATAGCTATAAACTCACTGTAAAATGCATCCTGAAATATTTCATGTACATTGGAAGAGAGACCAGTACAGGGGGTCCCACCCTCGAGGTTCGGTTGTCAAATTTTTCCCGTGTTCGTTTTATTGCTGAAACACATGTTGTTCAGTTAAACTTATGGGGTAGCATCGGCAATAACTGATGTGAGCTTCCAATGCATGACTACGATACAGCAGTCCGCAGCCTTTTTCATCTCACGGTGCACGACTAATGACTAAAATTCTGTGGCACACCAAAAAGTTATATTTTGCCAATCTGACCAAAAAGTATAGGTCCAATTTGGATTCATCCCCACTGGACGGATACTGTTGTGTGAGGTGTTGTCATTTTTCTCTTTGACAGTTTCAGGGAAAGGAGGTCAGTGCCCCCGACTAAATAGTCAGGTTTTGGGTATTTAACAAATTGCTGCGGTGCTCTGGGTGAGAGTCGCTGCTGTAACACATCCCTGAATATCGTACCATGTGCTCGGCACCCACAGTCAAGTCTCCGTCCGTCACCGTGTACTTGTCCCCCTTCGTCCTCTCCTCTCCAGTAGCTCCTTGCTGTTTCACATGCCACGCAGGAGCGAGAGCCAGCGGTTCTCTTGTCCTTTTCTGTTGTGGCAAACAGCAGCGTGTCCCCATTTGTCACAGCTGGGCGGTGCCGTGTTGTACATGTGTCCCGTCAGTGCATTGCGTGGACGCATGTGTGTGTGTGTGTTCTTTCTCGAATAACTGCCTGCCGGGGGACATGGCGGTCGTCTCCACGTCTGGGCCGCCGTGAATGATGCTGCCATGAGCAGCGTGGTGTGTGCGTCTTTCTAAATAAACGCCGAGGTTTTCAAGTAGACACCCAGAGAAGGGGTTGTGAGGTCATACGGTAGCTCTATTCTTTTGGTCGTAATTGTAAAACTGTTGTTTTTCTTTGTTTGTTTGTTTGTTTTAAATTTTTCCCTGAAGTTTCCTTGTTAGTACACGGCAACGCAGTGGGTTTCCATGCGTTGATTTCTGCGTCCCGCAGCCTCACGGTGTGTGTGTCTTGTTTCTGATGGGTCGTTGGTGACGTCTCCAGGGTTTTCTCTGTGAGTCACGTCATCTGCGAAGAGCGACACCTTTACTTCCCTCTTCCCAGTTTGGGTGCCTTTCATTTCTTTCTCTTGCCAGATTGCTCTGGTTCGGACTCCCAGCACGGGGTTGAATAAGGCTGGTGAGAGTGGGCATCCCTGGCTTGTTCCTCGTCTTAGAGAAAAACCTTCCCGTTTTTCACCATCGAGCGGGATATTCGCTGAGGCTTCGTCGTATCTGGCCTTTACGATGTTGAGGAAGTTTCCTTCTGTGCCCATTTTACCGAGCGGTGTGTATTGTATCTTAGATGCTTTTTCAGCATCTATCGATGAGATAATATATTTTTACCCTTTCTTTTGCTAACGTGCCCTTTTCCATGGGTGGATTGAGGCCTTGGAGGGAGCCCACTGGATTGTGATGCGTTTATTCTTTCTGTATCGTGTTGCGGTGCCGGGTTTGCTGGTGTCCTGTTTAGGGTTTTCCATCTGTATCTGTCAGCGGCATCGGTCTGTAGCTCTGGTGGGTGTCGTCCTCGCCAGCCGGCAGGCACAGGGTCCCCTTGGCTTCACCCCGTGTGTTAGGAAGTTTTCTCTCCTCTTCGGCCTTTTGGGAGACTTTGAGAAGGAAAGGTTTCACATCTTCTCAGACTGCGTGGTAGGATTCGCTGGTGAAGGAAGCGCCACATGTGCGGCAGCCGTCTCCGTGTCGAGAATGACGAGGCTCACTTACAAAGTGGGCTGATTTAAAGGGAAAGACTACGTAAGCCATGGTGCCGGGGGAACGGAGGCTGGGAAGACCCATGTGGCGACCCTGGCCCATGGGGATCGGGGAGACATCCCCGGGGAAGGAGCAGATGGCCTGGTGGGGGCCGCGGCCTATGCTGACGCAGCCCCCTCCTCCAGGGAAGGCAGCCCAGGCCCTGAACCGCCAGCACAGCCGGCGCATCCGCGAGCTGGAGCAGGAGGCGGAGCGAGTGCGGGCGGAGCTGAGCGAAGGCCAGCGGCAGCTGCGGGAGCTGGAGGGCAGGGAGCCGCAGGACGCTGGCGAGCGGTCCCAGCTCCAGGAGTTCCGCAGGAGGGTCGCTGCCGCCCAGAGCCAGGTGCAGGTCAGCGTGGGCCCTGGGGGTGGCAGGTGAGGCTGCCCAGGCTGGGGCTGCAGGGCCCAGGCTCACTGAGGAACCTGTGGGTGCTCAGGCCCTCATGCCGGGCACCCCCCCACCGGCTGCAGGTGTTGTCGCCCCTCCAGGGCTCCGCTCACTGAAGGCAGCAGAGGCGGGGAGGCCGGGCCCACCTGCAGCCCACCTGGGAGGCCCCGGGGGGTGGGGGGCGTCGCTGAAAGGAAGTCCCCCCTTCCTCATGCAGCCTCCCCACCCCCGTCCATCCGTCTGTTCTTCCAGCTCCCTGTGCACACACCTCTGCACCCCGCCTTCCCTGTCTCCCCATTAGCCTGGGTCCCTCTGATGCACCTGCCTCTCCATCGATGTGACCAGCTGTCTGTTTATCCACTCATCCTTTCGTTGTTCTGTTCCCTTTCATCAGTCGTACGCTGTCTGTGTCTTTACTGGTTCACCTTCCTGTCCGTTTTCCTGTCCACCTGCCCTCCTGTCCGTCCATCTTTGCAGCTGGCCACCCACCATTCCATCCTCCTTTGCTCAGGCCAGGCGTCCAGCATGCAGCCGAGCAGAGTGGTCGAGGGCACGGGCTCCGGAACCAGGCCGTCGGGGTTTGAACCCCAGCTCTGCTGTTTCCTAGCTGTGTGTCCTTGGTCGAGTGTCCTAGCCTCTCTGTGCCTCAGTTTCCTACTCTGTTAACTGGGGCCGATCACCATCATACTTGTTGGCAGGATCGTGCAGGTCAATTAACAGACACAGAGCTCTCAGTGTGGTGCCTGGTATGTGGCGACCGTCTGTGTACTTCCCTCTAGCTGTCTGCTGATATTTTTATTATCTGTCGTCCATCCACCTGCTTTCCCTCTGTCTGCCCCTCCATCCGGTCATCAGCCTTTGGGCCAGTGCACCCTTATTGAGAGCCAGGCTGGCAGTGTCCCCTGCCCGTGGCCCAGCGGAGTTTGCGCTGGTCGCAGGTGCTGAAGGAGAAGAAGCAGGTGACGGAGCGGCTGGCGTCGCTGTCGGCCCAGAGCGAGAGGCGGCTGCAGGAGCTCGAGAGGAACGTGCGGCTCATGCGGCAGCAGCAGGCCCAGCTGCAGCGGCGGCTTCGCGAGGAGACAGAGCAGAAGCGGCGCCTGGAGACGGAGATGAGCAAGCGGCAGCACCGGGTCAAGGTCAGGCTCTCGGCAAGGTGTGCGCCCCGTGTCCCCACTGCCTACAGGCATGAGAACCCCTCCAGCAGGTCACTCAGCCTCCCCGAGTCTGTCTCCCCTGCACGTGGGGGCATGTTACAGGAAAGCCAAGGCCAGGGTGAGGAGCCGGGGAGCTCAGTGCGATAAGGCCTCTCAGGCAGCCAGCACCTCCTGTCGTAGGAGCAGACCTGCGTCTGCTGCTCCCCAGGAGACGCTGTGCAGGGCCGCGTCGGGAGGGGCTGGCATGAGGCTGGCACACAGGGTCCCGCCCCTGAGCCTCGCCCCTGCGCCCCCAGGAGCTGGAGCTGAAGCACGAGCAGCAGCAGAAGATCCTGCGGATCAAGACGGAGGAGATCGCGGCGTTCCAGAGGAAGCGGCGCAGCGGCAGCAGCGGCTCTGTGGTCAGCCTGGAGCAGCAGCAGGTGGGCACCCGGGGGCTCCTGGAGCCCGAGCAGGGAGGGGGGGCTGCCCGAAGTGGGCGTGAGCGCTGAGCACCCGCTGTGCCCACCCCACGTCCCCTCAGAAGATTGAGGAGCAGAAGAAGTGGCTGGACCAGGAGATCGAGAAGGTCCTGCAGCAGCGGCGGGCGCTGGAGGAGCTGGGCGAGGAGCTCCGCAAGCGGGAGGCCATCCTGGCCAAGAAGGAGGCCCTGGTGCAGGAGAAGACGGGGCTGGAGAGCAAGCGCTTGCGGTCCAGCCAGGTGAGCGCCCTCCCCGCGAGGCCCGGGCGGGCGGAGCTGCAGGTGTCTCCGCAGTTTGCATCCCCTCATCCACCCCGGCTCTGGGACGGCTCAGGCAGGCAGAGCAGGGTGGTAGGTGGCCCGGGGACAGAGCCATCACGGGCACTGAGGCAGAAAGAGCCCCACCCGGCTCCTTGGGGCTTCGTCACTCCCTTGTGAGGAGCACACTCAGAACTGTCCTCACGTGGCTGAGGGTTTGAGGGGCACGTCAGACACACAGCCCGGGGCTGTCCCAGCGGCGGGTGCTCTGGCGGGTGCTCCAGTGGCACACGGAAGCGCAGGAGGAGCAGGGTGCTGCCGGATGCTCCGAATGCCCCTTGGCCACGAGAGCCCTCACTTCGTCCATCTTCAGGCTCCTGGAAAGGTCTTTGGGGCTTGGCCACTAATTTCCCATAATTCCCATCACCAACTCAAGTCGTCTCAGTGACAGGCCGCCACCACACGCTGCCCCGCCTTGGCCCACGTTGCCCCTTCTCGTCAGGGGTGCCTTGTCCCCTGCGTGTCTCCACCCTCCTCCCGGACAGTCTCTGCAGCCCCCGGTGCCTGAGTGTCTGCAGGGCTGAGTGGGGCCTCCGTGAGCCCTTGGCCTCCGTCGCATCCCACGGATGGTCTGTCACAGAGGGGACAGGCCTGCTCCCCACTCATGCCCGGTGCCGCCCCAGGCCCTGACGGAGGACATCGTGCGTGTGTCCAGCCGGCTGGAGCACCTGGAGAGGGAACTGTCCGAGAAGAGCGGGCAGCTGCGGCAGGGCAGCGCCCAGAGCCAGCAGCAGATCCGCGGGGAGATCGACGCCCTGCGCCAGGAGAAGGACTCGCTGCTGAAGCAGCGTCTGGAGATCGACGGCAAGCTGAGGCAGGGCAGCCTGCTGTCGCCCCAGGTACGCTGCGCTGGGCAGCCCCCGAGGCGGGGCTGGGTGCAGGAGTGTGGATGGGGGGCACCTGCTCGTCTGGGACACGGGCCGGCCTGGCCGCCCGCCCTGTTCCCTTCCTGGAATCCGGACCCCACGTCCCGCGCTGCAGGGACTGCCAGCCCAACATCTCAGCTCCCTGGTGGGAGTGAGTGTCTGGACCACGTCCCTGTGCCCTCCCCAGCAGTCCTGCCAGGCCTCCTGTGTGGGGGGTTCTGAGCCCCCCAGTGCAGATCCCTCCCTGCACTGCCCTGGGGTCAGCCTCTGACAGCTCAGGCTGAGGGGACCCTTAGAGGGTCGAAGGGGGCTGCACCCCTCTGCCGCCCACGCACACCCACACTCCACCCCACAGGAGGAGCGGACGCTGTTCCAGCTGGACGAGGCCATCGAGGCCCTGGACGCCGCCATCGAGTACAAGAACGAGGCCATCACGTGCCGTCAGCGGGTGCTGCGGGCCTCGGCCTCCCTGCTGTCCCAGTGCGAGATGGACCTCATGGCCAAGCTCAGCTACCTCTCGTCCTCGGAGACCAGGGCCCTCCTCTGCAAGTACTTTGACAAGGTGGGTCGACACCCTGAGGGCCTAGCCCCTTCCTCCCGGGAAGCCAATTGGAGCGGCTCCTTCAGGGCGGCCTTTGTCCCCATCAGGGGTTTTCAAGAAGGACGCGTTTGCTGGCCCAGGGCACGTGTGCCCATGTCTGGAGCTACTTCTGGTTGTCACAACAGCAGGGGTGGAGGCCAGGGATGCTGCTCAGCCCCCTTCAACACACAGAACGGGCCAGTGCCCCCAGGCGATCTGGCCCTAGCAGCCAGCAGTGTGGAGGCTGAGAAACCCTGGCCTCCATGAGACACAGCTTGAGGCTAGGCCTGGAAGCTTCTTCCTGTGTGACCGGGAAGGAGTCTGAGGCAGGGATGGCAGATAACACCCATCTTGAGAGCTAACACTTGTCTGTCATTTGTAATGTGCCTCCTGGAACACCACTGAGAAGCGTCTGGGAGCCAGGTCTGGGCTCAGAGGAGACCCTGTGACTCCTCAGCCACACCTGGTGTGGGGCGGTGCTGGCTGGGCTGTGCCCCAGTGAGGGTTCCCTGGTGCAGGGAGCCGGCGCCGCGTCTGAGCCGGGCAGGCCTCCGCACAGGTGGTGACACTGCGGGAGGAGCAGCACCAGCAGCAGGTGGCCTTCTCCGAGCTGGAGATGCAGCTGGAGGAGCAGCAGAGACTGGTGTACTGGCTGGAGGCGGCCCTAGAGCGGCAGCGCCTGGAGACGGACCGCCAGCTGACCCGGCAGCAGAAGGAGCACGAGCAGAGCCTGCAGCTGCTCCTACAGCAGAGCCGAGGTGAGGCCCGCACACAGCTCATGCCCAGCCCGGTCCCGTGCGCCTGGCCACCCCACCACCTCTCTGCGTGTCCCCACAGACCACCTTGGCGAAGGTCTGGCCGACAGCAGGAGGCAGTATGAGGCTAGGATCCAGGCTCTGGAGAGGGAGCTGGGCCGCCACATGTGGATGAACCAGGAGCTGAAGCAGAAGCTGAGCGGTACGGGAGCAGCGGTACCGAGCAGGGGTGAGCCTCGCTGCCCGCCGCCGGAAGCTGGGCCCTGCCTTGCAGATGTCAGCTATCACGCCTTGGTTTGGGGAGGTCAGAAATCCCTCCGCCCGCAGCTCTTCCGGGGTCCTTTCCCACATTGCTTGTTGCGCGGGTGCGGGAAACCAGCACCAAGGGGGCGCTGGCACCTCCCCTCCTGACCAGGGTGTCGCTGTCCTCTGTGACAGGTGGGGAAAAGAGGCCCCTGTGCCCTGGAAATGAGGACGAGCTGCGCGCAGCACCTGAGCCTGTTGGGCAGCTGCCCCTTGCAGAGGGCGCCCCCTGTGCCCGGGAGGAGGGGCGGGGCCTGGTCCACGCCCCGCTCCCACTGACCTGGAAGCGCTCCAGCCTGGGCAGTGAGGAGCAGGGGTCCCCGGAGGAGCCGCGGCAGCGGGAGGCTTCAGAGCCCCTTGTCGGGCAGGCGCTGCCTGTGGGGGTGGGGGCCCTGCCCTGGCAGGCGGGGCCCTTGGCCAGACCCCGGCGGGAGCTGCGCAGGGCCAGCCCGGGGATGATCGACGTCAGGAGGAGCCCCCTGTAGGCCCGGGGCAGAGCCGGCCTTGGACTGGGGTCCAGCCCTCCGAAAGGTACAGTGCGTGCCTGTGTCTGCCAAGGAGTCCTCACCTCACTCTAAATCCGAGTCAGCCCAAGTGAACTGGGCTCAGGTGTTACGACTTTTTTAAAAAGCATCACTCCCCCACTGTCCCCTTCCTGTGAGCTGCGGTAGGACGGCCGCCTTTGGCTCTGAGCGGTTCCAGCAGGTCGCTTCCGGTCTGCAGGCTGTGCGCTCACTGGCAGGGCAGCTGGGAGCTGGTCCCGGAGCGGCCTGGGGCTTAAGTGGGCACAGTGTGGGGGGTCGGAGAGCAGCAGGTGTTTGGAGTTTTGTACAAACATTTTGTAATAAATGAGAACAGCCTCTGGAGACACAGGGTGTTCACTGAGTTTGAACGACAATAGCAGGAAGCGGCTCTGGGAGCGCAGTGGGCCTGGAAGTTACTCCGAGACCCGGGGGCAGTTGCGGGCGGGCCCTGCACCAGGGCAGCACAGCAGGCCGGCCCACCCGACGCTGTGAGTCCCCCCGCAGATGGCGAGGACTGGGCTGGCAACTGGCTCTCGGGGCACCAAGCTGGGCCACGGCCACAGTGAACCTTGGGCTGAGCATTGTTCAGAAGCGCCAGAAGCCGAGTAGCCAGAGGTAAGTTTATTGTTACAGGGAATGTGAAACATTCACCCTGCCGCCCGCCTCTGTCTCAGGCAGGGTCCCAGCCTTGTAGCGGCTTCACAAGGGCCCACTTCACAAGAGAGGCAGCAGTGTCCTGACCTGTCATGGTCATGGTCGGGGTGGGGCTGGAATGGCATCCTGGTCTTGCAGGGCCGTGCCTGGCTCCAGGCTGCCTCTGAGGCGCAGCACCTCCAACCACGGGCAGGGGCTGAGGGCATGCAGGCTGGGGCCAGGCCCGGAGACTTTATGCCTGTGGAGTGACCCTACCTTCCTCTTTCGAACTCGTCCAGTTCCCAGAAGCCCATTCTTCCTGTTCCGTGTGGCAGGCCCGACTCAGGTGAAGCCAGCCTCTGGGTGCTCTGCTGCGCCCGCAGTGCCAGCTGTGCCCGAGCACAGCGCTCCCAGAGCGCTTCTGCAGCGGGGAAGCAGGAGCGCCTGGGCCAGCCCCGCACTGTCTGTGGCTGTCAGTCCCCTGGCCTGTCCGTCCTCACTAGCTGATCAGCTTCTTCCGAGAGTAGGTTCTGCTGATGGGGCGTCGCCTGGAAAAGGCTCCGCTGAAAGGCGAGTCCTCGGCCGCTGGGGGAAATAAGTCCGTGTCCTCGTCTAGAAAAAGGCAGACACACGGGTGGCGACTGAGGACGCGGACAAGGAAAATGGGCTGGGACTGAAGACGGTCCACATGAAGGTCACGCTCTCCCCTGCAGAGCTGCTTTCCACCGTGGAAGCAGCAACACCCACTAAACAACATTCCCCTTTGTAGTTTTTCTTAATTTACTTGTTTAAGTTTGAAAATCATTTAATCTCAGTAGAAGTGGTTTCTAACACGATCCTACTGGTTGTAAATTTGCTTTTTCAGATTTTGTAAATTATAGTTGACATTCAGTATTATTTTATGTGTATCTCACCGGTGCGGCATGGTAGGTGGACACTTATATAGTTTCCGGAGTCATAAGTCCAGTACCCACCTGGCACCACACAGTTATGTAATTCATTTTTCATATTATTGAACTACACTCATGAAACGTAGTCTGTTAAAGTGTGCACGCGCACACACACACATACACAGCTCTGGCCTCAGTTGTCAACACCCAGAGAAGAAGAACAGGCTTTACCAAAACGACCCCATCAAGCTGGAACTAGCAGCTCAGGTTGAAGCAGGGAAACCAGCGCTTGGTGACCACCGGGGTCCAGGGCGCGGTGCGGCCGAGCTCCTGCTGGACCCACTCTGGACCAGGAGGCACTGCAGGGCGCGGAGCAGAGATGGGGAAAGAGGCGTGAGAACCAAAGTGGCTGTCCCCGCACTGGCCCCTGCCAGGGACCCACCGCCTCCTCCCCAAGGACATATGAAGGGGCATTAACACATTTCTTCAGCTGCACCCACTCTGACAGGCCCGTGTGTCTGCGAAAACCGCTACTGAGCAGACGCCCAGACGCGGGCTTGCTGTCGAGTCTCAGACATGGTGGACGCACACCTGGCCCAGGCCTCTGTCAGGAACCCACGCTCCCTGCCACTTCCGTGAAGCCTGGGCTCAAATGCTGCCTTCTCAAGAAGGCTGCTTAAAACTATCCCCCTTCTGGCCCTGGCAGGTGTGGTTCAGTGGATTGAGTACTAGCCTGCAAACCAAGGGGTTGCTGGTTCGATTCCCAGTCAAGGCCCATTTCTGGGTTGTAGGCTGGGTCGATAGTAGGTGGAGGTGCACGAGGCCACAATCCATGTTTCTGTCCCTCTTTTCTCCATCCCTTCCCATCTAGAAATAAAAATCTTGATAAAATAAAATTGCAGCCCTCCAGCTTCCCTTTACTGTGCTCCATTCCCTTTTCCCTGTTTATTATATAGCACTCACCACTTTCAAGTACACTGTATAACTCCCTTATGCAGTTTGTTGTCCCATCTCCCCGGACTGATGGCAAACCCCATGTCAGCGGAGACCTTTGTCTATTCTGTTCACTGACGTATTCCCCACCTAGAACCGTGCCTGACACATGGCAGGCACTCCTTAAATCTGTTCTGTAGGTAGAATATAACATTAATTTTATTTTTATCTAGCATAAATAACAATGCCGTGCACTGGAAGGCAGATGGAACCCCAAAGTTGTAGGTGCAGCCTTCATTAAATTTGCTGAAAACCAGGTTTTGTGCTACGCCTGTGGATTCACCCTGGTTTCACAGAGCCTTTGGTCTTCTCAAAAGGGCTTCCGGATTTTTATAAGGAAACATGACTTACACTGCCTGAAGCACTACCGTTTGCTTTTATCTGTTTTATAACAGATATCAGGGCTCTACCAAGAGCATAGTGAAAAAAATCTTGATGCTGGAAGTGACTGAACCACTGCCCTGGGTGCCAGTAGTCGATTCAGAACCAACCAGAAGCAGAAAAAAAAAAATAGCGAAGACTTCCAGCCAAAATGGAGGTATAGGTGGACACGCTGTGCCTCCTCTCACAACCAAAATAAAGACAACAACAATTTAGAAACAAAATACCAAGCAGAATTGACAGAAAATCGAACTGTATGGAAGTCCGACAAGCAAGGAGTTAAAGTAGACACATTTATCCAGACCAGTAGGAGGGGCAGAGTTGAGGCGGGCAAAGAAGGGTCACAACACAAAATGCAATGGAACCGTGCACGCAAGGCAGTAGCTGACAAGCCCCTGGGGCACAAGACGGCCACGCAAGACCCAGCGAGATGGCGATTATGAAGCCTGGCATGGTGCACAAGGCGGCTGGCGGACCGGGCGGTCCCACATTCGTGTGCAGATAAACCAAGGGAAACTGGGGAACGAGACAGACTGCGCAACCCAGGGTCCCAGCACTGGGAAATAAAGCCTCAAAACACCTGTGGGTGTTGAGTGCCGGGAGGAACTCCCAGCCTCACAGGAGAGTTCGTTGGAGAGACCCACAGGGTCTTAGAATGTGCATAAACCCACCCACACAGGAGTCTGCACCAGAAAGGCCTAGTTTGCTTGGGGGAGGTGGCAGAAGGGACGGAGGTCCTACAAACAGTGGAACAAGCACCCTGGTTCCCTCTCAGACCCCGCCCCCACATACAGCGTCACTACCCAGCCACTGCATGGCCCCGCCCTGGTGAACACCTAAGGTTCCGTCCCTCAATGTAATAGGTGCAACGAGACAAAAAAAAAAAAAAAAGAAATGGCCCAGACTTCCGCCAAGATGGAGGCATAGGTGGATGTGCCGTGCCTTCTCACACAACCAAGTTTAGAGACAACTAAATATTAGCAACAGAAAACACAGCCAGAACATGGAAAATTGAACTTTTCGGAAGTCCATTAACAACAAATTCTTCAGCCTGACAGGTAAGGGGCAAAACCAGCGGCTGGTGAGGGGTTGCACGGGAGGTCTCCGTCAGACGGACTCAGGCACGGAATCCAGACGTGCGGAATCCAGGCGCAGGGTTGGACCTAGTGAGCGACCGAGCGAGCCACCAGGCGAGCGACCGCGGAGGAGACGGCGGGGAAGTGGTGCTGCGTGTTGACTGTGGTCGCCTATTTGTGCGTGAGCGGACAGGCGAGGGAGTGGGCGGTTGGATCCCCGCGGCAAGCGGCAGTGGAGGGCGCCGCCATTTCCCCGCTCTGACCACGCCCCCACATACAGCGTCACAACCCAGTGACCTGAGAGTCTAAGGCACCGCTTCTCACACTTAAAGGGCCAGAACAGACCAAAAATGTCGCAAGATCTCAAAGCCCCACAGCCCATAGATCTAAGCGATGAAGAAATAGCAAAACTCTCAGATGCACAGTTTAAAACACTGGTCATCAGAATCCTCACAGAACTGGTTGATTATACCGACAAATTAGACAAATATATGAAGGCGAAACTAATTGAATGGAATTGCACAGGAAACCAATAGCAATGAAAAGGAAACTGGGACTCAAATCAATGGAGTGGACCAGAAGAAAGCAAATAATGGCCAAACAGAAAAGAGTGAAGAAGCAAGAATTCAAAGAAATGAGGAGAGTCTTAGGAACCTCCAGGACATCTTTAAACGCTCCAACATCCAAATTATAGGGGTACCAGAAGGGGGAAAGGAACAGCCACCAGTGGAAAACTTATTTGAACAAATAATAAAGGAGAATTTCCCCAATCAGGCAAAGGAAATAGACTTCCAGGAAATCCAGGAAGCTCAGAGAGTCCCAAAGAAGTTGGACCCAAGAAGGAACACACCAAGGCACATCATCATTACATTAGCCAAAATTAAAATGAAGGAGAGAATCCTAGAAGCAGCAAGAGCTAAGGGGACAGTCACCTACAAAGGAGTCCCCATCAGACTGTCAGCAGATTTCTCAAAAGAGACCTTACAGGCAAGAAGGGGCTGGAAAGAGGTATTCCAAGTCATGAAAACCAAAGACCTACAACCAAGATTGCTCTATCCAGCAAAGCTTTCATTTAGAATGGAAGGACAGATAAGGTGCTTCTCAGATCAGATCAAATTCAAGGAGTTCATCATCACCAAGCCCTTATTATATGAAATGTTAAAGGGACTTATCTAAGAAAAAGAAGTTAAAGAAACATGAACAGTGAAAGGACAGCAAACTCACAGTTATTAACAACCACACCTAAAACAAAAACTAAGGAGACAACTAGAACAGGAACAGAACCACAGAAATGGAGATCATATGGAGGGTTAGCAACGGGGGAGTGGAAGGAGGAGAAAGGGGGGAAAGGTACAGAGAATAAGTAGCA